AGGTGAGAGAGGAATTACTTTACTCCAAATCTCCTGAATACCTTAGGTCCTTCACATTCATTTTTCAAAATGTAAAACAAACTCTGATTTGGGTGCACTTTGAAAAATAATACGAGTAACAGTAATACTCTGCTTCTGTATCTATGGGAATATTTCACTGGACACATTAAGAAGAAGGATGCGGCCTGGTAACATTTTTGCTGGAATCTGTCGCGTTCTGAACACTTGCATCAATGTGGAACTGACAGTTCAAAATGTCTGTTTATTCTTGCTCACTGTTTTCTGATGTCAATTTTTTTTTAATACGGTCAGTGCTGATCAGATATACATAGGAAGAAATTACATATTTTGAGATTGCCATGTGCAATATTGTATTATAGCAATTGTAATGTATATTTATTTTAAAACATATCTTTATGCTGTAAAGGCATATTGTTTAAATTTCTCTGTACATCCTTAGAGCGACATTGCTCTCACTTGAGAAGACCAGTGATGTGCACCTGTCACCTGGTCACTGATAAAGTAAATAAAGTGAGCTGCTGTTTATTCTTCAGTACTGTTCTTAAAAAACTGATTTGGGTTATCTCTCTTTTTGGATTTTTGTTGTTGGCAGAGTATGATGGTTGTTTTAAGAAACATTCAGCTACTTCAACTCAAGCATTGTCTAATATATATTTTCTTTACGGCAAACGAACAGTTATTTACTTGAATATGTTTACTTTACATCTGGCATAAAGTTTACAAAAATGATTCCTAACAAGCCATGCTTCTTCTAAAACAACTTTAAAATACTGTCAAAAACAGATATCCTCTGTGTCTGCAGCCAGGAAAGGGTGCCTTATCACCAAGGAGCCCTGAGCAAAAATGGGAAGACACACAATTTGCTACCCTAGAGGGGTACCCTAGAGTCTGAGATGATCACAGTTTTTTTTAAATTATGATAGAGTACACTATCTTCTCACATTTTCACTGGATTCTTAGTATATCATGTGATAATTGTAATGACACTGATGTAAAGCGACAGCAGCACTTTTAAAAATTAGAACCTCAACAAAAACAGAATTTCCACCATCTTCCTCCTGTGAATTAACTGAAATTCTGCCCTTTAAAATTCTAGTAAGATAAAATTATCTCAAGAAACTTAACTACTTCAGAAACTATGCTTAAATGTATGAATCCTCCCTTTTGTTTACCTGTAAAAAAAGCCTTACTGTACCTTGTTTATTTACCAGAGTGATAGATGTTTATAGGCATTATCCTTATATTCAGTAGTCTAATACTACTTTCGGTCACATTAAAATAGTACGCTGCTTCACATGTTTTAAAGGAAGATATTTCTAAGTTTAACTGGTATTTTCTAATTCATCTAATACTTTACATAGCAGTATTTTACATGCACTTTTCTTAGGTTAACATTTTTTAGTACTGATACACAAAAATAAAATGTTCAGTTTAGTTCTTCTGGTTTAGAATCCTTATGCCTAACACAATTCTGGTTATGCTTATTTCCCCTTCCTTTATAGCATGGTTATTGCTTTTTAATGTGGAAATGTCTTTATTTCTAATTTTGTCAATTTGATAAGGAATAGTCTCTCAATGCTGGGGGGGGGGGGGACTTACAAGAACCCTTTTGAAATGTACAGACCTGAAGTATTGCACAAATATTACCTCATTAGGTTTCAGATATTTTCTTCTTCCAGTGATGAGTCCACTGATTCTGCAACATAACCTTTTGTCCAGATTTTAGCAAAACACTTCGCAGGCTTCAATTAGGGATGAACTTAAAAAATATTTAAAGATTCGGTTTTGTTAAATATTAACTGATCAAGTATGCAATCTTGTGGGTAATTTTAGAGCCCCAGTTCAGTGGAACATATTTGCATGTGGTGTGCAGAGAATCACACCCCTAACCTTCATAAATAAAGAATAATATGCTATAGAAATACTTGCCTCAGTCTAAAGATCCTGCTCCTGTTGCATGCATGGGATAGCTGCTCTGCTTGTACTTCTCCCCTTTTCCATGGAATCCCATGTGCTCATTAAATAAAGAATCCTATGATTGGTGGATTGGATCTGTTTTCATGTGCACATGGAAGCAGTCACAATAGCAGTGCACTGCAGATACCAAGCTTGTCCTCCAAAAAGAAGACACTCTGAATCTATGGGACAGTTTCTGGTGATACTTTTTTGCTTTTGCATACAGATTTTTTTAAAATAACAGATCATCTCTGGTTCCGGGTCAGTACATGGACAGAAGTCCCTTTTATTCCAGTAAAGCTTTTATCCAAATTTGCTTGGGATAGTGGCATTTTGCCTTTTGGTTCCATATCTCGAAACCACCAGCATTTAGAAGCTGAAGGTCTCTTTTCAATTAAGATTTCAAAACCAGACACATTTCAAAATATCACATAAAAATCCTTTGGAAATTACTATTTTTAAAATTGTAATTCTTTTTGAAACAAAGGTTTTGACAGACAATAGGTTTTCACTAGATATTGATACTGTGCTTAGATGGAAACCAAAACGGTATCAGAATGAAATAAGCTCTGAACTGTCATAGTGTCTGACGTATTTAGTAAACGTATGCTTCATAAATGCTGTACCTTAGCTATCACTGAAATGTCCAAATAAAAATACAACTGTTAAGTCTTCTTCGGTGTCTCTCGTGTAAATACATTATTCCTGGAGTTATCAAGTGCAGTTCAATTTTCAACCTACAGATGTCGGTCATGCTGAGTTCAATGGGATTTACAAGTACGGTAACTTGAGGAGCTCTGTTTATAGGCAATCTAGCAGGGAAACAAAGAATGGGTACAGCTTCCCTCAACAATTAACTTATGAGACTTACATTTATTGCTGCACCATGGTAGCAGCTTCAATAAACGCACATTCCAAAATGGAGGATCCATATGGAGGGCTGCAGGTTAACTTTAAACACTGCTTAAATATCTGCAACCAAAAAACCCTGAATCTTCACTAAAACATAGAATTGTAGAGTTGGTAGGGAACCCCAAAGGTCATCTAGTTGAACCTGCTGCAATACAAGAATGACAACTTAAATAATCCCTGGCAGATGGATCATCCAACCTTGTTTAAAAACCACCAGTGAAGGAATCCACCACCTTCCAAGGTATATTGCAATCCACTGTCAAACAGCTCTCGCCATCGGAAAGTTCTTCCTAATGTTTAGTTGAAATACCCTTGCTCCATCATCCATGCGACAGCCCTTCAGATACTTCCAGACCTTTTATCATCTTGGTCGACCTCCTCTGCTTGTCAATATCTTGCTTAAGCTGTGGTGCCCAGAAATGCACACAGTACTCGAGGGCACGGTCTGACCATGGAAAAATAGAGTGGTACTATTTACTTCCCTTGATCTGCATACTATACTGATGATGATGATGATGATGATGATGATGATAATACCATCCCACCCATCTGGCTTCATTGCCCCAGCCACTCTGGGTGGCTTCCAGTACATATAAAAATATAATACAGTGGACGCTCGGGTTGTGAACGTGATCCATGTGGGATGCGTGCTCACAACCTGCAGAGTTCGCAACCTGCGTCTGCGCATGCGTGGGTTGCGATTTGGCGTTTCTGCGCATGCACAAAGTGCGATTTAGCACTTCTGCACATGGGTGACCGCCGAAACCCAGAAGTAACCCGTTCCGGTACTTCCAGGTTTTAGAGGTCCGTAACCTGAAAAAACGCAACCTGAAGTGGCTGTAACCCGAGGTATGAGTGTACAGTATTAGCGCTTTTTTTGTCACATTGTTGACTCTTGTTAAGCTTGTGGTCAACTAAAACAACTAGATCCGTTTTCTTACATGTACTGCTGTCCAGCCAGGCGTCCCTCCATTGGATGGGGCCTGTCCTAAAATTATGCATCTGATTATTCCAGCCTAAGTGCAGAATCTGATGCAAGGCCAGGGCTGCCAACTTGAACAAAATATCGGGGGAGGGCAGTTAAGCCCAGCCCCCGCACAATCCCTTGCAAAGACATGCAGCCCATTTGAATGGCAATGCCCAGCAACGTGGGCCGTGGTGGTGATGGTGGGGCAGCAGCTCCCTCAAGGATTTTATCGGGGCCAAACTGCCGCCAAAGAGACCTCTTTTCCTAGGAGTTGGCTCCTATGTGCATGGCCTTAAAAATGACCTGTGCCATCAAGCAACAACAACACATTGTTCCTAACAAGTGTCTTGCAGAGGTGGGGAAACCCAGCCAGATGGGCGGGGTATAAATTATTATTATATTATTATATTATTATTAACACAGGAGTCAGAGGGGGGTGTTTATTGTGGCTAACAGGTGTCACCCCATCACTGCTACCTGCTATTTTTGACTCTTTTTAACCCCTTCAGCCTTTGCAACCTTCCTAGAAACCTGGTGGCTCCCCTCTTTTATAATAATAATGATGATGATGGTGATGATGATGATGATGGCTGGGTTTAAGTCTGATGAGGCCCTAAGCTACTGAAGGTAATGGGGCCCTTTATATGCCCAGCTGCCCTTTGTCAACAACAAATTGCCACTGTTTTTCTGTGTTGAATATATGCTATATGGTACTTTATGGACCTAATAGGTATCTGAAGCCATTTGCATATAACAAAATATGTATTTTATTAAAGTAATTGATATAGAAATGAGCAAACCAGTGATATTTTAGGGAGCAGGCTAGCAGGCAGGCCCATTACTTACATCACGGGAGCCTACACAACACAAAACACTGTTGCTGTATGTAGATTTTATTTTAGTTTCTTATATTTTGGCAATGTACATCAAGTCCCCCCCCCCGTTTAAATTCTTTTTGGGGGCCCCCAAGAGAGTGGGGCCCTAAGCTATAGCTTGTTTAGCTTATATGTAAATCCGGCACTAATAATAATAATAATAATAATAATAATAATAATAATAATGGCAGCTGCGGGGGAACCTCAACTCTCAGCCCTCCCTTAAGCGGAAAAGGCCGCCCGGCGGCGGGCAAGCCAACAAACGTGGCGCTTCCTCGCCCTCGGGCTCCACCTCTGCCCGGAGCCGCCCGCCGCGCGAGAGGAGCTGGGCTGAGGCAGCTCCGCCGACCGCCTGCGGGCCTCCTTCCTTCGGCGGGTCGGGGAGCCCCTTCTCCTTCCTTCCCCTCAGCCTCGGGGCCACAAGCGGCGGCCAAATGGCGCTCAGCGACCTCTACACGCAGGTAAAGGGGGGCGAGAAAAGCGGGAGGAATCGCGGCCGAGGCAGGTGCCGCTCCAAGCCCGCCCTCCGCTGGGGGGCGCGAAGGGGATTTCTTGTAATGGCCGCCAAGCTTGGCGGGTTGGTTGGCTGCAAAGCCCCCGAGCGCCCCGCAGAAAGTATCTTCCTGGGAACTGTAGTTTGCCCCTTCGAGGGAGCGACGGTTCCCACGAGACCCTTAGCAAACGGCAGTTCTCTACCCTCTTTCCCCGTCGCCATATGGAGGGGAGGGAAAGGCAGAAGAAGAAGCCCGGCAGCCGCCTCTGCCCGTATTGTGTGGGAAAGGAATGCGGGTCACGGGTCAGCCGGGGACGAGGGAATCCTGTTGTCTCGGTTTTCCCCGAGGAGATGGGGGGGGAGAGAGAAATCTGGTGCGGCTGAAGGGAGGGAGGCGGGAAAGGTAAAAGTAATCGTTGGCTGAAGAAGTCGGGCGGAAGGAGGAAGGGTTTCTCTCTCTCGCTCTTCCTCACACACGCAAAGGCGCGCACCGCGATCCTAAAAGCCATCCAGAGTTATTGAACTACGGCGCGGTGGCGCAGCAGAAGCAAACCCCAGACGGAAGGACCCCTGACGTGGTTGGATGGCTGCAATCCTGCGCGCGGTTTACTTGGGACTCTGCGCGCAGTTGTGCTTGACGGCGCTGTATCTGCGCGGGTACTTGCGCGGATGCGGGGAAGGGCCGCTGAACTTAAGGGGATTGACTGCTGAGTAGCATGGATGTAGCTAAGGGGGGACAGGAGGCAGCTGTCCACCCCAAATCAATACAAATCAATACGAATCTGAGGTCGTGTCCCCCACCCACTAACAAAAACCCTAGGGATAGTGAATGACGAAGGCTGCAAACTCAACTCTACAGTGGTACCTCAGGTTAAGAACTTAATTCGTTCCGGAGGTCTGTTCTTAACCTGAAACTGTTCTTAACCTGAAGCATCACTTTAGCTAATGGGGCCTCCTGCTGCTGCTGCGCCACTGGAGCACAATTTCTGTTTTCAACCTGAAGCAAAGTTCTTAACCCAAGGTAATATTTCTGGGTCTGTAACCTGAAGCGTATGTAATCTGAAGCGTATGTAACCCGAGGTACCACTGTACTGGCAAGGAGGAATGGATTATGGATCGGTTGGCTGGATTGGTTTTACTTTTATGCCGCTTTCCCGCAACTGACCTGTGCCCTAAGCGGCATATTGCAAGCTTCCAAAATGTTAAAACAGCGAACATCGGGAATACAAATAGGCAAAATACAAAGCATGTCCAGTAAATTGAAAGTGGGACTGTGAGTGGGAGAGCAGTGGGAGTAAATAAGGTGTCTATAATATTTGCTTCACTTGTGCACTGAGTGACTGAAGACTTCCTTGGTTTAATGGTAAACCATAATTTTACGTTTTGTCCAAGTTTAGAGACAGAAGCTTCTAATATCTTTTTGTGTGTGGCGTGCATGAGCTCAAGGAACCTCATGCTTGTAAGGTTAACCGTGGTGTCTAAAATGTAGCCGGTCCAAGATGTTTTGCTGCCTGACACAGAACGTCAAATGCTCCATTCATCAGATGCATAGTACCCAAAACTAGTCACTTTATTTTGGTGCCTGAGGCAGAAAACACCACACACACACCTCCCTATGAGTAAAAATGCAAAAATAAAAAACTTAACAATGTTCTGCTCTTTCATGGTGCTCCTGAACATCATGAAATCCCTAATAGTAGGGCGAGCCCTGGGAAGAGTAGGTGGAATAAAAGAAACCTAACCCTTTCTGCGCCCACTGATAAAACTGAGCAAATCCTGCCCTTCCCAGCCTGTTTTCTTTCAGCTGGGTATTCCTTCAGTTTCAGAGACTTAACTGGTGGGAAAAACAAAAAAAATGGCTATGTCTTCTATTCCACATGGTTGCGGGTGGAGAGACACTTCTTATGGGCACTGGACCTGCTTGTTTACTTTCTCACAGATATGCAGTGTTCTCCGGTTTCTCTTGCAACCATGCTTTTATTATGTGCCAGTGCAGGTCCAAATCTAGATTTTTTTTTATTCATGTGTTTTCATTATTTTTCCTGAGTGGCTCAAGAAAATTCTCCAGCATAGGAAGGAGGAGGTTGGGTGTAACTCAACAGGAAAGTAAACTCCATGTTTACTTGTAAGGCAGGGTTCAGTGGCATGTAGATAGATGGCTCATTACATTTACCAATGGAGGTACCTGGAATAGACTTTTTAATGATTAGATCTAGTTAGAATCTTTAGATATAAGAATCATGTGACAAAATGTGTATGTGTACATATTTAACATGCAGGGGACACACGCACACACACTCTTAGTTTGATTGCCCCACTCCAGCAGAGGCTTCTTTTTTTGGGGGGGGGAGAGATAATTCTTGCTTATTTCAGTGTTGGCCACAGGTAAGCAGCAACATTTTTGGCTGGCATAGCGCTGAGATGCTTATGGAATTTGATCTTAGCAAATTCCTATACAGAATGCCTTGCTCTACACCTCTTAGACCTCTAATTAGGCCTGCCAGACCTCCGCTTTTGGCTTGTGAGACCATTTTGACCCAGCCACACCCACCTGCCCTACATCTGATGGCTCAGCCAAAAGTGGGGCTAAACATACCCCAACTCCCTCAACTGTTTCTCATAAGACTTGGTTTCCAGATCCTTGATCATCTTGGTCGCCCTCCTCTGCACCTGTTCCAGTTTGTCAATATCCTTTTTAAATTGTGGCATCCAGAACTGGACTCAATATTTTAGGTGTGGTCTGACCAAGGCAGAATAGAGCAGTACTATTACTTCCCTTGAATTCCCCGTATAAGAAGTCATGTTTCCCAAAACAATGAATCTGAGCCTGCAATTCGGTTTTAGCAGCTGAATAAGTAGAGATATTTGAACTTAACAGATTTATTTCTTGCCCTGGAAATTGCAGCAACTGCGTTCACAAATTTAGAAATAAACTGCTGTAAGTTTCTCTGCGCCTGGTCTAAGCAAGCTACATCTTCCAGTGACTTTAACAGAAGACCAGAAGATGTGTAACTCTCTTGTGTCTAAATAAATTGGATTTGAAGTGCTCAGCTTTGACTAGATCATGCCCATAGTTAGTAGTAGAAAAACAACATTCTCTGAACTCCTTGCAAAAGGGCCATACCATTTTTGCACCTTTCTAACCTTTGCAGCTTTGGAAGATATTTCCCTTTAGAAGCAAGGTTACTGATGTATTGACGTTTGAGTTTGGCTTTTTATGGGGATGGGGATATGCTATATCTGAATTGTTTGCTTGCATATTTTATTATATGGTGATGATAATATAAAAAAAAACTCAATAAAACTGTTGGTAGCCAAAAAAAGAAAAAGAAAGAAAGAAGTGCTGCTTATTAAAGTGAATTGTTTTTGTTTTATTATTACAGTATAACAGAGTTTGGATTCCTGATCCTGAAGAAGTCTGGCAGTCTGCTGAAATCACAAGAAACTATAAAAATGGAGAAGACCTACTTCATCTGCAACTAGAAGATGGCACGGTGAGCGAAATAGGTTATGTTATTAGCAGTACTGTGGTGTACGATACTTGCATGCATGTTGACACATAAACAATGACCTGCTGGATTTTTCATCTGATCTCGCTTTGTGTCTGATAGCCTCACCTTGGTTTTTACTCACATGCTAAGCTGGTGTCTGGGCTATATTACCATCTACAGGTGGGACTCGAAAACAGAAGCGGGAGTGGGAATTGCTTATTTGTCCCATGTCCAGAACAGAAATCAATCCAGCAAACGTAACCAGCATATTCTGCTGTTACTTTCAGCCTGTGAATAGACCAGGTTTTCCCCCACCCCACTCCCATTGAAATGAGTGGAATAGCTGAATGGCCACTCAACCCTTCCCAGGTGGGTAGCGATTGCAGGCCTTGCCTCTGTCCATCATCCCCAGCAGCGAAGGCCCGTGTGTTCTGCTGGCTGTTAGGGAAATTCCCCAGTCGGCAGAATCAAGGCACAGGGATTCCCCACCCAGGCGCTGGCTTCAATTGGGCCAATCAGAGGTCAGCTGGCTGGGCATTGGCTGCAGTCCATGTCTGGTCAGCCAGCAGCGCATAAAAGAGCAAATTATGTAATTAATTACAGTGGTACCTCAGGTTACATACGCTTCAGGTTACAGACTCCGCTAACTCAGAAATAGTGCTTCAGGTAAAGAACTTTGCTTCAGGATGAGAACAGAAATCGTGCTTCGGCAGCACGGCAGCAGCAGGAGGCCCCATTAGCTAAAGTGGTGCTTCAGGTTAAGAACAGTTTCAGGTTAAGTACGGACCTCCGGAACGAATTAAGTACTTAACCCGAGGTAAAAAGGTAAAGGTAAAGGGACACCTGACCATTAGGTCCAGTCGTGACCGACTCTGGCGTTGCGGCGCTCATCTCACTTTATTGGCCGAGGGAGCCGGCGTACAGCTTCCGGGTCATGTGGCCAGCATGACTAAGCTGCTTCTGGCGAACCAGAGCAGCGCACGGAAACGCCGTTTACCTTCCCGCCGGAGTGGTACCTATTTATCTACTTGCCCTTTGACGTGCTTTTGAACTGCTAGGTTTAACCCACAGCGTCACCCGAGGTACCACTGTACATAAATTACGTAAGTTCCAACATTTCACCACAGTGCAAGACGCATTTCACCACAGTGCAAGACAAATAACATAGGTTTTGGCAGAAGATGAACTTCAGTGGACAAGAAGCATTGCTGCCTGTGAGGATTACAGGGCAGAACATAGAATGATGCCTGCTTACATCCTTAGGCTCATGTAACATGCTAGCTTTCTACGTCTTCACCTCTCCCATTTACCAACAGGAATTGAAATATCCAGTTGATCCCAGAGCTTTACCTCCTTTGCGAAATCCAGACATACTTGTCGGTGAAAATGACCTCACCGCACTTAGCTATCTTCATGAGCCTGCCGTCCTACACAATCTGAAAGTTCGCTTTGTCGAGTCCAAGCTGATTTATACCTACAGCGGTAAGCAAACGTTCACGCTCCACATTTCTCATATACAAAGTATGTGTGATGCAACTCTTATTTCTATGTTGTGTGTTTTTCCCCCTTGCAGGGATAATTTTGGTTGCAATGAACCCCTACAAGCAGCTGCCGATATATGGAGATGCCATTATCCATGCCTATAGTGGTCAGAATATGGGGGATATGGATCCACATATATTTGCTGTGGCAGAAGAAGCTTACAAGCAAATGGCAAGGTAGAGTCTGGGGAGTTTATAGTATGTTAAACTGTGGCCCTCCAGAATTTGTTGGACTCCAGCTCTCATCTTCCTAACCACTGGGCATGCTAGCCAGGACTGATGGAATCCAATAATATCTGGAGGACCACAGGCCAGCCATCCCTGCTTTAAAACCTCTGATTAAAGAGAGGCTTCCGGGATGGCGCCATCGGCAATGGCGGACTCCCTCTGAACTGGAGGGACCAGCTTCGTGCGAAACGGGTCTTTTCCGCTACGGCGAAGCGGGGACCCTTTTAGAAATCACAGGCGGATGAAGCCTGTGACCATGGGACTTGGCGGGCACCCTTAGCGCCCCCCCAACCCGCAAAGGAACCCAATAACGGGCTCCGAAGCGAAGAGGGGGAAGTGGCGCGGTGCTGCGAGTCAACTGCTTTTTCCGTGGAGCGAAGCCACATAGCCGTTGCTGGAGAGCGCTGCCTTTTTCCTGGGACAATTTGGCATCTAAAATAATCACCCGTGAGTACATAAACTTTGAACAATCGGACTATAAACAAGGACTGGCGAGCAGAAAGGAATTGGACTTAAAAAATTAATCCAATTTGGTACTGAAACGGGAAGGTCTAAACAGGAAGTCAGCCTTCCGTTTCTCTGTAGACAGAATAAAGCAAAGACAACGTAAACTAGAGCTTAGAAAATTACTTCTAAAGGATTGGCTTTCATCATTTAAAATTGTTGAACCCCCCTTCGGTAGCAGGAGAAGAAGGGGGATCTTTTTTTGGACTGTTTAAACCTGCAGAAGTGAGTTCAAAGTAAAGTAACTTTCCTCCGTCCTGATCCTGGAGCGGGGTGTCAGGACTGACGTTTGAAGCTCATTGACCAGAGACAAATGCTTGTGACAGACAGTTAAAAGAAGTGTAATATAGTGATTCCACTGTTTCCTTTCGCATTTTAAAGGAACAAATATTGACAAAATATCTCTAAAAAGAAACTTTGTTGCTATTGTCTTTAAAAAGAAAGAACAAACAGAAGTTTTCCCCCTAGAGGGAGACTGTGAAACTGTAACTAATTCCAGGGAGCTTGCAGCTGTTACAGATTACAATCGTGGGAAAGGACTTGTGACCTTGCAGGACAATGTTTTCAGAAGCTCTGCTGTGTGCTCTCTGTAAAATAAATGCCCTATTGGATCAGTTAAATCAGAAGACGGACTTGATGACTAATGCGGCCAGAACTTTTGAACAGGTTGTGGGAAACTATATGGAGCCCACCCAGGAACTAAAACAGGAGTGTGCCCTGACAGAACAGATGAGAGAAGAGGACGTTGCTGAATCTTGGGCGCCAGAGATGGAGGAAGCTGCGGCCCTGCAGGAACATGAGCCTTTGGATTTGACAAAGGATCTTGGAAAAAACCAGATTTGGAAAGATAAAGTTTGGATTGGTTTGGAAATGGGGGGTTGGATTGACCCCCCCATGCAGGGATGTCTGGACTTTCCGAGTCCGGCAATGGGCCGTCAGATGTTTGGAGCTGTGGGGGCTCTCAATTTTGGAGGGAATCTGAAACATGTTCTTAAATATCACATGGAGTTTAGTCCGGACTATGGAAAAGGGGCTGATTTGTTGAAAAGGGTCAAAAACATTACCAAGCTGGAGTTCCCACGAGTGAAAGGAAAATATGAAGAAGAGCCGCGGAAGGGACATGGAAGAGACTTGAGGGCCTCGGATATAAGGTTACCAGGTTAATGCGCTACATCAATGGGATAAAAAGGACTGACAAAACCCGGGACCAGGAGGAAGGGACGCTGGATGAAGATTGGATTGTTCTTATTTCTTTTTTCTATCGTTAGGATTGTTTTATAAAATTGATGAATGTTAGAAAAATGTTGAAATGAAATTACTTGGCTCTAGTAAAAATGTTTAAAGAATTAGGTAAGAATATTATGGTTATGAGAAGTTGGTAAAAATAAGATTTAAGCTTTAAGTTTTAAGGTTTTTTATAAGATAAGATGAAAATAGATTAATAGATTAATGTAATGACAGAATATTATGAATTATGGAAAGGATTTGCTGCGATGATTATTAATTAGGATACAAGAAAAGGGAGGAGGAGGAGGTCAAAGAAAGAAGGTAATGAAAGTTGAGAATTTGAGAATGATGGATTTATTTTTTCTTTCTTTTTTCTTTTTTCTGTTCTGTCTTTTTTGTAATTCTAAATTTTTTTTCAATAAATATCATTTAAAAAAATAAAAATAAAACCTCTGATAAAAAACCTGTCGCTTCCGTTTGTAAAATGTTGCTACATGCCTGTCCCTTTCAAAAACTTTGGACCCATGTAGGTAAGTTTCTTAGAAATAAAATAATAATAATCAAACAAGCGGCTTCATTGATTCATGAGGGATCCCCTGAAAAACTGTTCAGAGATTGCTGTGAATACTCTCGAAGCACCTACAAAGTTCCTGGAGGAATCAGGTGCCAACAGCGGAAAATGGCTTCACGCACCAGATCACAAAGTCGGGATACCTAAATAAAGCAGGTCTTACCATCTGTAGAGACATACATGATTTTTTGACATTAAAAAAAATAATTTTATTTGATAATGCATTTCCTCCTCACTTTAGGAACAACAAGAATCAATCTGTTATAGTCAGTGGAGAATCAGGAGCTGGGAAAACAGTTTCGGCTAAATATGCTATGCGATACTTTGCTACTGTCAGTAGATCTAGCAGCAACACGCAAGTAGAGGATAAAGTCCTGGCATCGAATCCGATAACAGAGGTAAATTATGGATGGCTCTGTAAAGGGATGAAATCACATATTTATTGAATCATCTCATTCTAACATACTGAGCACCTGCAGCAGAAATTATCATGTTTGACCTTCTGATTTTGAAAACCTATGAAATATCTAAATTAGTCATAGCTAACAGTTCTTTGGCATCCCAGATCTGGTTTTGTTGACTGAACTGCACATGTTTGCTGTTTAATCTGCGCAGGTTATTCTGTTGTCACGCTTGATTTTCTTAAATGCCAAATGTTCACAAAGTTTATTTCCTATCTTAGTTGTTGCAGTAAAGCTTCCTCTTGTAGGCATGGATAAATAACAGATAGGCAATTCCATGATCTACTGTGGAAAATGGAAAAAACACACCGGACTGGGTGTAATGATTGCTGCACCAAAGCAGCAATCATAAGAACACAAGAAGAGCCTGCTGGATCAGACCGACTAAATGGAGTCAGTGTGGTGTAGTGGTTAGAGTGTTGGACTAGGGCCTGGGAGTTGTTGTTTAGTCGTTTAGTCGTGTCCGACTCTTCGTGACCCCAAGGACCAGAGCACGCCAGGCACTCCTGTCTTCCACTGCCTCCCGCAGTTTGGTCAAACTCATGCTGGTAGCTTCGAGAACACTGTCCAACCATCTCGTCCTCTGTCTTCCCCTTCTCCTTGTGCCCTCCATCTTTCCCAACATCAGGGTCTTTTCCAGGGAGTCTTCTCATGAGGTGGCCAAAGTATTGGAGCCTCAGCTTCATGATCTGTCCTTCCAGTGAGCACTCATGGCTAATTTCCTTAAGAATGGATAGGTTTGATCTTCTTACAGTCCATGGGACTCTCAAGAGTCTCCTCCAGCACCATAATTCAAAAGCATCAATTCTTCGGCGATCAGCCTTCTTTATGGTCCTGCTCTCACTTCCATACATCACTACTGGGAAAACCATAGCTTTTACTATACGGACCTTTGTTGGCAAGGTGATGTCTCTACTTTTTAAGATGCTGTCTAGGTTAGGGCCTGGGAGACCAGGGTTCAAATCCCCACTCAGCTATGAAGCTCACTGGATGGTCTTGGGCCAGTCATTTCCTCTTTGCGTAACCTACCTCACAGGGTTGTTGTGGGGATTAAGCTTGATCTCCTTGGAGAAAAAGGCAGGAGAAGAATGTTCCTGTATTGGCAATGCAAGCTAGCAAAATGGCGCTGGTAATTGTAGACTCTAACCCAGTAGGTGAGGCACTTGCCTGGCGTATATGTGGCGTCCATAGGAAGTGGTTCTTCAGCTCATGCTTGTTCACATGCTTTCCTCCTATCTCCCACCTTTTACTGCTGGGAGCAGTGAACAAGAAGGTTTAATCTTGCAGGGACTGGAATGCATAGGCATCCTTCCATGTCTTATTCAAAATGGATTTTAAAAAATTAAATCACTTCTGCCAAACATCTGAAATTAATCCATTTTTAATGGATCTCTTTTGACTCAGTGAGGCCTCTTGACCCTGGTGGGCTGCAGAAGATGTCATGAGGAGCAGCCCAAAGCCTCACATGTGTTTTTGCACCTCCCTACCTGAACAAGACTCTCCCCACCACTGCTCTGCTGCACATTATTACTTGGAAAGGGACAAGGTCCTATTCACAAACCATTGTGCAACGAGTTTACAACGAGTGTTGTGTTGTGTAACACTAAAAACCACCCTCCAACTAGCAGAAGAGACCTGTTGGATATAGTCCATTGAAATTAACGGGCTTAAGTTAGTTGTGTACATTATTTTCAGCAGTCTGTTCTTCAGTAGGAATAACATTGGGCACCATTATTACCAGGGATGCAGGTGGCGCTGTAGTCTAAACCACTGAGCCTCTTGGGCTTGCCGATCAGAAGGTCGGTGGTTCGAATCCCCACAATGGGGTGAGCTCCTGTTGTTCTGTCCCAGCTCCTGTCAACCTAGCAGTTCGAAAGCACTTGTACGTTATTTTCAGCAGGACTGTTCTTCAGTAGGAATAACATTGGGCACCATTATAAAGCATCCAGCTCACACATACATAAATTCTGACCAAGTCTGAAAACAATTCCCCAAATCACTGTGTTGTAAATTTTTCATTTATTTATAAGAGCATTTATAAGCGGCCAACTTATAAAATCGGTAACGTGCTAACAAATAGATGTATGTGCATTGAAATGATTCTCCATTTCATAGGCTGTCGGTAATGCTAAAACCACACGCAACGACAACAGCAGCCGCTTTGGAAAATACACAGAAATCAGTTTTGATAGGAGGTACCAGATCATTGGTGCAAATATGAGAACATACCTGCTTGAGAAATCCAGAGTTGTCTTCCAGGTTAGTAAAATTTGCCAGTGGAATTGCATTATATCTTTGCTAACAGATTGCCATCAAGGCAAGATGGATTCTGTTGTGGGCTAAGAAAGATCCAGCTGCTCAGCCCCATTTTTTTTTTATCTCTGAGGGTCTTGGTGGGAGCTGTTGCCTGGCATGACACCGAGGAATACAAGGATGAGGGCTGGACATGCTTCTTAAATAATCCTGATTCTATATGGGCATAATGTGCAGTTCCTGTTCCTGCAATAGTTTTAAGTGTCATTTTATTTTGTAAATCGCTTGGAGAGTCACTCACAGTTATAAAGCAGGATATAAGTACTCTAAATAAATAATGAATAAAATACAGATAATGGGTTGTATCCAATGCTAGATCTATTAAGAGAAAACTTGAAATTAATGAACCTAAAGATGGTCACATTCATTAATGTTAATGGGTCTTCTCTGAACAGGACTGACGTTGAATGCAGGCCAATGCTCCACATATTAATCTTCTCATTAGTATGTCCTGTCACTTAGATCTTTGGGCTGGTATCCCCAAACTGTCCCAGGTTCTGGAGCAGTGAATTCCTGTGCTCCTTAATTGCAGGGTTGTTTCAGGTACAGGGTAAAAGTAAAGCTAACTTTTCAGGTAACTAAACAAGCTATTTCTGCAAGCTGATTTCCTAAAAAGGAGGTTTAGAGGAAACTTCTGGGTTTCTGTGAGCAATTTTTCAATTAGTGCTTCCTGGAGACATCATTATTATTACTTGCCAGCTCTTGTCAGTTTTTAACTTGAGGCAATTATGAGAGCAACAGTTTTGGCAAGCTGTATTCAGCATTGTCTGATTTGGAGATGTGCACTCAGTAATAAGCTAAAACTGCTGCATTGAAATTTACAAGTTGCCACCATCTCTGGGATTTAATTTTCCTAGAGCTGTGATCGACATGCTACACCCAGTGCCAATTCTGCAATCAGTCTCGAGGGCTAGTGAGCTGTGCGGCTTTCTTGATTCCCAAAATGAGAGGAAAAACCTTTCTCTGATATGACTCACAGAATCGTAGAATTGTAGAGTTGGACGGGACCACAAGGGTCATCTAGTCCAACCCCCTGCAATGTAGGAATCTTTGCCCAACATGGAGTAATGAATCCGTGACTCTGAGATTAAGAGTCACTATTGTCATGTTAGTCAAGTGGCCAAGCAGGCCAGAAGCTGTGGCAGGTGCGTCTCCTTCTACAAGATGAAAAAATTTTCTTCGTTTCTCGTTTTATCATCTTGTTTACTTTCATTGACAGTCGGAGAATGAAAGAAATTACCATATATTTTATCAGTTATGTGCATCAGCTCTGAGACCAGAATTTGAGCACCTTAAACTGGGTATGTCTTATTTCCTATTTTCATTGTTGTATTTTAACACAGTTATTTAAAAAAACAACAACCAAGCAGTATATACATTTTATTAAATAAATAAATAAATAAGTTGATCTTACTAAAGGACTTTTGTTGCATCATTTGGTCACTGATGGCCTATTCGTAGAAGTCTCAACTTAATATCCAGTCTATAACGTCACTATGTTTTGCTTTTCACCTGCAGCAAGCCCCGAAGAATTTAATTATACCAACATGGGTGGAAACGCTGTGATTGAAGGAGTGAATGACTATGCCAACATGATGGAGACTCAGAAGACATTCACCCTGCTAGGTAGATAAACTTTGCCTTTGATAAAGTAGCAAAATTATAACGATGGAAAATTTATTGGGATTACCGTTCTGAGAATAACTACTGATTAGATGTTACAGTATAACCATGTTCCTAATTTACTTCTTGAAATATGGCAACCGTATCATAGGGCAGAATTACTTGTACAGTGGTATCTCGGGTTAAGAACTTAATTCGTTCCGGTGGTCCATTCTTAACCTGAAACTGTTCTTAACCTGAAGCACCACTTTAGTTAAGGGGGCCTCCCACTGCCGCTGCGCCACTGCTGCGCAATTTCTGTTCTCATCCTGAAGCAAAGTTCTTAACCTGAGGTACTATTTCTGGGTTAGCGGAGTCTGTAACCTGAAGCGTCTGTAACCCGAGGTACCACTGTAATATTAATGTAGAGAGGGGGACATTTGCATGGGAGAATGGGTGGCTGGGAAAGGGGAGCATCCCACGTCAACCAATTCACTCCTGTAATTCAAGAGTGCTAGCTTTTCTCCTGGCCCTAGGTAAACCTCCCCTCTCCTGCTTGCTAGCTTCTTCCTGGAAATGCTCTTCTATGTCCCTGCGTTCACACTGAGAAACACGGTTGCAAAAGGATTCCAATTGATGCTGCCACTCCCTGCTTGACTTGGCAGTAGACCTGACACTTGGCTGAGGAGTGGGAGCCAGAACTGGTGGTTTGAGAAGGATATTGAGAGTGTCCTTTGAGAGAGCAAAAGGCAGCACCTGAGAGTGCTTTTTCTGGGCTCTGGTAGGCAGAGGAGGAGGGGTGTGGAGCCACAGCAGAGATATTCAGGCAATGAAATGCGTACTGTTTAGGAGCCAAGTGGAGAGATTTGGCAGAAAAGAAAGAGGAGGAAGAGGGAAATGAGGCAAGTTGGAAAATGAATTTGGGCTGCCTCAGCAAGGGCAATGAGGAGGGGGAACAGGAAGAGTAATCGGACAGAAGGGTCTGGAGTTGTTATCTCTAGTGATAAGCCAGAAAGAGAGAGAAGGATGCCAAAGAAAGGAGAGGACACTGTACAAGGCAAGTCAGGCGGAGAGCTGTGCAGGAGAGAAAACATTGTATATAAAACTAATTGTATATAAAATTAGGGACACGGGTGGCGCTGTGGGTTAAACCACAAAGCCTAGGTTTGCTGATCAGAAGGTCAGCGGTTCGAATCCCCGCAACGGGGTGAGCTCCCGTTGCTCGGTCCCAGCTCCTGCCAACCTAGCAGTTCGAAAGCACGTCAAAGTGCAAATAGATAAATAGGTACCGCTCTGGCAGGAAGGTAAACGGCGTTTCCATGCACTGCTCTGGTTCACCAGAAGCGGCTTAGTCATGCTGGCCACATGACCCAGAAGCTGTACGCCGGCTCCCTCGGCCAATAAAGCGAGATGAGCGCCGCAACCCCAGAGTCGGCTATGACTGGACCTAATGGTCAGGGGTCCCTTTACCTTTTCCTATATAAAATTAATTGTAGAGTCCCTCAATTAAAGGGGGCAGAAGAACTGTGAGCAAGTTCAGCTCTCTGAGAACAAGAGACCACCAGGAGTTCTGAAGACTCCTGGGACCAGAGGCAGAGAGAGAGCTGACTCTTAGTTTGGGTGGTATAATAAACAGATGATTTCACCCTGATATAACTAGTTCTGAATAATACAGGACTTCAGCATGGCCCTATGCTAACACGCAATGAGTGAAAGGGAGAGTCGCTTCTAATTTGTGTACTGTAACTTGCAACACCTAATGCCTGCATTTCTTCCTGTTCTTGGCTGTGTAATGTTGAATCGAGATTTATTTGTTTTCCTTTTAGGTTTGAAGGAAGATTTCCAGATGGACGTTTTTAAAATATTGGCAGCCATTCTGCACTTAGGCAATGTGCAAATAGCTCCTGTTGGTGATGAAAGATCTTCTGTTAGTGTAAGAATTGCCAGCAAAATATTTTGGGACTTATTTTCCCTTGGTGAACAATGGAAGAAGCCCTTGCCATGTTTTCCCATTTAGCTAGGGCACACGCGTAATCATGCTGCACTTTAGTCTTGCTGCTCATTTCCTTCTTTGAGGATGCAACCCTCAAAGCCAATCGAGTTACAGTGGTGCCCCGCAAGACGAATGCCTCGCAAGACGGAAAACTCGCTAGACGAAAGAGTTTTCCGTTTTGGAGGTGCTTCGCAAAACGAATCTCCTATGGGCTTGCTTCGCAAGACGAAAATGTCTTGCGAGTTCCTGCGGGTTTTTTTCCCTTTCCCCCCCTTTTTCTAAGCCGCTTATCCGCTAAGCCGATAAGCCGCTAAAAGCCGCTAATAGCACTAATACCGCTAATCCGCTAATCCGTCAATGGGCTTGCTTCGCAAGACGAAAAAACCGCTAGACTAAGAGACTCACAGAACGGATTCTTTTCGTCTTGCGAGGCACCACTGTACCATATTTTTCGCTCTATAGGACGCACCAGATGATAGTTGGGGGGGAGGAAATAAGGGGGGGAAATTTCTGAATCCCAGAAGCCAGAACAGCAAGAGGGATCTGGCTTCTGGGATAGCCTCTTGCTGTTCTGGCTTCTGGGATAGCCGCTGGGATAGCTGGTCTAGCTTTGCGCGAAGCCTCAGCAGGGCACGGGGAGCCTTCATCCCCGTGCCCTGCGGAGGCTTCTGGGACAGCCCGCGAAGCCTCCGGAGGGCAGCGGGATGAAGGCACCCCTCTGCCCTGCGGAGGCTTTCCGCCGCTAACCCCGAGGCTAGAACAGCGATACGGAGCGCTGCGCAGCGCTCCGTCTCGCTGTTCTGGCTTCTGGGGCAGCCCGTGCAGCCTCCGCAGGGCAGTGGGGTGCCTTCATCCCGCTGCCCTGCGGAAGCTTTGCACAGCTAAGCCAGAAGCTAGAATAGTGAGACGGAGCGCTGCGTAGCACTCCCTCTCCCTGTTCTGGCTTCTGGCTTAGCCGCGCAGCCTGCATTCACTCCATAAGACACACACACATTCTCCCTTACTTTTTAGAAGGGAAAAAGTGCGTCATAGAGCGAAAAATACAGTACTATTTACTAAATGCATTTGTATCTTGCCCTGCGTTCACGCAGTTTGCTTCATAGCTCAGTTAGGTTTTGGACCTAGGTTCTTCATAGCCAAAGTCAACACTTCAGTGTCCCTTACACCACACTGCTTTGTGTTGTGTAGTGCATTGGCTTTCCTGGTTTGCCATACAAGAAGGCACTGCACTTTCAGTTCTGTGCTGCAAGCCTTGTGTTAAAGTTCTTCTTGTTCATGCATCCTCTGTGTGCCCTCCTTTTCATGATCCTTTTCAGTTTCTCAGTGGGGAGCAAATTGCCCCCTTAAAGATGCTTTCAGGTCGAGCCTTGCATGCTACGGGGATGAGTTCTGGCACCGGAAATAGCATATGGAACTGAATGATTTCCAGGTGTCAAATCTAGTAAACCCTGGGATCTCTTGACATTGCAGTGGATTGCGAAATGGGTCTCTTCTTGGGTTCTGCTCCTGCTTCTGTCAGGGACTGAAACAAATAATGTAGTTTAAAATCTGGTCTTTTAAAATATGTGTTGGAATGTCTTGATACAGATGCGTGGAAATTTGTAGCTACCGTATGTTGCTGGCAAATGTAAAACTTCATGTGAATGAGGAAACTTTAGGTTCCCCACCTGCCTACATTGATGGCAGTGTGTCACAAAGAATGGAGAGATGATACATACTCTTGTCAAATTCCCGTACCACCTTTGTAGTGTTTATTTTTAAATAAATTTTATTTTTGCATTTTCTATTTTACATAAATGGATGAATTAAAAACAAACATATAATCCCTTCTGACTTCCCTTCACCCCCCATTGTGGATATTAATGTAATGATTTCCCCCTCTGCATCACTATCATAACTCTATATTTATAAAATCTTTGTCAATCCATAGTTCAAATTTGAACTACAAATTTCTTGTCAATCCTAGCAATGTATGTAGTTGTTTACAATAGCTTTTCAAATAAATTGTAAACTTTCCCCATTTTTTATTAAAGACCTCCTCTTCCTAGTTTATAATTCTTCCTGTAAACCACCTTTGTAATGTTTAGTTTAATTTATTACATATGCTGATAACATTGTAATGTGCACTTCTCTAACCATGTCTGTGGGTGTATTATATTACCCCTCATTAAAATAACACTAGGTTCTAGACTTAATAAAATGTGAGGATTTAGGCCAGGCATAGGTAAACTCCGGCCCTTCAGATGTTTGGGACTACAATTCCCATCACCCCTGACCACTGGTCCTGTTAGCTAGGGATGATGGGAATTGTAGTCCCAAACATCTGGAGGGCTGGAGCTTGCCTATGCCCGATTTAGGCAATGGAGGCTGGTCCATTAGGGCAAATGGGGCCCTGACCCACTAACCTCAGCCAATCCCCAGCTGCCTGTTTTCTTACCTTCAACCAGCCCAGGGTGTGGCACTGCTTGTCCACTTCTTCCGCCTTACTCTCAGTGTTGCCTTTATAGTATTTAGCAAGGAGGAGGATGGGGACCGTACTAGAATTACAGTGGTGCCCCGCAAGACGAATGCCTCGCAAGACGGAAAACCCGCTAGACGAAAGGGTTTTCCGTTTTTGAGTTGCTTCGCAGGACGAATTTCCCTATGGGCTTGCTTCGCAAGACGAAAATGTCTTGCGAGTCTTGAGATTTTTTTTTCGCTTTCCCCCCCCTTTATCTAAGCCGCTAAGCCTTTAATAGCCTTTTAGCAGCTAATCTGCTAAGCCGATAAGCCTTTAATAGCCGCTAAACCACTAATAGCGCTAATCCGTTAAGCCGCTAATAGGGTTGCTTCGCAAGACGAAAAAACCGCTAGACGAAGACACTCGCGGAATGGATTAATTTCGTCTTGCGAGGCACCACTGTAGATGACTCTTCCTGTTATTGGCTCTGGCTCCACCTAGTGTTGGCCTCCGTGTCTTCTGCCCTACCAGATCTCATTAGGCACCAGCAACCACTGGGTTTAGATATCTGATGTGGAAATTTCATTGCTTGCCTGTCCTCCTCCTCACCCCCCCTTAGCTTGGATGTTGTCATATGACTATTATTAAAGTATGCAACATTCTGAAGCATGACTGTTGATTAATGATTTCTTTCTTCTTTTTCAAAGCTGGATGACAAACATCTCCACATATTCTGTGACCTACTGGATTTAGAAAGCGACAAAGTGGCACGGTGGCTGTGCCACAGAAAAATCGTCACCACCTCTGAAACTGTAGTGAAACCCATGACAAAACTCCAAGCCCTTAATGCCCGTGATGCTTTGGCAAAAAAGATTTATGCCCACCTTTTTGATTTCATCGTGGAACGAATTAACAAGGCACTGGAGTTTTCTGGCAAACAGCACACTTTTATTGGTGTTTTGGACATCTATGGGTAAGATGTTTATTTCTGAGAGAGAGCGAAAACTGCACGTTTATTTAATACAGTGGTACCTTGGGTTAAGTACTTAATTCGTCCCGGAGGCCGTTCTTAACCTGAAACTGTTCTTAACCTGAAGCACCACTTTAGCTAATGGGGCCTCCTGCTGCTGCCGCACCGCCAGAGCATGATTTCTGTTCTCACCCTGAAGCAAAGTTCTTAACCTGAAGCACTATTTCTGAGTTAGCGGAGTCTGTAACCTGAAGCGTTTGTAACCTGAAACGTATGTAACCCGAGGTACCACTGTACTCTGTCTTATTTCAGCAAATGATTGGAAACAATCTCTTGTAGAATGGAGGAATGAGATGCTAGAATACTTTGCTGGGAGGACTTATTGATAACTGAAGTTCTTTAGGCAGTATATAATTAAAATAGGCAATGGTGCACGATTTGCTAGCAAAAGTTCAGAAAAGTTTCTCCCGTAGTTCTCCAATGCTCAAACTGCCACCTGAATCTACTGGCATGGAAGCAGCAGATATTAGTCCCTCACAGGCCAAGGCTTCATCAAATAAAGATTAATAATTACATTTCCAACCATTTATTTCAGATTTGAAACTTTTGATATCAACAGCTTTGAACAATTTTGCATCAATTATGCCAACGAAAAGCTGCAGCAGCAATTTAACCTGGTATGATATATCTTACGGATATTAGTAATTGGAATTCTTAAAAAACAACCTGTTTACTTTGTGAGTAACTTCTAGGAACTTGAAAATTTTGAAATTCTATTTCAGTCATGTGTTATCTTCTTATATCTAACATGCAACATCTCAAATAAACATGTAGCATGTTTTCTGTTTCTGAACAGCTGTCATTATAGCGCAAGGTGGCCCAGCATGGTGCTCTTGAACTAATAGGCAGTTTCTACCTAAATAATCTCAGTGCATCTTTTCTAAGGGTTATTGTCTACAAGAAAGAAACTTCCAACCAGTATGCGCTAGATTGGCTCATGCTGCCATGGCAATTGATTTCTTATTTGCATACTGTATTAGCCTTATGAAGTATTTTTTTTTCATTTGTTTTACTTCTAAAAAAACTCTGTCTTTCTTGAAGATAACTTGGTAGCTCCTTCAACACAGGTATTATATGTTGTCAATAGCCAATGCCTGATAACAACCTGTCTGCAGAGTTCTGCACCAGCTTCAGCTTCTGAACCAAACATGTTACATAGAGTCCATCCTCAAGTTTGCCTTTGCTGCCCTGATTTTGTTGTGACTGTATCTGACAATGTCATTATTAGCATGTCTTTAAACTTGAACAAGAAGAATACATGAAAGAAAATATCCCATGGACGCTCATTGACTTTTATGACAACCAACCAGTCATTGATCTTATTGAAGCTAAAATGGGCATTTTAGAGCTTCTGGATGAAGAGTGCCTGGTAAGTTTTTATTGTGTTTTTATTTTGCTGTTCTCAGTATAGTTGCTGTAGACCTACATCTTTGCTTTATTTTCTTCTTTTCTCCTCTTTACGCAACATTTATGCAGCCATGTCGGCAAGACGTCTCATTAATGTAAGAAAGAGCTCAAATATTTCTTTTTAATAAGTCTCTTTATACTTGTGCTGGCATACTCTCAAGTAAAAGGCATACCCTCCAACATTTCTCTGATGAAAATGTTGTTGTTGTTGTTTAGTCGTTTAGTCGTGTCCGACTCTTCGTGACCCCATGGACCAGAAATAGGGATGCCCTATTCCATCCTCCTCATCATCATAATTTTATTATTTATACCCTGCCTGGGTTGCCCCAGCCACTCTGGGTGGCTTCCAACATATATTAAAACATAATTAAACATTTTAAAAAACTTCCCTATACAGTCGTACCTTTGAAGTTGAACGGAATCCGTTCTGGAAGTCCATTCAACTTCCAAAATGTTTGAAAACCAAAGCGTGGCTTCTGATTGGCTGCAGTAAGCTCCTGCAGCCAATCGGAAGCCGTGGAAGCACAATCGGATGTTCGGCTTCCAAAAATAGTTTGCAAACTGGAACAGTCACTTCTGGGTTTGCGATGTTCGGGAGCCAAAACGTTCAGGAACTAAGCTGTTTGACTTCCAAGGTACGGCTGTACAGTACTGCCTTCAGATGTCTTATAAAGGTTGTATAGTTACTTATCTCCCTGGCTCAGGGATCGCATAACTCCATACCTTCCAACAATTCTCTGATGAAAATATAGATGTCCTAAGGAAAAGCAGGACATTCTGGGATCAAATTAGAAACCAGGATGGCTTCTGTAAATCCTGGACTGTCCTTGGAAAATAGGGACACTTGGAGAGTCTGTATAAGGTACTATACACAGGCTAGCCTATAGGCCATGTCAGGGCCAGAAGTTTGGAAGTGAATTGGGAAAGTAGCAGGCAATTCAGGAAGTGTGCAGGGGTGGGCGATCTCAGGGTTCAGTCTGTGCCTGAGGTTGCTTACACTGAGAAGCCAAGCCAACGGTCACAGGTTTTGTAGGACAATGTGAAATCCTGTGACCCCTGCTGACCTGATAAGCTGACCATCTGCAGCAGTGGAGCTTAGCTCCTTCCTCTGGGAAGCTACCACAGTAGTTCAGAAAGTAAGCTGCTTGGGTGCTGCTACTGGGGCACCCGGCTTGAAACCACTTTTGCCTTGCAAAACAGCAGCCCCGTTAATTGAATAATTGGCTAAAGTTATTTTGCACATCGCGTTTCACTTTTTTTTGCAGTTACCTCAAGGAACTGATGAAAATTGGCTCCTTAAATTATATAACAATTTTGCAAACAAGAATCCACTCTTTGAAGAGCCAAGAATGTCAAACTCTTCTTTTATAATCCAGCACTTTGCTGATAAGGTAAGGCATTCCTCTTGGCAAGGTGTTGCAACCTTCCCATATCTGGATATAATGTTTAGAGTGTAAAATATCCTCTATAATCTAATGAATGTGTTTGCCTATATAGTATTAAGTATACAGCAAACATTCTGGAAAATGAAGCTGTTTGCTTCAGTTACCTCCTGATTTACAAAGACAAAACAATTGGCAATATGAATTATAGATGTAAATGTGGATGCAGTGCTCCCCAGCCTGTAACCATGTTTAAGAGAACAGGAATGGGTTATTGTAGGATTGTGTTCTGACTCCCTCCTCCCTTCACCTGGAAGCAGGCTTTGATGTTATTTCTGCAAATGCTAACCCTGGTTAATGCTAATCAGGGCCTGCTTCTAACCCAGGATTTTAAACCAGGGTTTGAAGCAACATTAATGAATATGTAAATGATGATGATACAGATGAAAATATATCTTGCTATTTTGCTTTGTGGATAGCTGGCTCAAAAACAGTTTAGTATTGATTTCATCTATGTAATGTCTACTGTAAGTAGTATGTGAGTAGGTTTGAATTCACTTCCCTTTACTGTAAACTGGTGTGTGAACTTCAGATGAAGGATAGTATAATAAAATAAAATGAAATAAAATAAAAAACAAAACAGTATTCATCGTGGGTGAATGCGCTGCTATGTTAGGAACTTGGAATTGCTGGATCTGGCAATATTGCAACTTTCGTGGATGAAAATGGTTGGCAGTCAGAGCTAAGGCCTTTGTGTTATAGCTTAGGCAACTTCCTAAGTCTTATTTTCTGTTAATGAAGCTATGGATGTGGATGTGGCCTTTTATCAGCTTGGGTTTCTATAGCTTTACATGTTTCTTAGCAATTGTTGATTTCACCTTTCTCACGCAGGTGGAGTATAAAAGTGATGGATTTTTGGAAAAAAATAGAGACACGGTATATGAAGTATTAATTGAAATCTTACGAAGCAGCAAGGTTTGTAAATAACCTGTTCTATTCCTTCCTACTATTGAAACTGGTACATCTGCTGTCATATAGTATTTAAAAAGATGCTCTCATCTATTATTACATTCTTGAAATAGATAAAATGGTAGCCGACATGCAGGTTCTTGTTTCTGTTTAGATATTCTTTCTAAACATGTTTTCTATTTATAGTCACCTTTCCTATTAGTAACAAATGAATATATGTAATAACCATTGCATGCTACTGTTGTTTTTCTTTAGTTTCGACTATGTGCAAACTTTTTCCAAGACAATCCAGTACCTGTCTCCCCATTCAGCTCGGTGATCAAAGTTAAGTCTGCAAAAACAGTGATCAAGCCACCTAATAAGCAGTTCCGTACAACAGTTGGCAATAAGGTATTTTTAGATTCCTCTTAATGAATGATGAGCTATTAGTGCATTTATACAGGCGGCAACCCTTTTGCGTGGGGGTTCTGTTCCTGGGCTCTGTACGCGTTGGCAGAGCGCACGTGAGCCCACTCTGTCCCATTACGCCCCCGTTTCCCCAGCCCCCCTGTTCTGCTCTCTTCAAGGTCTCCAAAAGGTGGTTGCAAATCCAGTGGCGGAGGAAGCCGCTCAGGCGCCTGGGGCGGCGCACCACAGGGCCTCCAGAGTCTGCCTGTCTCCTCCCACTCAGCCGCCCTACAGCTGGGGGGGGGAGGCAGCGGGCGAACCGTTTGGGCAGCGCGGAGCCTGCACGCGCCCAAGCCACCACGTCTCCCCCAGGAGAGACGCGTGGCTTGGGTGAGCTGCAGGCTCTGCGGTGAGTGCCACCCAGCATTTTGTCACCCCCCTCAGTGGTGACACCCAGGGTGGTCCACACCAACCACACACCCCTTCCTCTGCCCCTGTGCACATCAGTGGGACAGGCCTGTATTCCATCTTTCTTTCAAGAAGCTGAAGGCAGTATACATGGCACTGGGACAGGCTTAAGCAAGAGGGAGAGATCAAGGGGATGATAGAGAGAATACAAAAATGCCCCCCCCACCTTTTCAATCAAGTTTACCAACTCTTTCCTAGTTTGTAAATATTCAGTGGAGTTTTGTGATCTATATTTTTGTCTGTCTGAAAGCCCCTTCTCAAGTTAGTATTGCATTGTTGTTTCGTTCTGAAGGTTTAAGCAGTCAATGTTTTAATATTTTCTAGTTTCGTACTTCCTTATATTTACTAATGGAGACACTTAATGCAACCACACCTCACTATGTGCGATGCATCAAGCCAAATGATCAGAAGCTAGCATTTGAGTGAGTATATTTATTCAATTGAAATATACTCTTTGCTTTAACGGAGATGTGTTTCAGTATTACACTGAAGATGGATAGTGTTCTGCATGCCAGTTGTTTATTAGGCAAAATCACCCCCTTTTTAATTGTTGCTTTTAAAGTGGTATGGGTAGGAAATCTACTTTCCATAAAATTTCATAACTTAACATAAGTTATTTTTCACAACTTACCCCTTGCTGGAATGGGGCTTTAAAAAATAATTATTACCAAAATAAAAATAAAAATTATTACATAGAAACTTCACTTTGCCTGTTAAAATAACCCACCATGATATATAGGCTATAGAATTAAAGGACTTAATCATTCATAAAAACGGCAGAAAATAACTGTTTTATTTGACTCCCATAGGTTCGATTCTAAAAGAGTGGTTCAGCAATTGCGAGCTTGTGGTGTTTTAGAAACAATTCGGATTAGTGCTCAAAGTTACCCATCTAGGTATGTAACAATCGCTGCGGGTTTCAATGATTTTGATTTATATCAATTTAATTCACTGGTCCACCTGCTATTTTTATTTTATAGGTGGACTTACATTGAGTTTTACAGCCGTTACAGGATTCTCATGTCCCAGCATGAACTTTCACTTACTGACAAGAAACAAATTTGCAAGATTGTTTTGCAGCGGCTCATTCAGGTCAGAGATTTTGTAACAATCCAAGGTGACAGGCTTCCATTCTTATTTAATCACCCAGAATTCATTTGTCATCTGTAAATGAAAATACATTTTTGGTCTCAATATTGTACTGTTCCTTCATGACGACTAGAATTAAACATTTGTATCATGTTGCAATAGATTTGAAATATGTTTAACAAAGCCTTTTTTTTTGTTTCTCCCAGGATCCAACCCAATACCAGTTTGGTAGAACAAAAATTTTCTTCAGAGCAGGGCAGGTTGCTTATCTGGAAAAATTACGGTCAGATAAGTTGAGGCAAGCATGTATTGTGATTCAGAAGAATGCCCGAGGTTGGCTGCAGCGGAAGAAATTCCTCCATATCAGACAAGCAGCAGTTATAATACAGCAGTACTTCCGAGGACAACGGACTGTACGGTAATTTCAGGGACTAACCTAGTCAGGGGTTTGTTTAAATTTTTTTCTGAAGAATGTAAATATGTGGAAGGACTGGGATAATGCCTGGGATTCATGTGCATCTATTTGTAGGAGAAGTTCTCATTTTCATATCTACAGATATGAAATCTAACAGAATGCTTCTAGAAGAGGTTTCAGATGCATTCGGCTAGCTCCAAAAGGGTGCCTTAGCATCTTCTACATGGGAAGTGGGAACTGCTGTCCTGTTGGTGTGCTGAAGCAATAAGAATAATTTATTATTTATGCCCCGCCCATCTGGCTGGGTTTCCCCAACTACTCTAGGCAGCACCCAGCAGAATATTAATATTAATAATAATAAAGCGATACAACCTCAAACATTAAAAAAATCCCTAAGCAGGGCTGCCTTCAGATGTCTTCTAAAAGTCAGATAGTTGTTTATTTCCTTGACATCTGATGGGAGGGCGTTCCACAGGATGGGCACCACTACTGAGAAGGCCCTCTGCCTGGTTCCATGTAGCTTCACTTCTCGCAGTGAGGGAACCACCAGAAGGCCCTCAGAGCTGGACCTCAGTATCCGGGCTGAACGATGGGGGTGAAGATGTTTCTTCAGGTATACTGGGCCGAGGCCGTTTAGGGCTTTAAAGGTCAGTAGCAACACTTCGAATTGTGCTCAGAAACATACTGGGGGCCAATGTAGGTCTTTCAGGACTGGTGTTATATGGTCTTGGCGGCCACTCCCAGTCACCAGTCTAGCTGCCAGTGTGGTGTAGTGGTTAAGCGCGGTAGACTCATAATCTAGTGAACCGGGTTCGTGTCTCCGCTCCTCCACATGCAGCTGCTGAGTGACCTTGGGCTAGTCACATTTCTTTGAAGTATCTCAGCCCCACTCACCTCACAGAGTGTTTGTTGTGGGGGAGGAAGGGAAAGGAGAATGTTAGCCGCTTTGAGACTCCTTTGGGTAGTGATAAAGCGGGATATCAAATCCAAACTACTACTACTACTACTACTACTACTACTACTCTTCTTCTTCTTCTTCTTCTTCTTCTTCTTCTTCTTCTTCTTCCGGATTAGTTGTAGTTTCCGGGTCACCTTCAAAGGTAGCCCCACGTAGAACACATTGCAGTAGTCCAAGCAGGAGATAACTAGAGCATGCACCACTCTGGCGAGACAGTCTGCGGGCAGGTAGGGTCTCAGCCTGCGTACCAGATGGAGCTGGTAGACAGCTATCCTGGACACAGAATTGACCTGTGCCTCCATGGACAGCTGTGAGCTGTGAGTCCCAATCTTTGGGACAAGCAATGTTTCCCTAGGCCCTCATGATCAACTGGTATAGTCATAGGGCCAGTCTGTTTTCCAGACAGTAATCTGGGAGCCAGCCATGCGTTTCATTGCAGAATCTGACCCTCATGGGTAGATCAGGCTCTGCAGTGAAGTTGCTGCCATCCAGTAGCACCTTCATAGTTGTAGAGCAGATTGAAAGAGTGCCCATCCTCAGGCTGGAGGGTTGGTCCTGAGGTTCTTTCAAGGGGGTGGAGCCTGGATGAAGCAGTCTGGAGGCGGAGGAGTAAATGTCCTCATCTGCTCCCAACCTTGTTGCTCCCCTGGAGCTATCCATGGTCCTCCTGCCTTGCTGCTTTCCCCATGGTTTCCATCATTGACCCTAATGGTCTGACTCCATATAACACAGCTTCCTCTGTTCCTATGAAATCCTCCTGCAAAAGATTTTTCCTTTGCTACCAGGCTTGAGTTCAAGCCAGAGATGCAACAGTACAATTTCCTTTTGCAGGTACAGATCAGGATGCAAAAGAGGAATCGGGAACACACTATGTGTGCTTTACAGCCAAAAGTTGTCACCATAGGCTGCAAAGAAAAAGGCCCTCAACTTTTGGCTGCAAAGGAAGATTCAGTAGCACCTTCCAGTGAGTTTCCAGTTCTTCTTTCCAGAAGCTGTGGCTTGAAGGTTTGCCCAATATGGCCTGGCAAGCCTGATTAAGCCCCCAACCTGGATATCCCTCATTTCTGGTCTAGAACCATGAGGGCCAATTGGTGGTTGGATTCTGCCCCTGAAGGAGTTTTATCTGGCCCCCGGTGACTCTACCATGCTGTGGTAAAAGGTTTGTCAACAGTTTCAGTCCAAAAAATTATTTTAAAAGTGTTTTCAGGTAGTGAGAAATTGAGATATTCTACACTTTAAAGGAAGATCACCTTTGGGTTTTGCAGTTACATTTGGTGCACTGCCAAACTGGGGATGTGCGTGGTGCTTTTTCAGGCTCGGGGGAAGGTGCCTGTGAAGGTCCAAGATCCTAGGAGGTTCTGGGAGGTTCCTTTGGGAGTTCTTAGCCAACTGCCTCAGGCTTAATGGTCTCCCCATCTTCCACTGTCTTCTCTGAGCCCCAATGCTGCTCCAGCTCCTCATCTGGTGTCCCCACAGCCTCAGTCCCTGTGTCCAGATCACTGCTGAATACAGGGGTCATGACAACTGGTCCCTGAACTGTAGCTCAGTGTTGGCTACACTGATTGACGGTGGCTCTTCAAGATTTTAGAAAGGAGATATCGGGCATTGAACCTGCAACCTTCTGTGTGCTCTTACCACTGTGTAGCTCTTACCACCAAGCGATGACACAAATACTAAGGGTAATTTAATTTCTCTTCAGACAAGCTATAACTGCAAGAGCCTTGAAAGAAGCATGGGCAGCTATCATTATCCAGAAGTACTGCCGGGGATATCTAGTACGTAGGCTTTGCCATCTTATCCGTGTGGCTGTTTTGACAATCCAAGCTTTTACTCGAGGCTTTCTGGCAAGGAGGAAATACAGAAAGGTACAAATAATTCACCAAATAATCTATATATTAGTTTCCTGTTCAGTGAATAAATATCTACGTCTGATAGGGCTGCTTCTTTAAAACATGTATATTTCTTGAAATATGGGTGCAGAATTGCAATATGACGTCTGTCCTCAGCTTCACCGCCGTGAATTCTCAGTACGTTTATGTGTTGGTCAGAGAAACTCCACCACTAGTACCCAAATGAGCATGCTATACCATGATGGCTAAGAGCGTTAGCTGTGAAGCAGGAAGTCCCCAGTTCAGATTGCACCTCCCATAGGAAACAGTGGTCTCCCCAACTCAGCCTCCCAGTTAGCATATGGGAATAATAGTAAATAATAGCAATATTGACCTACATTCTAATTATAGAGCTTTTGTAAGAATTACCAAGATAATGTATGTCGAAGCACTTTGAAGACTGTGGAACCCTGTATAGCAGCACTATAATAATTATGCACAGCCTTCTTTATGGGGTATGTGTGTGTGAACAAACTAGTGAGCCAGAGTTCTTCTACAGTGACACATGGTCTGTGCTTTTGCACCACTATGTGCCATGTGAGAAGCAGGTGAGGAAGTAGCAGTGAGGAATTCTAAGCTGCATTTGGCCAGTAGGGTTGTGGCATCTTCGTTGTTCACCGTACAGTGACTGCTTAAAGATTTCTGCCTGAGTACATTCTGGTTATACAGTGGTACCGTGGTAGTCAAATGCCTTAGTTGTCTAACAAATTGGCTCCCGAACATCACAAACCTGGAAGTGAGTGTTCTGGTTTGCGAACGTTTTTTGAAAGCCGAACATCCGATGTGGCTTCCGAAGCTCCTGCAGCCAATCGGAAGCCACGCCTTGGTTTTCAAACCGTTTCGGGAGTTGAACGGACTCCCGGAATGGATTAAATTTGAGAACCAAGTACGACTGTATCTTCTTGACTATACTTTGCCGAATTCTTCAGTGCATATTTGTCAAGTGATAAGAAATTCCCTGAGCAATTGTTAAACTACTAGCTGTTCCCTCTAATTTCTTATAAAGATGGTTGAAGAACAGAAGGCTTTGGTCCTCCAAAAATATGCTCGAGCCTGGCTTGCTAGACGCAGATTCCAGAGCATTCGCCGTTTTGTATTGAACATCCAACTTTCATACAGGGTACAGCGGCTGCAGAAAAAACTAGAAGACCAGGTAATTAAAAGTGTTTATTAATGCTTTGCATTAATTTTATGTGCATTTTAATCAAATAAAAAGTTTCATTACCTAAACTAATTGATGATTGATCCTGTGGGCAGGATATTTCATTCTTTTAATTTGGCCACCCCTATCCATTGTGACCATCTTCTAGTGCTCTGTTCTGGGAGCCCCCTGCCATCAGAGGTTAGGCAGGGCAATAGAGAAATTAAAATTGACAATATGGGACAAAAAATGACTGAGTTGGGCCTAAAAGTGAATACTTATACAGAAATAACTCAGGATTTGATTCAGGAATCTGTTTTGACATTGCAAGCTGTGGAGAGGAAGAAGGAGAAGGTTGTGGTTGAACCTCAAGTAATTCAAGTGGATAGAGCCCCGGCCTTACAAAGGCAATTTGATGAATATAAGCTGTTGCCCTTTACGATTGAATCCAGAGAAAGCCAGATTTTGAGGGATGGACTCCCGCTTGGATTGGAGAAGGAAAGTTGGATAGACCCCCTTATACAGGTTTGGGATCTGGATTTGGGTCAGGGGGAGATTGGAGTTGCGGGGGCCTTTAGCTTTGGAAGGACTTTGAAACACGCTCTGAAATATCGTTTGGACTGTAGTTCTGACTATGGAAAATGGGCTGACCTGTCGAGAAGGAATAATGACATTGTTAGGTTGGAGTTTCCCCGAGACCTACTCCTCAGTGCCAAAGGAAGGAAACTAAGAACAAGATCAGCAGAAGACAAAGTGAAGCACATGTATAGATATGAAGAAGACCTGCAGAAGGGACATGGAAAAGAGTTAAGAGCCTCGGATAGAAGATCACCAGGTTGATGGACCATATGGAATTGATAGAAAGGACTGACAGAATCCGAGACCAGGGAGAAGAGACGGTGGAAGAAGATTGGAAAAAAGTTTCAAAATTTATTTAGAGAAATATTGTTAAATTAATGAGTGTTAGAAAAATTGTTGGAATGAAATTATATGGCTTTAGTAGAAATATTATAAGGAGTTAAGTATATATAAGTTTTAGGATTTTAATGGTAAGATAAGGTTAAAATAAATTAAGACAATTAAATGACAGAAAACAGTGAAAGATGGAAAGGATTTGCTGACATAATTAATAACTAGAATACAAAAAAGGGAGGTGTGAGGAGGTCAATGAAACAAGTCAATGAAAGATAAGATATGGAAATATTGGATGTGTTTTTAAATGTTTTTGTTTTAGGCAGGGGGCAATCGGGGGGCACAAGGCCTTTTAGGTGATAGTTCCCTGCCCTACAAAGATTCATATCTTCTGCCAATAATATTGCCATCTTAGTGTCTAATGAAAAGAGCTTTATTTGCCAGACCATTTGATTGCTGGTGTGTTGTTGTTGTTGTTGTTTTGTTTTGCTGCTTCTTTCTGTGTTAAGGACATTCCTGTCATTTTTGGGGGGGTAAATCTTTTGGATTTCAATTTTGAACGGGGCTTGTTTATTTTACCAGTGGTAAATCAAAGCAACTACTCTAGGGCTGTATTCAATGTTGTCTGCCCTCTAGCATAAGAGCTGTCGTGCTCGAAGATTGCAGAGTTTAAAGGTTGAACAGCAAAGGAATCCCTTGTTTTCCATTGCACATCAATTTCTGCCAGCACAACAAGTATACCGCTAAGTGACTTTGACTTAGCTCTATGTTTCTTACAACCCTGTAATACTTTGCTGATTTTATATTTATTTTAGAATAAGGAGAATAATGTTCTGTTGGAAAGATTGACCACTCTAGCCTCAAATCACTCCAATGGTATAGAAACAATTCAGAAGCTTCAGCTGGATCTTGAAAAATTAGCTGCACAAAAGAAAATGTCGGAAGAAAAAGAGAAGAAGCATAGAGAAGACTACGAACAGGTTACTCTTTATGGGGCTTACAGTGGTTCTGTTTGCATGTAATGCTAAATCAGAGCTGCGGAAGTTCCTGCCTGTGGGCCAAATCTGGTCCACAAGGTTGTTTTCCCAAAGCACACCCACCTGCACCTAACACCTTAAGTTCGCTAGGGAGAACTTGATTGTGTAGCCAATCCTTACAGAAAGCAGTTTTTGCTGATGCTATGCTTGGTGCTTGGGAAGCACTGAGCACAGGGTTTGCAAAGCACTTTGTGCAGCACTTCCTCAATGCCCAGCAGCAGCCAGCTGGTTGTCAGGTGTTTAGGAAGTCTTATGCAAAGTGCTTTGCATGCCCTGTGCTCAATGCTTCCCAAGCTCCAAGCATAGGGCTGGCAAAGAGGATGATCCACAAACTGTGCCAGCTTCAAATGAGCCACCTTCAACCAATTAGTTAATGAATGTTAAACAGCTGGTTTAACTAGAGTTTGTGGTCAGTCACAAGCTTTGATTCATTCCTAATACCATGCTGAGATTAAGGGAAAGTGGAACTAAATGCTGCTGAACTCCTTTCAGCTGCGTGGGGAAAGGGGGTAGGCAGAATTTGAAAGTCTCGGTAAGCTCAGGGTTGCTCCAACTTGAATCATCTGGTCCAACCCCTTGCAATGCAGGAGTATGCAGCTGTCCCATATGGGGATCGAACTGAAACCTTGGTCTTATCAGCACCATGCTCATGCATGTAGTTTAGTGCTACACGTGAACTTCGCCAATAAAATAGGATCTCAAGAATTACTGTGACAACAAGCGGGGCTGGAGTTGGGGATGATGATGTGCTTTGGAGTAATCATGCATTAACTGAAATCCGTGATCGCTCTAAAGGATATAAAAGGTAAAGGGTAAAGGGACCCCTGACCATTAGGTCCAGTCGTGACCGACTCTGGGGCTGCAGCGCTCATCTTGCTTTATTGGCCGAGGGAGCCGGCGTACAGCTTCTGGGTTATGTGGCCAGCATGACTAAGTCACTTCTGGCGAACCAGAGCAGCACACGGAAATGCCGTTTACCTTCCTGCTGGAGCGGTATCTATTTATCTACTTGCACTTTGACGTGCTTTCGAACTGCTAGGTTGGCAGGAGCTGGGACCAAGCAATGGGAGCTCACCCCTTCGCGGGGATTCGAACTGTCAACCTTCTGATCGGCAAGTCCTAGGCTCTGTGGTTTAACCGAGAGCGCCACCCGCGTCCCCTAAAGGATATAGTATGTGTTTTTTAACGCTTTTTCTCCCGCCATTACTTTTGCCTTGCAGAAGGTGTCAAAACTTGAAAACCACAACTCAGAGCTGCAAGAGCAGAAGAAGCAACTAGAAAAGGAACTTAAAGAGAAGAATGAGGAAATGAAAGGTGAGGTGATTCAGATCACATCCATTAGTTACGCTAGCTTCAGAAAAAGAACACTAAAATATTGCCCCTGAGGAAGGCATGCTATCACTTTTGTGTTTTCAGTTAAACTGGGTTCTGCTCCTTTTGGAACATTGCTTGTGCCTTAGATTTGTGGTGCTTCTTCCTAGCAACGAACCAGATGCACAAAGAGTGACTTTCCAATGATGAACAGAATGTGAGGGAAGTAGTATTTGCTGTGCCCCCAAATAAACAGTGGTGCATTGAATCCTGCCCAACTAATTAATAATAATAGCCATCCATTACAGACTTGGTCTGTGGTCACAATCCACCACAGAGTTCTCTTGAGCAAGCCTATTGAAAGGAATGGGAGCTGTACAATATAATTTCCAGATAGACTGTACCCCATGATATTATGCTACCATTTTAGGGCTTTGTGCCAAAGTTGCTGGCAGATGCACCAGTCAAGATCCTCAGGATCTGGATGTTTATTTCACTTACCATTTGCAATATGGTGCCTAACCTGAAAATTACCGTATTTTTCACTCTATAACATGCACCAGACCATAACACGCACGTAGTTTTTAGAGGAGGAAAACAAGAAAAAAAATATTCTAAACAAAACAGTGGATGTATGATTTTTGTGGTTCATGCTGTGGCCACAGACATGTGATCTGACAGTGAGTTTGGAGTAGCCCAATGCAAAAATCCTGAGGATCCATGTGGATCCGTGATTGTAACCACGTTTTAAGTGGGGAGGGAAGGAAAAACGCAGAAGGGACAAGGAGCACGCATGGGGTGTGTGGAGAAGGATGCTGCTAATAATGCTATTTAGCGAGCTGAGTGGGGAGGAGAGAGGGACAGAGAGCCTGCTTGCTTTAAAGGAGCCAACCGGACAGGAGCCGCTTACACTCGTGTAGCGGCTCCTCTCCTGTCCGGTTGGCTCCTTTAAAGCAAGCAGGCTCTCTGTCCCTCTCTCCTCCCCACTCAGCGGCTCTTCTCCCGCTTTGCTGTTTCAAAGCAAGCCACGGAGGAGGGAAGGAAGGGGAACCATGGATCCTCTGCTCACAACTGCAGCAGATCCCCCCGCCATCCGTAGGCATTCGCTCCATAACACGCACAGACATTTCCCCTTACTTTCTAGGAGGAAAAAAGTGAGTGTTATGGTGCGAAAAATACGGTAAGTTTACAGTAAGCAGCATTTTGGCTTCTCAAACCTTGCATGACATCTGTCCTATCTTATGTTGATTTCTGTGCGAAATTATCCATTTACAGTTAAAACTCTCTAAAAATTTGCTTATTAGTCTCTAACTTATGTGTGTGTTTGATGATTTCATGGTTTTATTTTGCATATATTTTTTAAATAAACAAACAAACATTGTCTCTCTGCAGAGAAAATGGATGACCTGACAACACAGCTCTTCGCCGACGTTCAAAAAGGAGAAAGGCAACGGATGTATGAAGTGTTAACTTGTGACTTTAAAGTGCCATTTTATTATATTGTCTGATTTTGCTTGAACTGTAAAGGAATTAAGTATTTATTTATATATATACCCATATAATAAACAGATAGTTATATTCAGCTAAGTTCTAATCAGAGTTGGCCCACTTACCGGATCTAAGTTAGCCCATTAATTTCAGTGGATTTGCTCTTGAGCCTGACAAGGGATATAACCCAAAGAATCTAGATGACTTGGATCCTAATGGAAGTTTGTGCAAGGTGTTTTCCTATTCTCTAGGTCCTTGGAAAAGTATCTCCAAAAGAGCCAGGGGCTCCCCTAACTAGGGTAGAATCGGGTGTTGCTGGCAGAGGGTTGAATCACCAATAATAATAATAATTTTATTATTTATACCCTGCCCACCTGGCTGGGTTTCCCCAGCCACTCTGGGCAGCTCCCAACAGAATATTAAAAACATGATAAAACATCAAGCATTAAGAACTTCCCTAAATAGGGCTGCTTTCAGATGTCTTAGAAGACTGGTGTTGCATAGTCCCGGTGGCCACTCCCGGTCTCTTGCTGCCTCATTCTGGATCAGTTGTAGTTTCCAGGTCACCTTCAAAGGTAGCCCCACGTAGAGTGCATTGCAGTAGTCTAAGCAGGAGACAACTAGAGCATGCACCACTCTGGCAAGACAGTCTGCAGGCAGGTAGGGTCTCAGCCTGCGTACCAGATGGATCTGGTAGACAGCTGCCCTGGACACAGAATTGACCTGCGCCTCCATGGACAGCCGTGAGTCCAAAATGACTCCCAGGCTGCGCACCTGGTCCTTCAGGGGCACAGTTACCCCATTCAGGACCAGGGAGTCCTCCACACCTGCCCACGCCACTGTCTCCCCAAAACAGTACCAAAAACAGTTCCATAATCGGGAAGTGGCTTCTTAATTGAGCTCTGTTCATAGAGGGTACATCTACCTAATTTTGGAAGCTTCGATTCACTACCTGCATTGCATCCCATGGTTCCAGGAAGTGTTCCCATGTTATTCAATAGGCTATTTGGGAGGCAGGGGAGTTGGGAAAATCTGTGGGTAGGCTGTGTATATGTGCATGCACCTCTCTCTGTATGCCATGTCGTCCCTGTGTATTTGATTGCATATAATAACTTCCTTGTCTCTTTATTCATATGCTGTTATTTATAATAAATATCATAGCAATTTGTTTGTACTTAGAGATACGAGGAGAAAACCAGAGCTGTGGCCTTTTCTGCTGTTGTTGTTAATCTTTGCAGGATGCTTGAGAAGAACTTCCAGAACCAGAAACAAGACTATGAAGAAAAGATGGACTCACTCAAGGCAGAAATAAAGTTTCTCAAAGATGAAAATGATCAGCTGCAAAAGAAAGTCAGGGAAAAACAGCAAATTGAAGATGGCTTAAAAATGGAAGTAGAAGAACTTTCAAACCAAGCAAAGGTATAGTAACAGACCAGAATTAATTGATTACATGTGTTTGGGGAGGGGGGGTTCTTTCCTACATAAGAATGACATTTTTGCTGAGCTAAGCTATGGTTTGGCTTATGGTTGTATCCGAACATGGGCTCTTGGTTTGTTTTGCTCCAGACAAACCACAAGCTGTAGTCAATATCGTTCTTGGCTTATCTATCATTTTTCTTGTGAATGCATTCTGGTTTATCACTTAGCCGTGATTTGACTGTGCAAACTGGGTCATAGATGTCAATTAGGCATGCTCTAGACTGCAACCTTGTCTTCATCTCATTTCTGTCATTTGCTTTGCCCCATTGAATTGTGCTTCATTTTTTAAATGTTTAATGAACTTAGACAATCCCTGAACTGCATAAAGAAATTGAACTGATTCAGTCTCAAAAACTGGATGTGGAGAAGCAACTACAGTGCCAAAAGCGTGAAATGAGAGGTAATTCTGAAAATATTTCTCATTCAAGTGGGTAAAATATATGGGAGATCCATGGGCCTGATTCATGCATTCTTCCACTTATTCAAGTTAAGACACTGGCTGTTCCATAATATGAAGCAGGCTTAGAGACTCTCCCCTCTCCTTTGTTACCTTTAAAGGGAGATCTAGCTTTAAATCCTTATTTTCTTTGGTGAAAACTGATACTTTTCAATGCTGTTTTCGGTGTCTCTTTGAGAGTGGGAAACAAGCTGAGTCCTTTTGTGGTACCTGTTATCTTTTTGACACAGTGGCTGCCAGGCCATCAGAACAGAGTTAGTTTGGTTCTGCATCAGTTTAAACTCATTGATGCTGCAAAATGAGTTCTTGCAGTGAAACAGTAAATACAGTTTATACAGCCTTTCTGCTAAAGTGGAATTTCAGTGTTCACTTTATATTTTATTTTTTCCTAGACAAGTTGTCAGACATTACAATGCAACTCCGTGAGAGCTATGACTTCGCAGATGTAAGGAGCAGGTACGGATATAGTCTACATAGACCCTTTTTAAAGTGCAGTTTTGAAATTTATTTTCCTAAATCACATGCTTGCCTGAGATTAGTCCTCCCATTTTTGTTTCCTCTACTTGTTTTGTAACAGATTGTCTACTGAAGATTTGGAACATCTAAATGAAGATGGGGAACTTTGGTTTGCTTATGAAGGCCTGAAAAAGGCCACAAGGTTAGCTTTATTACCTGTTGTTTGCAAATGGTTTTGATTTGAAGGTGCCCCCAGTCCAAAAAAACAAGCTCAGCCTGTATTCTTGCAGTATTAAATCATCTGGTACCCAGGTGAGGACAGCTTTCCGGGTCATGTGGCCAGCATGACTAAACTGCTTCTGGCTCAATGGGACACCGTGATGGAAACTAGAGCGCACAGAAACACTGTTTACCTTCCCACCACAGTGGTACCTATTTATCTACTTGCACTGGTGTGCTTTTGAACTGCTAGGTTGGCAGGAGCTGGGACAGAGCAATGGGAGCTCACCCCGTCACGGGGATTTGAACTGCTGACTTTCTGATTGGCAAGCCCAAGAGGTTCAGTGCCACAGTGCCACCCATGTCCCTGCTGTTCATGCAATGGTGTTCTGATAGGAGAAAAGGCTACTACCTTGGCTGGAAAAAAATTAACAGAATTTATTGTAGTCCTGTTTTGTGATACATGTTCGAAAATGACTTTATTTATCACTGAAAGGACTTAGTTTGAAACATTTCATTTCAACAGTTCACATGTAAAAAGACTGGATTCACTGTTTTATCTCACCTTCCCACTTTTTAAAATAGTGTATATTCAGCCTGCGTACATTAGGGGTTTGGTGCAATGGTCTTGTCTTAAACCCTTTCCAACCAACTGACCCTTGAGGAAAATTTTAAAAAGGGGGAAAAAGAAAAGGGGTCATTTCATATGGATTGAGAAACCACCCAAATCATGCCTGATGCAGCTTTAGAGAATGTAATTTAAATTTCAGCATTTTAAGCCAGATCAACTTTTTTCTAGTAGTATAGCATTCTAAACTTTTTTGGTAGTATGGTTGCTGGTGTTCCTTCTGTCTACGTGAATTGCAGTGAAAGTGCTTTGTTTTTTTACGTTACATGCTTCTTGGTCTTAAAAGGATCTTGTGTCAAGGATCTTGTACTGTTTATTTTACTGTTTATGTGTTTCCCTTCTCTCAACAGAGTATTGGAAAGCCATTTCCAGTCTCAGAAAGAGAACTATGAAAGGGAGATAGATGGTCTCAATTCTAAAACTGAACATCTTAGTCAAGAAATAAACCATTTGCAGAAACTGTTCAGGGAGGAAAATGACCTCAATGACAGTATCCGGCTCCAAGTTACCCGACTAACTTCAGAAAATATGGTGAGGACTGAATATAATTGAACTTAAAAACATATTCTAGTAGCAAGCTTCTGAATATAAACAGGGATCCTGTTTGTGATTCGAGGACCCGATCCCCGCTTGGGGGAATGAAGACATGTGGACACTGTATATTAGGTTAATGGGCAAGAAAAGGCACAACTTTATTGATTACAGCATGTGAGAAGGTATTGGCTTAGGCATTGGACCACAGCAAATTTGACTCCACCCACTCGGAGAGGAGTGAGTCAGAAGAGGGGTTAACCACCAGTAGGGGGAGCCTGTTGATGCAAATACAAGAAGATCTGAAGCGCAAGAGCTGGTGCGGCCGCATTTGAGCGGCTAAACCACGCCCCCTGCGGTGGCACCCGATTGGGTGCCCAACTGGGAGGCGTGGCGCACCAGCGATGATGAGAGGGCAGGGGGCAGAATGCCCCCTGCATGACGCGGGAATCGTCTCCCGCTCACAATCCCTCCCTTTCGGAAGGAGGAGAGGCTTTAGCAAAAGCAGCTACTGTGGAACATAATTATGAAGAATCCATCCTCAATAGAGTTACAAATTGCACATATGCAAAGAATTTTAGAGTTGGAAGGGACCCTGAGGATCATCTAGTCCAACCCTTCAATGCAGGAATATTCAGCTGTCCCATATGGGGATCGAACCTGCAACCTTGGCATTATCAACACCACGCTCTAACCAGCTGAGCTATCCAGGCCTTTGCAGCCTGGGACCAGAGAAGAAAATAAATATTCTAAAAACTTTTCAAAAATATTAAGCCAAATGTGACTCTCTCTTTGATTTTAGTCTTATCACCTTTTATTTCCTTTTGGGTCCAAGTAATTCAAACAATACTGTTTATTTGTCCAACAGGGAAGTTCCTGGACACACAATGAGCAACTAATAAGCTATAGTCCTGTCTCAGAAGTTTTATTTGAACTGACACACACATATTACAGAGGAGATAAGCAATAAAAGTCATGCTATCTTATGTCTGAATGAGGGCATAGGTAGGTGCTTGTATGTGTAGCCTCATAGGAGACTGATCAACAACAGACGAGGAGGAAAAGAAAAGACCCACAGAGCCATTGGCCCAAGCTGGGAGGGAAAGGACTGTTCAAGCTTCATAGCATCCCTTTGATAGCTAAGTCAGTATGAGTCTCTTAATCTCAGGGTTGTGCATTTGTTGGGCAAGAGGTTCCTGCATTGCAGCAGGTTGAGCTAGATGACCCTTGTAGTCCCTTCCAACTCTTACAATTCTGTGATTCTATGAAAGGACGCAGGTGGCGCTGTGGGTTAAACCACCGAGCCTAGGACTTGCCGATCAGAAGGTCGGCGGTTCAAATCCCCGTGACAGGGTGAGCTCCCGTTCCTCGGTCCCTGCTCCTGCCAACCTAGCAGTTCGAAAGCACCTCAAAGTGCAAGTAGATAAATAGGTACCGCTCCGGCGGGAAGGTAAATGGCGTTTCCGTGCACTGCTCTGGTTTTGCCAGAAGCGGCTTAGTCATGCTGGCCACATGACCCGGAAGCTGTCTGCGGACAAATGCCGGCTCCCTCGGCCAATAAAGCGAGATGAGTGCCGCAACCCCAGAGTCGGTCACGACTGGACCTAGTGGTCAGGGGTCCCTTTATGAAAAGTCCATAACAGGTATTTGAATCTAGAAGAGATCAAAATCTAGGTTTATGCAGGCCTTGCAGTAAAAGCAGCAGCTTCTAAGGACATCTGTTGATTGCTCATGAAATTTGTCAGTGACCTAAGAAGTATTCCTAGTCTTTGAAGTTGCAGTCAGCCAATTAAAACACAGGCATGAGGATCTTCCTCTGATAGGAGGCTACAGTTCTCCCAGTCAGATGAGTTCTGGAGTAAATGGGAAGGAATATTCCTTGCTAATGCTTCTAGAATTCCACAGTTCTGACATACAACATTGATGCAAGATGTGAGTAGCTTCACTTTAATATTTCCCCCTTTCTCTGAAGATGATCCCAGATCTTAAGCAGCAGATTGCTGAGCTTCAGAAGCAGAAGACGGATCTTGAAAACCGTCTTCAAGAAGAAGCTGCAAAGAATAAAGGTAATTTTTCAACTAGGAGTCATTCCATTTTCAATTTGATAAAGATAGCAACAGGATATTCCCCCCCTTTATGGTATATAGTGCAGCTCACAATAATTACTTATCACTAAAGTGAATTCATTAAGTACATAGATTATACATTCAGGAAGGTAGCTGTGTTGGTCTGACGCATAAGAAATATATAAAAAAATAAAAAAAAAGTCCAGTAGCACCTTAGAGACCAACTAAGTTTGTTCTCAGTATGAGTTTACATAATCAGTTCTGGAGGTCCGTTCATAAGTCAATCTGGGTCGCTGGTGGAAGCGCCTTTGTGTGCAGGTGCATTTGGCGGCAGCGCACTTCTGCGCACGTGCACAAATGGCAGAAGTCGCTTCTGCACATGCACGAATCGTGACAAACTCAGTATTTACTTCCGGGTTTGTCGTGGTCACAACTTGGATCAGGCCCAAGTAAAGGCAGTCGTAAGTAGAGGTTCTACTGTATCAGAATTGTATGCTGGAACATTCCAGAACTCTTAAATGCATTATTGCTTTTTTTTTCTTTCTTTTTTTGCTTTTTTTTGGCTGCTGTTGAAATGGACAAGGAATCATAAGTATCCATTATGGGTTTTTTTAATTCTGTAAGTTTTTAAAGTTTAATTATTATTTTATTATTAATTATATTTCCTTTTTCTGAGGTTTTTTGTATTGTTTATTATAACTCTTGCAGTGCCATTCATACTATTTCATATATTTAATGGAAATTTGTGGAAATGGTTGTGGCTTCTGGCTAATTTTAAGAATATTTTACAATCTAGCTTTCACTTTTAGCATTGCTTCACCAACTGATTTCTGTCCGACATGTTCAGTTGGGATCATGTTCTCTCTGTCCCTAAACAGGGGCAACTCTATTATAAAACAGGACTTTTAGATGGATTGTGTGTTTTATAGTGCAACTTTGTATATGAGAACATGGATAATCTTACTGTAGTAAACCCTATAAATCCCAGTGTAGGTTGGTTTAGTAAAATTATGTTTATTGTTATTATTAAAGAGAAAATGGAAGAAAGGGCAGATCTGCTGCGTCATAACCAGGAAAAAGAAGGAACACAAATAAGGTAATCATAAAAAGCCTCTGAAAAATGTTGGGCATAGTTTATTTGAGTATTTAATTTCACGGAAAAGGAGGTAACGCTCCAAAATCAATATATTGGTTTTTAATAAAAAACTGAAAATGCTACATTTGCGAAAAGATTGCCAGCCTTTGAAACAGCCCATATAGCTGCCCCCTTAACTGCCCTTTGATTTGCAGCAGTTAGAAAAGTGATCACGAGCATGTTTAGTTCCATGCCATGAAAACCTTCACTTGCCAATTTCTACGGAGGAGTCCCCTTTTAAAGGGAGACGGGCAGGCCAAACTGGTTTAATTTCTGACCCGTCGGCAGTTCTAGCTTCCAGGTAGGCTGAAGACAAAGTGCAGATGAGCTTCAAATGAACGGAAAGTCGGACTTGTGAGCTATTCTCAGGTTAGCACATGAGAACATCCACTTTGTGGGTTGTGCCACCTGGCTGCCTGCACCCACATTCAATATAAAATGCCTCAGTGGAAAACTCATTTGGCAGAAGAGTCCGACAGCACATGCTTTCATCCTAGGTGATCACCTGCTCAACTCACCCACTCTCACTTAGCTTAATATGGATGACTGAGATGCAAACCCGAGAATGGAACATGGATTCATTTACTGTGCCTTCTAGGTTATCATCCTGAGCCACAAATGACCTCGCCCTTCCTACAATACAGGGCTGTCTATGATCATTGAGGCTAGCGTCTCCACCCCCATCGTTCTACCCGGACACTGAGGTCCAGCACCGAGGGCCTTCTGGCGGTTCCCTCACTGCGAGAAGCCAAGTTACAGGGAACCAGGCAGAGGGCCTTCTCGGTAGTGGCACCCTCCCTGTGGAACGCCCTCCCACCAGATGTCAAAGAGAACAACAACTACCAGACTTTTAGAAGACATCTGAAGGCAGCCCTTTTTAGGGAAGCTTTTAATGTTTGATGTATCACAGTATTTTAATATTCTTTTGGAAGCCGCCCAGAGTGGCTGGGGAAACCCAGCCAGATGGGCGGGGTATAAATAAATTATTATTATTATTATTATTATTATTATTATTATTATTATTATTTAGTAACCTCACACAACTGCTCCCTTCCTCCTCTCAGGGGACTGAGATGTGTGGCCTCTGGTCTGCCATTCACTCCTAGGTTTTTGTAGCTGTTGTCTTCATGCAAACTCTGTTTCCAATTGTGCATGGTCATGAATGGAAAACTGAGGTGGAAAGCAGAGGAGGGAAGGAAAGTTAAGTCGCACACAAGTTAAGTCCAAGAGCAGAGCTCACAACGTGGTTAGCTCAGCCTTCAAACCTGACACTGCCCATTCATGATAAGTGAACCAGTGTTCCATTTTGTAGCAGCTCTTTGTTTTATGCACAGGGAAAGAATTAATACATTTTAATGCCTTTTTAGAGTATTGCACGTTCAAAATGAAATACGCACGAAGGAAAAAGAAAGGCTGATAGCCACATCTGACGAGCTTCAGGACATAAATGATCATATGGAGAAGCAACATGAAGGAGAGGATGAAACCAAGTACAAAATGTGGCAAGATATGGCATATCTTACTACAGAAAATACGGTGAGGAAGGAAAATGCTCCTGGTAATGGATTATTTTAAGCCTATGCATGCTTACTTTGAAGTAAGTCCCACTCAATTCAATGGAACTTACTCTCAAGTAAGTGTGATTGGGATCATAGCCTTATTGCCTTAAAATCACAAAGAGTTTCAACCCTTTGTGATATGTTGTACAAAGGGGGGAAAACCAATTTGAGATTCTATATTAAAATGATTTTTAAAAGTGGGATGAGAACATGCGTCACTTGGCTCTTTTTCATAGTTTTTCACGAACGTGGCTAGTTGGGATGCCAACTATATGTTGAGCTCATTCCAAAGCTCTCTTCCTTCTGCAACTCTTATTATACAAAGACACCTTGCATAGGAAAAGAGTTGAGTGAGCCTACAGATTGGGAACTGCTGTTCAGTGTTGATTTTCCCCCTAACAAATTTAAATGTTAAAACATTTTTTAAAATAATTTTATAAGTTATGCGAGGCTAAGACATTATAGCCTGGTCATGATGGCTGCGTATATCTCTAATATTTTGGGCTTGCCGATTGGAAGGTCGGCGGTTCAAATCCCCGCGACGGGGTGAGCTCCCATTGCTCTGTCCCAGCTCCTGCCAACCTAGCAGTTCGAAAGTACGTCAGTGCAAGTAGATAAATAGGTACCGCTGCGGCGGGAAGGTAAACAGCATTTCCGTACTCTCTGGTTTCCGTCATGGTGTCCCGTTGCACCAGAAGCAGTTTAGTCCTGCTGGCCACATGACCCGGAAAGCTGTCTGTGGACAAACGCTGGCTCCCTTGGCCTGAAAGCGAGATGAGCGCCGCAACCCCATAGTCGCCTTTGACTGGACTTAACCGTCCAGGGGTCCTTTACCTTTTTTTTTTAACCTGCTGGGGATGATGAGCTGGAGAGTGCTATTGTGCTCATGTTCTCATGGGCTTGTCATGAGCATCTGGTTAGTCACTGTGAACAAAGAATGCTAGACCAGACAGGCCTTTGATGTGATCCTGTTGGGCTTTTCTTATGTTCTTCTCGTGTTTTTAACAAACAAGGCAGGGTCCAGGTTCCATGTAAAGCAGAGATAAGGCAAATCCAGCACTGTGGAGACATCTGGGGTCAGTCCTGATGTTTCTTCTGAATAGGACTTAGGTAATTGGGAGCCAATGATTTATAGCATTGCTCAGAATCTAATTTTTTTGTTTCTCCAGTGTAAGTAACAATGCCATTTTCCTATCATGCGCATTATCGGCCAGTAATACACCTGAATTTTGTCCTGCATAGAATCATAGAATTGTAGATTTGGAAGGGACCCTAAGTAAAACCCCTTGCAATGCAGGAATATGCAGCTGTCCCAAATGCATTTTTTAAAGCAGATCATTCTTTCTCAACTTTATTGGACACTGTAGGATCTAGAAGAGGAGATGGATAAGAAGGACAGAATAATAAAGAAACTTGAGGATCAGATCAAGACCCTTAGAAAGTCTATAGAAACAGGTGAGGGCATTAAATATATTCTTTAAAACTGTTTGAATGTGTGCTTCTTTGGAAACTACATGGAAGATGAGACCAACATTATGGTAATAATTATGAGAGTTCATAGGATCAAACTCATCGTGCAGTGCTGCCTGTTCACTGAAATCCTGCTGCAAAAGACTGCCGTAGAATACTAGAAGCATGGGGCTAAGACATTGGTGGCTAACTTTTGCGGGGGTATGTTCATCTTTGGTGAATGGGGGTGGGGACACAGCTTTTGTGGGTGTGGCCAAAAGTGGGTACCTTTCTCTCCCTCCCTCCTTACCTCTCTCTCCCTCTCCCCCCCCCACATACACCCCCCCTCCCAAGTCATCAAATGATTGATCTGAAAACTGATGCACTGACCCAAACCAACATGTTTATGTACGATCCTAGTTGGTAGTGGTGGTGGATTTTTATTTTGTATTTTTTAATAACTCTGTTCCAAAGCTTAACAGGCCATGACTGCTGCAGAAAGCCTGATCATTTGTATTAAATAATTTGTCACACACAGTGATTTGTGTCATGGATCGTTCTTTCCAACCTTCTAATACCAATGTAGTATTTTTCTGAAAGTAAATATATATTAATGTTTAACAGCCCATGAAGAACCCATGTTGTCCATGCCAAAAGAATACATTGGAATGTTGCAGTACAGAAAGGAAGACGAAGGAAAAATTGTTCAGAACCTGATCCTTGGTACTGCCATAACACTTTCAATTTCACCTAAGTATACTCATAAGCAATGCCAAATAGTTGTTGCTGGAAGTTTTGGAGTTGTGGCCAGTATTCATGTTTTTTCTCCTTCCTATCTTATCTGTTTTCCTGAAAGCTCTATGATGCTTCTGTTTTAGAACGGCTGTGGGGGGAAATGTGTGTGACATATTTGTGCTTTCTGTAACTTTCCTAAACTCTTCACTCTTGAGGCTAAATACTTGGAAGACTCCAGGGTCATGAGTTTGTTTTTTTCTTCTCAGATCTACCATTACTGTAAGTCACTATCTCTGAAATACATCTTGAAGTTAAAACTGGTGTCACCTCTGCTGAAATCTTTCCCTCTCACTGTGTTTTCACCATTTCTGACTCAAATGGCCTTCACAAACCGGGCCCAAATATACCAGGTCTGTGTTTAATATATTTTTCTCTGCCTTTCTAGGGACTCTGTAACTACTGTGTCCCATCCACAATTTCCTCCTCATCTCTCTATTCTATTGTTTTCCCAAACATTTATAAGGTCACAGAATGTCCTCTGCATGTTTCCCTCCTATTTTTTCTTGGGAAGTTTGGGTTTCATTTATACCTGAGCAAACAACTGCAATGTTTTGCTTCTTTGCAATTCACTTCCTATTCATTTTCAATCTGTAAATCTCCTCAGTAATCCACGTTAATATTTTGGGTTTTTGTGAGCTTTCGCTAACACAATTACTCACTTTGAAGAGTCTATATTTTCACTACAGCTTTTTTGTGATATGTTTTCAGGCAAGCTAAATACATAGCTTCTTTAAGACAACTTTGCTATGTCTTGAAAGTCTTGTGCATTGCTAATATCTGTGGCTACTTATTCAGCCCTAGCCAGTTTCTCTGTGGTTTTTAGAGTGTGGTTATCCAAAGTAAGTTCTTATCAAGAGAAATAAATTGCAAAATGAAAGCAAGTAGCTTGTGCTAATTTTCTTATTTCTCGGTCCTTTGTGCATATTTTTTAATTGTAGAGATCCAAAATAATACGATTCAGGAACAGGATGAGATTTTGGGGGAAGAAATGCATATGGTTACAATTTCATTTCTTTTAAAAAGAATGGCTAACCTATAGAATTTATTTAGTGCTCACTAAATAATCAACACCGTTTGATTCTTGGTTTCATGCAGAACTGAAGCCCCGTGGAGTGGTGGTAAATATGATACCAGGACTTCCAGCTCACATCCTCTTCATGTGTGTGAGATATGCAGATTATCTGAACGATGACGGCATGCTGAAATCCTTCATGAATATGTCAATCAATAGTATCAAACAAGTAATTAAGGTAGGAACATTTTGCATGCAGTCTGCTTTCTTTCTGTACAGTTGGCATAGCCCAACAGAATGTTTTGCAGCTATAGGTTGACTAATGGAACGATTCCCATGCCATGACTGCTTACCAGAGAAATTGTGCTATTCAAATTGGTCATTCACTCTTCTTTCTTGCTTGCAGATAATTCCATTAAGTAGAACTCAATAAAATATCTACCTGCAAATTACATAGTGCCATATCGTGTCACAAATATAAAGTATATGATTGAAAGGAGTCATTTCATGGCTGCAAAGCATTATGTCATAGCTGTCTTTATTGCCGCCTGGTGTAGATTTTAAACCTAGATTTACAGGACTAGTGCATTCAGAGCTTTGATTATGGTATCATGAAGGTCACATGAAACAAAAATAGCTGAGCATGTTTCATAGCTGAATCTATTCATGGTCAGCTACTTATGCAGGTTACGTATGCATAGTCAGCTGAGTTCCTGTGATTTCCTGATTTGGTTCTTTCATGCTTATTACGTCAGTTTGTGCCATAAGTCCTTTCACCTTAAGTCTTGCATCTCTCCTATAAAGTTGCACACATTGTGACTTCCCTGCTGGAATAAACTTTACTTTCATTTGCAGTCGCAGTGCCTGTTCTGGTTTTGCCAGAAGCGGCTTGGTCATGCTGGCCACATGACCTGGAAAAACTGTCTGCGGATAAACGTTGGCTCCCTCGGCCAGTAAAGCGAGATGAGCGCTGCAACCCCAGAGTCTTTCACGACTGGACTTAACTGCCAGGGGTCCTTTACCTTTTTTTAAGGCACAAGCTGTTTATATAATAATAATAATAATAATAATAATAATTTATTATTTATACCCCGCCCATCTGGCTGAGTTTCCCCAGCCACTCTGGGCGGCTTCCAATCAAGTGTTAAAAACAATACAGCATTAAATATTAAAAACTTCCCTAAACAGGGCTGCCTTCAGCTGTCTTTTAAAAAGACGATAGCTGCTTATTTCCTTCACATCTGAAGGGAGGGCATTCCACAGGGCGGGCGCCACTACTGAGAAGGCCCTCTGTCTGGTTCCCTGTAACCTCACTTCTCACAATGAGGGAACCGCCAGAAGGCCCTCGGAGCTGGATCTCAGTGTCCAGGCTGAACGATTGGGGTGGAGACGCTCCTTCAGGTATACAGGACCTGAATTTTATATTGAGTTTATATATTTTATATAATTTTATACTGAGTTTATATTGGCACAAGCTGTTTTACCTTTTTTTAAGGCACAAGCTGTTTAAATTGTAACTGGATTTGAGGTGTTTAATTAGCATTTAGTAGTAGACCTACTGCTGAGTATCAGTAATTGCATGTGTAAAAGTTAATTAAGTTATGCACAGTTGTGTATTAGGACTGTAATCCCAGGCAAATCAATGGAAAAGGCTGATTTCCTTGTGAAGTGGCCGGCTGGGGTTGGGATAAGCCATTAGGAGTTCAAAGGGGCTAGGTGTGAAGACTAAACTTTCAAGTAATTTCCTTGAAGCAATGAGTCTTTTCATACATCAAAGGAGGGATCTTCCTCTGGGTACAAAGGACCAGAGCTTTGGGCTGCTGTGATGTAGGGTTACCAAACGCCCCTGGTTCCCGGGGACAGTCCCCGGATTTGCAAATCTGTCCCCGGACAAATTCCATCCCCGGAATGTCGCCAGATTTGCTAATCTGTCCCCGGGAAACATGGCAGCGGCAGCCTTAGCAGCCCAGAGCCAGCTGGTTAGCACAGTTGGCTCTGGCTGGCTTCAGGAGCTGCTCACTGCTGTGGCGCCCGCCATTTTTCCTGCGCCATGGCAGCAAGCAGCTCCTGAAGCCAGCCAGAGCCAACTGCACCACCAGGCTGGCCCCTCCTGGGCAACGGCCGCCCGCCCGTGACTCCCAAGCCTCCCCTGATCTGTCAAAACGAAGGGGGAAGGGGGAAGGAGATGGGGGAAGGCTCGGGAGTCATGGGTGTGCAGTGTGCCGTTGCCCAGTTTTTAAAAAAACTCTATACATTTCTGTTTTGCAGGGTGCAAAAGAAGGGTTTTTCATCTTTATACAATATGCATGTGTGCTTGGGCCCAGGGTCTTTTGCCTCACCATCCCCACTACTGACTCCCTGTTGCTACTCAGCTTCAAAAAAATTCCCTGGATTCATTGAAAAAAATCTGGTAACCATAATGTAACCAGGAAGCTTTGGGGTTAGGGTAAGCTGAATGGGCCCTTCAGAGCCAGAGATAGCTTGCAGAGAAAGGGATGCTGCAGAGACAGAGCAGCACATGATGCTCTTAATATGAAATAGGCTGGTGTGTTTTGGGGTGCTGCTGCTATGAGCCCCTCCATAAGTAGACTCAGGCTGCCTATGTATGTAAAGAAACCAGATATGTAATAAAGAGACTAACCTCCGTTGTGCATAATTTTCTGACTTCTCATGCAACCGCTTGCGAAGATTGAGGTGGTGTGGGTAAATATATGAAATATAAATTAAGCAAACGCAGTGTCTTAATGTTTAGGAACATGTTGAAGACTTTGAGATGTTGTCCTTCTGGCTTTCAAACACATGCCATTTTCTTAACTGTCTGAAACAGTACAGTGGAGAAGAGGTAAGAATAATTTCACGCTCCCTATAAAATAGTTGAACATTGCAATACAGTTCATGATTAAAATTTTTTTTGGCAAGTATCACCTATTGGAACCAACTTTCACAGAAGACCTAGAAACCACATCCTTGTAGTCCATAGCCTTGTGAATCCATACCTGAAAGGTTTGGGCCTAGCCTGAGTTATCTCTTGTATCCTGCACATTGTGAACATGCCCTTTCTCTTGTCAAGATCCACCATGGGTTGGACAACAGGTCTTGAAATTAAAATTACTACTAGCATTAGGTAAAAATATTTGCATGTATACTTATTAACAGATTGCATGAATAGCCTTTTGCTCTTCTGAATATATGTTTGTTTTTGCACTACTCTACTCAATATGCAGAAGTATAAAACCTGTATTATGGTCTTAAATGGCACATGTTTATACATCTGATTTTCAGGAATTTATGAAGCACAATACTCCACAACAAAATAAGAACAATCTGAAGCACTTTGACCTGTTGGAATACAGGCAGGTTCTTAGTGATCTAGCCATTCGTATTTATCATCAGTTTATCATTGTAATGGAGAACAATATTCAGCCAATGATAGGTAAGAAATAAATGCTGATAGCAACACACATTCCAAGCTATTTCTAAACCTTGTGCATGGCTAAAACGATATAGGAATGAATTATTAGTATTTTCTTGTTTCTTTGTGCATGTCTGAAAAGTCTATTTACATGTATTCGTGGCTGAAATCTTATGTACATTTCCCTGGGAGTAAGCACCACTGAACAGAGTGAGACTTCTGAATAGAGGTGCATAGGATTCATCAAGACTAAAAACTAGCTGATTCCTTCAGTTCTAACTATCAGTTGAACCACTATGATATTGAATTTTCAGGAACTCTCTAGCTGTGCTGCTGGGGAAAACATTCAGCAATCAAATGATGCAAAAACTGCAACTTGTTTTAAAGAGAAACCTGTGGTGGTATGATAGCAGCCTCTGCCAGCAGGCATGGAAAAGACCTTCTGCTATTTGCATAGCTATCTCCTTCTCCCAAACCTAGGGGTGTTTCCCTTCGCTCCCAAGGAAAAGCATAAGGTATAGGGACCCCTGACCGTTAAGTCCTGTTGCAGATGACTCTGGGGTTGTGGCGCTGATCTTGCTTTACTGGCCAAGGGAGCTGGCGTTTGTCCGCAGACAGCTTCCGGGTCATGTGGCCAGCATGACTAAGCAACTTCTGGTGAAGCAGAGCAGCGCACGGAAACAACGTTTACCTTCCCACTGGACTAGTACATATTAATCTACTTGCACTGTGCTTTTGAACAGCAGTTCAAAAGGTTGGCAGGAGCTGGGACTGAACAATGGGATCTCACCCCGTCGCGGGGATTCGAACCGCCAACCTTCTGATCAGCAAGTCCTAGGCTCTGTGGTTTAGACCACAGCACCACACGCACCCCACCATTCCAAGCATACTAGGGCCCCAAACCGCCATTCAAATTCTTGAACAGTAGTTTTCAGTGCATCATGCAGGAATGAGGTCAGACACTGCCTCTCTGAGACACTGCCCACCCCCAAAAGAGAATGCTAAAGTGAATACCATGAACTCTATTGTCAGGATTCAAGAAACCATCAAAGGCTTGGAACATACTCATGCTAATATCTGTTTAAGTGATAATCAGATTCTGTGCACGGATTTGTTTTTTCTTTTTCTTTTAATTGCTTAAATACGAATAAAAGTGTGGTGCAAAGGGTCGGCGCATCCAACTGTTATAACCAGAAGGTTGGTAGTGTGAGCCCACCCAGGGATGGCTATGGGCAGGATTCCTGCATTACCTGGGGTTGGACTAGATGACCCTTGTGGTCCCAACTCTACAGTTTTATGATTCTATGAATATATATTACACAGATGAGTAAGAATATGGACTTTGAATACATATATCAAGAGAGCATTTTTTTTGTTTTGTAAAATAAAATACTGCTACAAATATATGCATTTAGCAGGTTAAACACCATAAATGCAAAGAAAATTATTCCTAAACTTATTCAGTTTATTTCTCCCGCAGTAGCATATATGGGTTTATATCATCCTACACTCTGTCATTCCAGTGTACTTGAGAGTCCGGTCACACACACACACACATATGTATGTGTGTGTGTGTGTGTGTGTGTAATATATACACCAGTCAAAAGATTGCATTATCAGTTTGTATGAATGCAGGTGCAGTTCTGTGAATAATGCAGTTGGAGAAGAGACATTCTGAATCTGCTTCAAGGACTGCCTTGCTGAATTTCTCAGCATTTGTTTTTCCGCTATAACCTCAGTGTTCACTGAATAATGGAAATCTCAAAACGTAGCCCACCCAAATGCCCTTCTTTATTGCATTACTGCAATAATAAGTAAGCTGGTATTTAAAACCTTTAAACAGCACGACTGCTTTCCAGAGCCAAATAGCAGTGATAAAGGAACTTTATTTATTTATATTTTCTTCTTGCTTGCTGTGTTATCTTTTCCAGTGCCGGGAATGCTGGAGTATGAAAGCCTCCAGGGGATTTCTGGCTTAAAACCGACTGGATTCCGCAAGCGCTCCTCCAGCATAGACGACACAGATGCCTACACCATGACCTCCATCCTGCAACAGCTCAGCTATTTTTATACCACAATGTGTCAGAATGGCTTGGACTCAGAGCTCCTAAAGCAGGCCGTGAAGCAGCTTTTCTTTCTGATTGGAGCAGTTACCCTTAACAGTCTATTCCTTCGCAAGGATATGTGCTCTTGTCGAAAGGGGATGCAGATAAGGTGAATAATAAGAATAAGCTTAAGATTAAGAATAGAACATGTCAGTTAAGAAAAGAAAAATCTCCATGGTTATGTTATAGCAACCAAAATACAATTAAAAATCAAATGGCATAAAGCATATCTGCAGATCGGAAAAAGCAGCAGAAACCTACAGGATAAACAAAATTTAGGCTGCAATCCTATAGCCACTAACTCTGGGAGTGAATGCCTTTAACTGAATGGGGGTTACTTCTGCATAGATGCATAGAGCCAGGGCACTCAAAAAAATAATTGTATGGTGGCTAAAAGTCAGCAGGGAGTCCACAGTATGCATTCTATTGTCCATCACTGATTCCTTTTTTGAATATTATTGTATTAAAAGACTTAGGTAAAGGTACCCCTGCCCGTACGGGCCAGTCTTGACAGACTCTAAGGTTGTGCGCTCATCTCACACTAGAGGCCGGGAGCCAGCGCTGTCCACAGACACTTCCGGGTCATGTGGCCAGCGTGATGAAGCTGCTTCAGCGAACCGGCACCAGAGCAGCACACGGAAACGCCATTTACCTTCCCGCTATAAAGCGGTACCTATTTATCTACTTGCACTTAAGGGTGCTTTCGAACTGCTAGGTGGGCAGGAGCTGGGACCGAACGACGGGAGCTCACCCCGCCGCGGGGATTCGAACCACCGACCATGCGATCGGCAAGTCCTAGGCGCTGAGGTTTTACCCACAGCGCCACCCGCGTCCCAAGACTTACATCTTGATAAAGTCTTGCACAGTGTATAGGGCAAGTGTTCCTATGCTAAGGTCACCAGATTTTTTTCATTGAATCTGGGGACACTTTTCAACTTCAAAGGATTTTGTATGGGGACTGATTAGTAAATCCAGGGACTGTCACCGGGAAACGGGGACATCTGGTAACCTTATCCTATGCTGACGTAGGAGCATGATCATAAAGAAACATTTTGAAAAGAACTTTCCAAATTTTATGAAATGGGGGGGAGAGCAATCTAAAATGGGAAAAATCACGTTGTTTTATAAATGGAATATTATTACATTCCCATATTTGCATGGCATACATTTTACCCTGCCATAGCACATTGCTCTGGGGCAGCAACTTGTGTTACCAGCTTCTGAACAAAAGGGAGTTTAAACCAAATTATCTTTTCCTTCCCTAGGTGTAATATCAGCTATCTCGAAGAGTGGCTTAAGCAGAAGAATCTGCAGAGCAGCTCTGCCAAGGAGACGTTGGAACCTCTTTCCCAAGCAGCTTGGCTCCTTCAGGTGAAAAAGACCACAGATGAGGATGCCAAAGAGATTTATGAACGCTGCACATCCCTCACTGCTGTGCAGGTACTTAAACCTAGGGTCTTCCTCCCTTGCTTGGTAGATTCCTAAAATATCAGTTTATGAAACTGCCCTGGCTATACAGACAGTCTTATTTAATACCTGGTAAGCATTGTGCAAGGGACGTGGGTGGCGCTGTGGGTTAAACCACAGAATCTAGGACTTGCTGATCAGAAGGTCGGCAGTTTGAATCCCTGCGACGGGGTGACCTCCCGTTGCTCAGTCCCGGCTCCTGCCAACCTAGCAGTTTGAAAGCACGTAAAAGTGCAAGTAGATAAATAGGTACCGCTCCAGCGGGAAGGTAAACAGCGTTTCCGTGCACTGCTCTGGTTTGCCAGAAGCGGCTTAGTCATGCTGGCCACATGACCTAGAAGCTGTACACTGGCTCCCTCGGCCAGTAAAGCGAGATGAGCGCCGCAACCCCAGAGTCGGTCACGACTGGACCTAATGGTCAGGGATCCCTTTACCTTAAGCATTGTGCAAGCAAGCACAGTTGTGGTGAAATGCCATGCACCGCTTTTAAAGTGCAAGTCATTTCATTAAAATTGCTTTATTACCTGTCTTTCTGTCTTTCCTCCACCCTCTTTTTTCTGGATTTTCTTTTTTCATAATTGCAAATTTCCTATGCTGTTGTCGTCTCCATCCTCTGTGTCCCCATATTATTCCTTCGATTGTAACAGGGTTTCTCTTTTTTGCTCAATTTCCAATTCGCTGTGTCAGCCCCTCCTGACACCTCCCTTTCCCCTTGATGTTTTTCCATTCTGCTGCCCGGGGGGGGGGGCGTAACCTCTATACATATTTCAGTTATGACTGTAGAATCATTACAGTTTTTACTTGTATCGGAAGTATTCATGAATTTCTTTAAATCGTCCCTACAGATAGTAAAAATCCTCAACTCCTACACACCTATAGATGATTTTGAGAAAAGGGTGACTCCATCATTCGTTCGTAAAGTGCAGGTATGATTATTAAATCACAATCTCATTCAGAAGACATGTGCTTTCTTTTTTAAAAAACCTGTTCCTGTTGGCAGCTTTAGCTCTTGTTACTTTAATCTTTTCTCTCTTTATTCTAATTCTAGGCTATGCTGAACAACAGAGAGAATTCTCCGCTGTTGATGCTAGATACGAAATATCTCTTTCAAGTGACATTTCCTTTCACCCCTTCGCCGCACGCTCTGGAAACGATACAGATCCCCAGCAGTTTCAAGCTTGGCTTTCTCACGAGAATATAACATATACAGTGGTGCCTCGGAAGTCGATCGGAATCCATTCCGGAAATCCGTTTGGCTTCCAGAACGTTCAGAAACCAAGGCGTGGCTTCTGAGTCACGTCGGATGTTCAGGTTCCAAAGAACATTCGCTAACTCACTTCCGGGTTTGCGGCGTTTGGGAGCCAAAACGTTCAACTCGCAAGGCGTTTGGGATCCCAGATACGACTGTAAACTAAAAAAGAATCAATCTCTTGAAGGATAAATGAACATCCCTCATCTATGCGCTTCCTCAATCACTGTGAAGTAGTGTTTCTTAGAAGATAAATTTTTGAAAAACATTTGGAAATCGGGGTGTAAGAAATGGATTGCTGCATGTCCTATGGCCCATCCAAATGCTTTTAATCTTATTCCCTTTTGTAGATTGGACCTCATTGTAGCTTACAGGTGCTCAGCACTGGGTTCCAGTCATGTTGAAGGCACTGGGGCCATGGTGGTTCTCTGTATTACTAGATAACTTTCTATAATGAAGGACTAACAAGATAATTCTTTGTAATATTTTACTGCGATACAGTATTTGTAACACTGTAAATTTACATGTCTGTATATGTATGTTTTATGGGAGCATTCATCTTGGTTATTTAATAAGTATGCATATAAATGATAAGACAAAATAGATGGCGGTTATACCATGATTTTTATTGTGTCAGATTATTGTTACATATCTGGGTTCACACTCAAAAAACTCAGGGAAGGGAGGGAAGCTTGCTAAGATTTATTCATTTGTTGCAAAAACAAATCCAAAATAGGTATCATATTCCCAGATGAATGTCAGGTGTGTTTCCACACTAATAATTTTTTAGTGACACAGCTCACCAACACATTTATTCTGAAGAATCCAGATGTCATTTCTACGAAGCTGTTGCATTCTGACTTTTCCAGTGTCAAGGTTGTCGTCGTCGTTTTATAAAATTATTATTATTATTATTTAAGTGCTGTGTTGTGGTGATTTTTGGAGCTTTTAGCATATACTCCTTTCAGATGTGAGCTCTAGCAACACAATAGTCTCATGGATGGTGCTTCATATCACATTGGTCCTTACCTGACCATCCCTTTGGCTCACCTCTTCTAAGATCTGTTCCCTCTGCAGTGGAAGTCCTGAAGATAAAACTGCAGTGAAATCTGCTGGAGTTTCTAGATATTATTTTTCTTTAGAAGATGTACAAGCCCATTTAAAATGCATTATATAGCTTGCTTACAGCCTGTCACCCCAAGATCACATGGAGTTCTTTCCCTCATCCTCGCTGCTAACTGACTCCAAGGACCTCCCCCCAACCTACTGTCATTCAAAGTTGAAACTCTAAACCTGCTCACTAGGTAAAGGTAAAGGTACCCCTGCCCGTATGGGCCAGTCTTGACAGACTCTAGGGTTGTGCGCTCATCTCACCCTATAGGCCGGGAGCCAGCGCTGTCCGCAGACACTTCCGGGTCACGTGGCCAGCGTGACAAGCTGCATCTGGCGAGCCAGCGCAGCACACAGAACGCCGTTTACCTTCCCGCTGGTAAGCGGTCCCTATTTATCTACTTGCACCCGAGGGTGCTTTCGAACTGCTAGGTTGGCAGGCGCTGGGACTGAACGACGGGAGCGCACCCCACCACGGGGATTCGAACCGCTGACCATGCGATCGGCAAGTCCTAGGCGCTGAGGTTTTACCCACAGCGCCACCCGCGTCCCAGCATCCCCCCTGACACACCTGATTAAAGAAGCATGAGGTTGATTCTTCCAATGCACTTCTTGTCTGTTTCATGTATCCAGTCATGTCAGTTGCTTAAGAGAGCCCTCAATTTACAAGTTTGTTTCTATGTGATTTCAAGAGCTGTGATTGTGCAGCACAATCTTTTTTTATTGCTATCAAAAACTTATACAGAGATACAGTACACCATCCTGTTCATCAGATGACCAACCAAAGCAAGTGAAAGTTTATTGAATCACTCTACGCTGTTACAAACCAAACTATTACTGGGTCAGCTTTGTATCTGTACATTGGTTTCTGGGATGGCCTTATCCAGATACTTTGGGGGGGGGGGTGTCCACAGAGTTCTTGAAAATGCAGAATACTCCTCTGACTTACTTCAGAACAACGTTTATAGTACTTTACTATCACTAAAAACCTTTTAAACTTTTGGTGGTCATCTGAGGGTGGATTTCATTGGGGGAACGGATGCTAAAAGACTTAGCTCACAAGTAATGTGCACAATAACTCCCATTTTCTAAGCCCTGGCCTATAAAATAGATAGCATTGTAGAACAGATTAAAAGACACAGGCTAGATAAGTATGACTGCTGGGCTCATTTTAAGGAATAATTTCCCCCCTGCTTTGAAGCCTTTTGATCCGTTAATGGCTGACAGGAAACTGAATGCCATACAGATGGATTCAAAATGGCTCCCACTTTGATGCAAAGGCCTCGCTTGGGGGCCTTTTTGATTGATATCTGTAAGCATGTTTCATACAGAATAAAAGCATGTGAAGCCTGGAACCATGACTTTAAAAAGGGCACAATTTGACTGATGTGTAAAATTGGTATGCTGGGATTTTCTCTTGCACCCATGAGAGTTTTCCACTGAGAACAATTGTTAGTCTCTGGCATGTAAACCAGCAATGTGGAAGGTGCTACAATCCAAAAGTGCAGGCTTGTGTCTTAATACCCTCTAAGGAGATTATCTCAGCATTAAGCTTGTCCTTGTGCAATTCTACTTGCACAGAAGATTATTCCTTTGAAGTGTCTGGAAGGCAAAAGGTTCTTGCTCCAGGGAAAAGAAGGTAAGCAGTATGATATTTTGACTTGGAAGTCTCAAACCTCAAGCAATATAGCTAATTTTTTACAGCAGATCAAAATACAGCACTCTTTGGTTTGTTTTATTATTTTCTACCCTGCCTTTTAGGGTGAGCTCTTGCTAGGTGGCTTTTAATAAAAATGTAAAAAGTAAAGCAACTTTGAAATGGTTACAATAACAGTAAATGGATTGAGGAACGACCTCTTGCTTTTCCGTATTTGTATATTCCGTATATTCTGAGATTCTTTGTGCCTACCCTTGTTTTGTCGCCGTCCCGGCATACTTTTTTCCTTGTCCCTGAAGGGCTGCATTAATTTAATGTACACCCCCCAAAAAAATAAGATTTCTAGGAACTATAGTTTACTACAAAGAACTACAATCCCAGCACCCTTAACAAATTACAGTTCCCAGGACTGTTTGTGTGGGCAGGTTTTACAGCCAGCGCTTCACAATCTAGAGTATTGCCGGAGCCTTTACTGATCGAATCCAAGGAAGGAAGGAACAAATGAACAGAAAAAAAGGAGGAGATATAGTACAAAAAACCAAAGAAGTTGGCAATAGTGGAGAAAAAATATCTGAGCTGCACCATCACAATGTCTTCTGATTAACATCCTTTTTTCCACTTCTCAGCACTGTACATTTAGCACAATATCCTACCAATTTAAACAGCCACTGCTTCCCCAAAGGAATCCTGGGAACTGCAGTTTGTTGAAGATGCTGAAAGTCAGAATTTTTAAATTAATTTTCTAATTTACATTTTAAAGTATTCATTTAAACAACATTAAATCAATGTCACCCCTCCTCCTCCTCCTCCTCCCGTGGTTCAGTTTGCATACCATAAATCGCTGCATATTTTACTATTGAATATTGCATTGTTACATCCATCAAAACTTATTTACACTGTCAAATTTATCTTAATGCTACCAGCATTTTTAAATGTACACAATTTTCACCCATATATTCAACAAACATTTCCCAATCTTCTTTAAACATATGTTCTCCTTGTTCTCTTATTCTATATGTTAAATCTGCAAGCTGCGCATATTCCATCTGTTTAAGTTGCCATTCTCCTTTTGTTTTCCATTCTTGACCTAACAAAACACAGGCCGCAGTAGTGGCATACATAAATAACCTTTTTTGACACCTGGGAATTTCCATCTGATTTATCCCCCCCAAAATAAGCACCTTTTGGTCAGGTGGATCAAAAGGAGGGACATTCCAGGATCCAGTCAGAAGCTGAGATGGCTTCTGTAATTCTCTGATGTCCCACTTAAATCAGGGTTGTTGAGCGGTATGGAAGGGTGCTGGGAATTGTAGTTCTGTGAGGAGTAAACTGAAGTTCCCAGGAGTCTTTGGGGTGGAGGGAAGCCCTGTGCTTTAAATGTGTGTTGTGTACAAATGTGGGCTGGGCCAGCCCTGGTGAAATGCTTCGTGCATCCTTCTCAAGCACCTACCTGTTCCACCCCGCCTCTTGTCCCTTTCAGTTCCAACTCCCAGCAAAGATGTGTGACCAGACCTTTTTGGCCAATGTGTTTGGCCCATGCGACAATTGTTCCAAAGACAGAGCCCTCCGGGAGATATACCGCAAATCAGAAAAAGTCAGCTACTGCTCACTATGTGTGGAAATGGTATGTGGTTGTTTCTATTTCACTGGGTTTTTTAAATAGTCTTCAACGAACTTATGCTGCATACTGATTTTGGGGGTGGAATGTGTGGGTGCGGAAGAGGAAGTGGTACAACATTGGGTTAAAAAAATTAGGAAGGTGGGGAATATATAAGATACAGTGGACGTTCGGGTTGTGAACGTGATCCGTGCGGGAGGCACGTTCGCAACCCGCAGAGCCGCATCTGCGCACACGCAGGTCATGATTCGGCGCTTATGCACAAACCGTGATTTAGCGCTATTTCACATGCGCGAGCGCTGGAACCCAGAAGTAACCTGTTCCGGTACTTCCGGGTTTCGCGCGGTGCGCAACCCAAAAATGTATAACCTGAAGCGTCTGTAACCTGAGGTATGACTGTAAACTGTAAATTTATCGGATAGAGCATATGTTTCCTTGGGACTCAGTCCCACTGGAAGTTTCCAAGTAGACATACGCTGTTATGAATTTATGAATTGCTTCTTGCAACGGAATGTCCCAAAGTGCTTTACAAAAATAAAATGCAATGAGAAAGAGGAAAAAAACCCACATAAAGCTAATAAAAACAAATCAGAGTATCACTTTAATAAGTATGCTTGTAAAAAAAAATCTCGATTTTATTGTTTTATCTTTTTGTAAACTGTTTTTATTTTTTTTAACCATCATTTATAACTTATATAAAATAAAGAAAATAGGAAATAACTATTAGACTCTCAGATCCTGAATCCCAGGATTTAAATTGAAGACATTTTTCTTCCGGCAGGCTCTACCAGCTGCAAAGGTGTGTCTTTGCCACCAGTGTCTATTTTGTATTATTTTTAAAAATGGATTGTTTCTTGGTGTTTTTAACTTTTGCTATTTTTCTTGTACATCACCTTGTGTATCACTTCAAGAGGGATAATGCAGAGTTGGAAAAGTTGCAGGAAAGAGCAATCAAAACAATTAAGGGGATGGAGCTACTCTATGAGGAAATGTTGAATTGAGGAAATTCTTGAATTGCCCCCCATAAAAACCAAATTGCCCCCAAGTGGGGCGTGTGCCCGACATTGTGAACCATGGGACTAGATGATCCCTTCCAAATCTACGATTCCATGCATAGGAGCCAGCTCCTAGGCACCAAGGGGCCTTGGGCCCCCGGTTAAATATTTGAGGGTGCTGCCCCTCCAAAGTTAATGGACAGTGCCATTCAAATAGTGTGTGTTATGTACTGAAGTTCTCACCCTGGGCCAGGAGAGGGATACTGTAGATAGTTTTCACTCAGGTCCACATATGGAAATAAGGGATTGAAAGTGACGTTCACTGATTGGATAGTTACAGAAAGTGGTTACTGTTGCGTGGTAGTGGACCTCTATATAAGCAGGCTGGCTGAACCCTTCAGTTCAGTTCAGTTCTGGCCTGTCAATAAACAAGAGCTGTTTGAAGAATTGCTGTGTTGTCTAATATGTTCACCCACAACTTAACAGTGTGCATGTGCCACATCAAATGAGCAGTTATGGGGGGGGCAGTTATGTCCCAGCCTGCATAATTGCTCATATGATGCTCAAACCAACCAAGTTCCCACGCTGCCCGATCCCTTCCCGCTTAAGGCGCAGGGAGAAGATGCCTCCGCCCGGCCCGGCCCTGCCTAGCCCGAGTGGGACAAGCGTCCGCCTTGCCTCCGGCGCGCCAATCAGCGTCGAGGAGGGCGGAGCCTACCTCTTCCCTGCTGGCTGGGCGGATCCGGAGCTGCTGCTGCTCCTCCTTCTCCTCCTCCCGCCTCACTGTCTCTTTCCCCCTCTCCTCCTTGCAAAGATGGCAACCGAGGGGCTGAAGGAGAACGAGACCCTGGCGTCGCTGAAGACCGAGGCCGAGAGCCTGAAGGGCAAGCTGGAGGAGGAGAGGGCCAAGCTGCACGACGTGGAGCGTGAGTCGGGGGCCGGGAAGGGGGTGGCGGGGGGGGGCGCTGGGCTGCCTTGGAGAGGCTGCCCTCCATCCGAAGCAGAGATGGCAGGAGAGGGAGAGAGAGACGGGAGCAGGGAGCTGCGCATCATAGGAGTAATTCTGGGGGGTGGCCCAAGGATCCTGGGGGGTGGGTGGGGTGCTGGGCTTGTTTGATGGGAGATCGGGGGTGGGGATCCGGGGATCCTGCCTCCCCCTCCCTCCGCATCCATCTCTTCCACCTGCCCCTCCCCGTGTTGTGCTTCTTCCGAGCGTGGCTGCAAGGAAATCGCCCTTCGCATCATCATTATCCAACAGCATCCAGCTAGCTGCTGCGTTTGAATCCGAAAGCCTGAAAATAAAGTGGGGCGGGGGCTATAAATAAAAGCTATTTATTTATCGAGGCAGGAGGAATGGAATATCCCCTGTCGTCGCTGGATGCCTGATCCTCAGAAGCAGATATGTGTTTATTCGTGGTGGTTGGGTGTGCTTGGTGAGATGTAAACATGCCAGGGAATGCAAGAGGCGGATGTGCACGCAAGGCTGGGCTTTATGCTCGGTTCCTGTAATAATGGTCGCCAGATCCAGGCCGGGGGAGAGCATTTAAGGCGACCCAGTGAAAAACAGGGGCAGGGGGAAGCCGCAGGGCACCTGTCTTTTATTTAACCGTTGCATTAAAAAAAGGAAGAAAATCCACTCGGTTTCCCCCCCCTCTGCTGTCTTAAAAGCCCTGCCTGATTAAATCCATCTGCTGCTGCCTGCAAACATTGCAAACAGGATGGTAGGCTGACAGGGAGAGGATTCCCCAGCCTTACTTGTTTCTAGAGCTCTTTAGAGCAGCCCTTTGCCAACCCGTTAGCTGTGGTGCCTGGGGGCTGATGGGAGCTACAGGCCAAAACATCTGGAGAGTGCCGGGTTGGCAAAGCCTGCTTTACATGGTTGGAAGATGGAGGGGGAGTTGCTATTTGGGAAGGCAGGGAAACTTTAAAGTTGGCTGAGAGGAATAACAGCATTCAGAGCTGTGCTTTGGGAACCTGCGGCCCTCCAGATGTTGCTAAATCACAACTCCCATAATCCATGGCTGTATGGGGCCATTCTGGCTGGGGCTGATGGGAGTTGTAGTCCAGCCTCTGTAGGGTCACAGGATCACCATCCCTGCCATCTGTTTTTTAGATTTGCGTGGGGATGCCAGCACAACACTCACAGGTGTGCTTGCACCTGCAAGAGCCTGCTGGGTCCCATTCCCTCACCCCTCCTGCTGAAATTAGGCTTGAAAGCAGTTGCTCCCTTACCCAGTGGTAATCCATCTGCCCACAGATCCTACCAACACCACAATTCATTTAACAATAAACCTTGTATTGTAGACAATATAACACTTTTTTCAAACCGAATTGCATGTTGTCCTACGCTGAACGTAACCAAAAGACTTTATAATCTCAACAACAAAAAAGAGACATTGCACGTTCCTTTGTATTTCTTGAAAATCTTTAATACTTTTTCTAAAAGAAGACCCCATTGCTACTGGCTCTCATGCCCCTTTCATATTGCAATTAGGTTTGAAAAAGCCTTCTGTTGGAGCCAATGAAAGACTTTTTTTCAAGCCTGACTGATTGTTATGGGGTGAGGTGGGGTTTGATCTTCCTAGAAATTGCAGCTGAAGGAAAAAGGCTATTTCCCTCTCCCCCCTCTCATTCCCACTCTTCTGTAAGATTAGCCCCTGCCAGCTTCACATACCCAAAGAGGCTTGCAGGGTGGGGACACCTAAATTACATTTTTAAGTGTCATTGGTGGAGGGGGGGACAAGAGGGAGGCTGTATGTTTGTGTGCATGGGATCCAGAACAGTCCCCGCCCCCCGTTTGCAAATGGGCCCCCAAAGTTGGGGTGTACATGGTGACCAACTCATTCCTGCTTTCGGACTTTCTGGGGGCATCCTTTTCAGCCTTTGTGGAAGCAGAACACTGTTCTTACGTCCTTAAAGTGTCAACATAAATATTCAGTCCTATTGAGTCAAATAGGCTTTACTCCCAAGTAAGATGCAGGTGGTGCTGTGGGTTAAACCACAGAGCCTAGGGCTTGCTGATCAGAAGGTCGGTGGTTCAAATCCTGTGACGGGGTGAGCTCCTGTTGCTCGGTCCCTGCTCCTGCCAACCTAGCAGTTCGAAAGCATGTCAAAGTGCAAGTAGATAAATAGGTACCGCTTCGGCGGGAAGGTAAGCAGCGTTTCCGTGCGCTGCTCTGGTTCACCAGAAGCGGCTTAGTCATGCTGGCCACATGGCCCGGAAGCTGTACGCCGGCTCCCTCGGCCAATAAAGCGAGATGAGCACCACAACCCCAGAGTCGGCCACGTCAGGGGTCCCTTTACCTTTACCTTTAAGTGTGTATAGGGCTGCAGCCTCAAGTATTTTATTACTATGTTGTTGTTGTTGAGATGAAATGAAGGCTTTATTTTTTCCCTTTTTAATTACTGTTTTTTATTTTGACAAAGTAATAATTGTACATAAATAAGAATAAAAATGTGCACCCCACCCTGAGACCATTCCATTGTAACTATCCAACCTTCCAAAATTTCAACACCTCTTGCGATGGTTTGACCCCTTTCCATTTTAACAGTACAAATTCTACAAACACCCTCCATATCTCCTCAAAATAATTCCCCAGCTTACCTTAATAGCACATGTTAATTTATCATTAATAGCTATATCCCACACCTCTTTATACCATTCTTCCATTTTATATTCTGCTTGCCCCTTCCACTTCCTAGGTATCATAATTCATGCAGCTGTCAATAAATTTGTGAGCATGTGAGCTTTAAACATACTTTCCTGTTAACCATCATTTCTTTATTTAATCAATTTGGAGGTTGCTTAATATACCAAAAAATCCCCCCCAAAACAAACAACCCTTCTAAAGTGGTTTACCAAGCAAACAACAACAACTCATTAAAATCAAGGCTATAATCCAATAAAGCAAAAGAACTGTCAATAAAAATAATCAATCAAAATGCTAAGGAATGTGTCATGATGCTGAATCCCACAGAGGGAAGGCAGCAAGGCAAGATCAGGAGATGCAGGACCATGGAGAGCGACAAGTGAGCAACCCTTATGGATTATTCCCACTTACCTATTGCCTTGACCTTTCCAGACACAAGTCTGATTGTTTTGGGGTTTAATGCCCCCAAAGCTTTCCCTGCAAAAACCCTGCTCTTTAGCGCTCAATTGGAGCAAACGTCCATTCGGATTGCAGTTTGCTCCAATTGAGCTTTAAAGAGCAGGTTTTCGAGGGAAAAGCTCTGGGGCAAAAAGAAAACGGCTTAGTGTCTGAGCTTTAAAGTGTGGACCTTGCCTGGAAAGGTAAGTGTGTATAAGCCTCTGGGCACCTGTGCTCAGACTCCCGTTTCCAGGCTCTGCTCTCCTGTGGATAACTAGAGCCTTACAGCTTCACCTTCTGACTTGAAGCATGGCCAGTGGTCAGGGATGATGGGAGTTGTAGTCTTATAACATTTAGGAAGTCACAAGCTCCCCACTCTGCTCTACGAGAAAATCTGCTTGCAAGAAAAATAGTTGCCCGGGTTTCTCATAAACGCCAGAGATTTAGAACATATCTGTACTGGTTAACAATTTGCTACCAGGCCCGGTTCAAAGTGTGACTATTAACAACTTGGGACCAGTTTGGCTATCCCCACATGTGCCCACTCGACTGCTTCAAATGACAGAATTGGCACTGCTGCAGGTGCCACGTAACGCCCGTTCCATTGTTGCAAGAGCCCCATTGTATATTGAGGCAGCACCTACACTTCGGAACTCCTTGCCTATTGCGATCAAGCAGGTGCCTTTACTGTGCTCTTTTAAAGGTAAAGGGACCCCTGACCATTAGGTCCAGTCGTGACCGACTTTGGGGTTGTGGTGCTCATCTCGCTTTACTGGCCGAGGGAGCCGGCGTACAGCTTCCAGGTCATGTGGCCAGCATGACTAAGCCGCTTCTGGCGAGCCAGAGCAGCGCATGGAAACGCCGTTTACCTTCCCGCCGGAGCGGTACCTATTTATCTACTTGCACTTTGACGTGCTTTCAAACTGCTAGGTTGGAAGGAGCAGGAACTGAGCAACGGGAGCTCACTCCATCACGTGGATTCGAACCACCGACCTTCTGATCGGCAAGTCCTAGGCTCTGTGGTTTAACCCACAGCGCCACCTGCGTCCCTTGTACTCTTTTAGGCTCCTGCTAATAACATCCTTCTTCAGGCAAGCCTACCCAGATGCTCAGAAAGTTGAGGCAATTTGTTTTAGTATTTAAACTTTTGCTTGTTTTTAAGTATGGTTGTAAAAATAAATAAATCACGATTTTATTGTTTTAACTTTTTGTAAAATCTTTCGATTTTTTTAAACCATCATTTATAAATTTTGTGAAATGAAGGAAATAGGAAATAACTATTAGACCCTCAGATCCTGAATCCTAGGATTTAAATTGACGACATTTTTCTTCTGGCAGGCCTTACCAGTTGCAAAGGTGTGTCTTTGCCACCAATGTCTATTTTGTATTGTTCTGTTTTTTTAAAATGGATCATTTCTTTGTGTTTTTAACTGGTCTTTTGCTTTTTTCCTTGTACATCACCTTGAGATGTTTGTGTAGAAGTCTATTAATAACAAAACAGGTATAGGAGGCACTAGATATGGGAGCCACTAAATGCTACTTGGGAGTCACTGAATATAGGCTTCTAATAGGTTCTAAGGCTTTATAGTTAGAAAATGGTTCAACGGTGGTCATTGGCTGTGGCTTTTGCTCTGCGGGGATGTTCGTCTCAGTTTTGCAGCTGAAAAGAGGATCTTTCCTACTTTCAGGGAGATGCAACTGAGTGCTTTCCTTTTAGGATGATGACTGAAAGGCTAATAAATCAATGAGTAACTTTAAAAAGAGGGAGGAAAGGGTTGTTTGAGCTGCAGCCAAATAAGTCATATATAAAGCATTGCCCATCATTACTGGGTCCAGGAGTCCTGTCCAAAAATAAAAACTGGCGTTCAGGAAATAACATTTGGTACCCAAACAGTATTTGGGACCATTGTGTTCCTCCAGTAGAAAGCAGAGGCCTGCCTTGAACTTTAGGCATGCACACTTTGCTGAAGTTGTAAGCCAGAGGTCTGTGCTGCAACTTCAAATTCTGTAGTAAAAGGGGGAGATGAGCAGCCACAGCTGTCTCCCCCATGGAGGCCGCTCTTCTCCAAGTCTTTTTACCTGCCCCATCACACTCCAGATCCAATAGAGAGCAAGTGGGTCACAGTTTCAGTCAGTCAGTCAGTCAGTTTTATTGCACATAGCCAAAGGCTGCTGAAATGTACACAGAATCATTCAACAAATAGAAGAAAATATACTGGATTGATACAGAAAACCTAAAACATTTATATTATCAAGACGTTACCTACTCTAAACAGAGCTATAAAAGTACCTTAATATACAAATTAAGACATTAAACAATAAAATTTATAAGCTAAAATTATCACATGGTCACTAATATATTAAAAAATAATGTTAATTAATACAGTGTGCAATTATATTCGAAGTTTGGTGATAAAGATAGAATATAGCTTGATGTAAGGTAAAGGGTAAAGGGACCCCTGACCATTAGGTCCAGTCATGGCCGACTCTGGGGTTGCAGCGCTCATCTCACTTTATTGGCTGAGGGAGCCGGCGTACAGCTTCCGGGTCATGTGGCCAGCATGACTAAGCTGCTTCTGGCAAACCAGAGCAGCGCACGGAAATGCCGTTTGCCTTCCCGCCAGAGTGGTACCTATTTATCTACTTGCACTTTGACGTGCTTTTGAACTGCTAGGTTGGCAGGAATAGCTTGATGTAGATAGGGTCAAATAAATTCATCTCCTTTACAGTTGGTGTCTACCTTGGCTATATAATTTGCTCTAATTTTCCTAGCGGCAGTTTCAAAGGGTGCTACACGCCAGGTCACATACTTATCTGTGTCTGCGAGGAGATATAAAATCAGGTCAGAGGGGTTCTGGCCAGGGGACCTTGTCATTATAGGTGCTAAAAATCTTTCTCTTGCCTCATTATTTAAGGGGCAGCGCAAGATACACAGTTGTTTCATTGCCCGCCATGCAAATCTCTGGGTTGCAACCCGCAAGCCCAAAGCCTGCAGTGGAAGAAGTCAGGGACCTGGCCTCTTCACGGCTAATTCCAGACGCTTCCCTGAATCTTCAGCTTTCACACAAAAACAAAACAAAAATGCCTGCTGGGAAAAGAAGCTCATGGGGTGACCCCTCTCAGCCCAGCCTACCACACAGGGCTGTTGTGAGAAGGAAACGTGTGGGTGGGAGAGGGAATAAAAATGTGTACCCCTCAGGGCTTCTTGGAGGACGGACAAGACAAACCTTTAGATAAATAAAACAGTCTGTTTACTTCTGAAGATAAAAGAAAAAGTGGGTGAACTATTAATTAGAAATCAACTTAACGTCCTCCACTGGGATAATTTAATTTTAGGGTGTCACCTTGGAGTAGGACTTAGTTGAGTACAACCACAGGCCTTTATTTCTCAATTTTATGAAATTACCTTTTTTTATACAAAGGTCGTTTTATTTGTATGGATGGACAAAATTATCAATTTTAGCTTTTCTCTATTTCTCATTTTTCCCAGTCTTCAAATCAGCTCTGCACATTTCTGTCTCCAATTTGTGGTGTTTATAAAAAAAAATTAACCCTTCTGAAAACTCATCAGCATTTTAGGGTGAATTTCTCTTGGCGTGTACATTTTTGAAAGCCGTTTCCCCTAATGCACTTATGTATACATTGCATTGCAAAATTAGGAGAAATGTGAATTTCAAAGAGTGTGTTTCACTTCACATATTGGTTTGAGAAATGCAAATTGGATAGTTTGTTCTTAAAATGCAAACAAAAATGGATTTCTCCCCCACTTCTTATTAGTATGCCATAAAATCATTTCTGTTTCATGCTCTGTAATGATTCCAAACCCCTGAGGCCCCTTGGCCACAACAGTTAAGGCTTCAGGCCTGTTGACAACCTTTCCCTTAACTTGCGAGCATCATCTTGGAGCTTTGCATGCATTGCCAAAGCACACAGTGACTCTCTTGAATTCCCTGCAGTTCATCAGGTGGCGGAGCGTGTGGAGGCCTTGGGTCAGTTTGTGATGAAGACAAGAAGGACGCTGAAAGGCCATGGCAATAAAGTCCTCTGCATGGACTGGTGCAAAGATAAAAGAAGAATTGTAAGCTCTTCCCAGGTAAAGAGAGATGATGTCATTGTCTTGAGGGTTTGTTACTATGCTGAGGAACAATCTAACTGGAAAGAAAATGTCTTAGTCTTTAACGTTTGACGAGATTGTGTGTTTATTTAGAAAAGTAGGACATTGCCTTCTTCCAGATACTTATTCTACAGTGTTGTTTGCACTAACCAGTAATAGCTTGCCATCCTCTGAGGCAATGTTTAACTCTTTCATAACTTCCACTAGTTTTCATGACATTTAGAGTGCTTTGGACTATATAAATAGTGCCTCAAACCAGCAAGTTAAGATTTGATTATCTGGGTCCTTATTTGTTGGACATAAAAACATCCCACCCTGTTCCCCATCGTCTCTCGTTTAACTTCTCTCTTGGCATAATCTTCCTACTTATTTCCCTGAAGACAGAGACAGGGTTTTCTGTCATTCTGCAGAGGCCAAAGGCTATAATAATGGCAGGTAAAAAGCCTCTTTTGTACCCTAATTTATTTATCAAAATACTTATATACTGCTTTTGCATATTAATAATCAACAGTGTGTAGTTGAAAATAGCCAAATGGTAAGGACGGCCAGCAAAGACCTCAACAAAATCATCATATTTTCAGCAAATGCAGAAATGGCATGAATGCAAGTGTTTGCCTCAATTCAGAGGGCATAATGCACTTACTTTTCAAAACTCTTCTTTTTCTCCTAATTTGAGTTACAACAATTCTGTTTCATTTTGCTGATAACAAATCAATGGTACCCAGCTTTCTTTCATGCCAGCTCACAAACCTCCTTGACTAACTGCTCTGAGGCAATTTTGTAAACACTGGCCGCATCTTCCTGTTTGTTCCTGGAACTGTTGGGCTTGTATTTTGAATGTGGGGTCATGGTGTCACAGCATCACACAGGGTACATGAAGGTATCACGAAGACAAAATTCAGAGCGGGGACAAAGTTTCCTGCTCTCTTCCTGAATTGGTTAACACTTTTGCATCTGTTTCCTCTGCTAAAAATAATTGAAAGGGAGAAGTTTTTTCTCAGGGCAAAGGTTTTCATGAAAAGGACCCTACCCAACGGAAGTGGTGGAGAGATGTGTGCTTGATAGCATTTCCAGGGTGAAGTCTAGTGCCATCTTCCCAGGCTGACTTCAGTTGTGAGTCTAGTTTAGCATAGGGCCTTGGTGGTAGCCAGCCAAGGGCTTGGTTTAGAATAGACTGAGGGTAACCAGTGCTGTGTCCTCCGGTTGTTTTTGATTCATCTGACCATCGACCTTGCTGGCTGGGGCTGATGGGAGTTGGAAGTCCCACAAAATCTGGAGGGCAAAATGTGGGCTATGCATACTTTAGGCCTAGAAGACCTGATATTGCATTTGAAGGGATGCACAAACCTTTCGATTTTAGGCAGGAACACAACAGAGAGAACTGCAATAAGACTTCAAAATATACATCTCCTTGTTTGAGAAATTTATAATCCCTCTTTGCTTTTCATAGGATGGAAAGGTGATTGTTTGGGATGCCTTCACTACCAATAAGGTAAGTTCCTTGTGTTTCTTATTTCCCTCAAGGCCTAAAGAATAGATGTCTGTGATGAATGTGGGAGGGCAACAGAAGGGTCTTTGTCCCTTTGTCTTCCATTCCATGTTGAAGACCTGCAAATTCTGGTTGGCCTTGGTGGTAGCCAGCCAGTTTGGGGGTATTTTTTTAAGAAATAAGTTGGTTCATTTCAATGTAAAGCTGAGCCAAGTGTGGGACAAACATTTCCATTCTGCTAGAGCAGGCATGTCCAACAGGTAGATAGTGATCTATCGGTAGATCCCCAGATGTCTGTGGTAGATCGTGGTAGATCACGAGATGCTTAGTGACCACCTCACCAAAGAAAGCTTTGCCTACCCTAAAAAAAGCTCAACAACTTTGCCTGTCAATAACAATGGGTAGATCACAGCCAGCATTTTTATAATGTGAGTAGATCACAATCTCTTTGGAGTTGGACGTGCCTGTGCCAGAGGGTCCAAAGGTCTGATGGAACAAGGCCTGTTAAGTTCCTCTCGTGTTACAAACATCACGCACTTGTAGTCACTTCCCATCTTTTAAAGTCAGTACAGTGTTACCTCAGGATGTGAACGGGATCCGTTCCGGAGCCCCGTTCGCATCCTGAATAGAACATAAGACGCGCCTGCGCATGCACGGGTCGCGTTTTGCCGCTTGTGCGCATGCGCGTGACGTCATTTTGACCGTCTGCGCATGCGCGAGTGGCGAAACCCGGAAGTAATGTGCTCCGTTACTTCCGGGTCACCGCGGAACGCAACCCAAAAATACTTACCCTGAAGCATATTTATCCTGAGGTATGACTGTATAAGAGAATCCTACTTTACTATCATTTAGTGATATGGAAAGGATTTGCAAATTGACCCTTAAGATGCAAGAGATGATTTGTGTTTCAGGAACATGCGGTGACGATGCCTTGCACCTGGGTAATGGCATGCGCTTACGCTCCTTCAGGGTGTGCCATTGCTTGTGGGTAAGTGGGAGCCTCTTGATTAAAGCCATTTTTTATTGTTGCACTGAGCCAAGGGGGCTGTTTCCTTCCCTCCAGTATTCCTTAAAGCACCTGATGACAGCATGGGCTTTTTTAATAAAGCTTTTGGCCAACTCAATAACTTTGATGCTGACATAGGTTGTGTATATTTTGATGACTGCTGGATTTGTTTTATTGTGTTTAGTGTGTGTGTTGTTAGCTGCTTTGAGATTCTTTGGAAGATAAGGCAGGAGAGAATTGTTTTCATAAATAAATAATAGATTGCCTTAATAGGTAAATAAAATAACTGAATTCCTGCCTTAGACCAGGAAAAAGCAAACCTGCTACGGAAGTGCAGGGAGATCTTCACAATATAATTGACCGACTTTTATGTGCTTGTTAGTGGTTTGTACCCAGCGCTCCTAGGAAATTCTAGGAGGCCAAAAAAATCACTGCAGTTTCCAAAGGTTCAGTTCAGCATCTTGATTCAAAATGGCTTCTGGTCATATCCAAAGATAGTTGAAAATCTGCTCCTTGATCTTGGGAAACATGATGAAAAATTAGTTTACGATATCTTCAGAGGTGCCCAAATGCAAGCAGACAAAAAACACACAACCAAACCTTTCCCACGTGTGCCCCAAAAAAGCAGCTTTTGATAAATAAAATAAAATAAAATCAATCTCACTAGAAAGCCACAGTTAGAAAAATGTTTTAGAAATTACAAAAAAAGAAGAAGCAAGAATTCGAAAGTAGCATTTTGGTAGTGAGAGAAATCCACAGATCACAGTAAGTCTGGGGAGATCATGGTTTTACTGACTCCTTAAGTTCTCCTAAAGGAGTGGAACTGGCAGATGTGTCTAGGGGAGGAAGGGATCCCACAGGGACAGGTGCCACTGCAGAGAGAGAGCTCTGTTTCTTGCAGACTCACTTCAGTTAGAAGTATCACCTGAAGATATATGTCTGTGGGGAGTGGGATGAAGTCACCCCCTAAGGCAAGGGTGGGGAATTTGTGTCCTTCCAGATAGTGTATCGGACAAATAGGGTAAAAAATGCTCCTAGCCATCTTGTAGGGAGTGGATTTTTCTTCACTTCAGACTTCCCTTCCACCTCCTCAAGCCTTGCTTTAGGCCACATGTTCTCATTATCCCTTTTTTCCAGCTCCACTGCCTCCTTAGGCAGTAGCCAGTGAATGGGAACAGGGCCTTTCCCTGTGGGTCTGAGCAGTGGCGTAGTGTGTGGGGTGCAGGGGGGGCCGGCCGCACCGGGCGCAACATCTGGGGGGGGCGCTCGCACTCGCAGCTCTTTGCCCCTACCTGGCTCACTCAATCTCTCTCACTGCAGTGCTGGCTGTGCGAATCCGATCTGAGCCGCTGGGTCGCCGCCCACTGTGGAGGGGGTGGGTGCCAGGCGTGCGGTGCGGAGAGAGAGCGAGGGACTATCTGGGGGAGGGACAGTGCAGCGGCCGCCCAGCGCAGCGCTGAGCGCGGGGGAGAACCACACCAGCCCAGGCAGCAGCAAGAAGAAGCTGGCAGCGGCGGCAGGTTAGGGGTTTGGGGTTGCAAATTACTTGCCTTGCCCCGGGTTAGGGGGCGCAAATTACTTGCCTTGCCCCGGGTGCTGACAACCCACGCTACGCCGCTGGGTCTGAGTTCCCCAGGCAAACACACAGCAAAATGGAAACTGGACAGGCAAAAGCAAAACTTGCCAACGGTTAGTGCTCGTGCAACCCATGCTTAAGTGATATCTTTTTCTCTTACCATTATTTTTTTTTAAACTCTAGGGGTTTGGACAACAAGTGCTCTGTGTATCCACTGACATTTGAAAAAAATGAGAATATGGCGGCCAAGAAGAAATCAGTTGCCATGCACACCAATTACCTGTCGGCTTGCAGCTTCACAAATTCGGATATGCAGGCAAGTACACTCCAGTGTTAGAATCATAGTTGTCGAGTTAGAAGGGACCCCAAGGGTCATCTAGTCTAACCCCGTGCAATGCAGGAATCTCAACATGCCGTCCCTCATCCAATTGGAAACCATACTGGACCCTGCTTAGCTTTGCAAATGCTGATTGTAGACAGCTGAGTACAGATTTATAGTGCCATACCTGTGCATGTGGGATGTGGGTGGCGCTGTGGGTTAAACCACAGAGCCTAGGGCTTGCCGATCAGAAGGTCGCAGGTTCGAATCCCCGGCGACGGAGTGAGCTCCCGTTGCTCGGTCCCTGCTCCTGCCAACCTAGCAGTTCGAAAGCACGTCAAAGTGCAAGTAGATAAATAGGTACCACTCTGGTGGAAAGGTAAACGGCATTTCCGTGCGCTGCTCTGGTTTGCCAGAAGCGGCTTAGTCATGCTGGCCACATGACCCGGAAGCTGTACGCCTGCTCCCTTGGCCAATAAAGCGAGATAAGCGCCGCAACCCCAGAGTTGGTCACGACTGGACCTAATGGTCAGGGGTTCCTTTACCTTTACCTGTGCATGAGAGATGGTGCAAGGTTTTATTTTGCTCCCGGGGAGCTGTGTTGCATCCTCCCTGCCTTCTCTCTTGTAAACACAATGTATTGACTTCCTTTCCCTCCTTGCCATGTGATTTCCAAATAAAGGAACTGGTTAGTTGACAGAACCAGGATCTGAACCTGCAGAGTTAGAATAAATTCCAGTTTGCTGAGCTTACGCTTGACAGGAAACCGCGGTTTATTAAAAAACCCCAAAGTGGAAGCTTTCGATCTTATCTGTTGCCCTTGCATACGAAGAAAGAGGAAGGAGGGGGTCCGTGAGAGTCTGAAATAGTTCGTGTTGAAGAAGACAGACCAGCAGCATGACCAGTGGTCACAGGCGATGGGAATTATAGTCTCCCACATCGGCAGAGCACAACATTGACTGTCTCCTCTATTGGCCTTGGATCTAGCAAACATTACATTATTTATTCTTTTGTAGGAATTTTGAGACAGCTCAGCATACAAAATACCAGGGTGGAGCAGACTTGTAAGATTTCAGAATGAAATACAAAAGCACAGTAAAGCTTCTTAGGCATAATGCTGCTGAATCACACTACAGGGAAAGGCTTCATGAATCAAGAAGTTTTAAGCAAGCGACTAAAGATCGCAGGGTAGAGCAGGGGTTCCCTGCCCTTGAAAATTGCTGGTGGACTACTTAATTGTTTTTTTGCCTGTTGTATGAATTGTAATGCACTGTGCTGGGTGCGATGCGCTTTTAAATTGTATTTTGATTGCTTCTTTCGTTGACATAATGTATTACAATTTGAATTTGCACAAAATTCAGATTGTAGCACAATAAGTTACGATATAAGAAATAAACATATAAATAAAAATGCAATTTTAATAGTTAATAGTTAAGGGGATGGATGTGCCTCTTGTGTTTTTAAACTTCACTGCTCTTTCTCTCTGCCCCATTCAAGGCTTAATAATGCATTAAAAAATAACACGAAAGTAAGAGGCATTTCTTCTTTCTGGGCCTCATTGCCATCATTAACAGCAATATTACTAATATTAAATTTATTAATTCTGTCATCCTGTTAACTTTATGAGACATAATAAAACACAGATCACATCAGGGCCGGTCCATCCATGAGGCAAGGTGACTGCCTCAGCTGGCAGTATCCATGAGGGCAGCAGATCCCAATGTCAGTCTTTCTCCACCTCCCATGTTTGTTCCTAATGTAGATTCTTCCCTGACAGGGGTGTGTGTGTGCTATTTTGGGGTCTGCCTCAGGTGCCAAGATGTCTTGGACCGGTTCTGGGATCACCTGAATGACATCTGCAGACTGCTGGAGGTCCATGGACCACAGTTTGGGAACCCCTTCTGTAGAAGCTTGGGGGGTATCCAAAAGGAGGGAATTCCACAAAAGCCCTGGTCCAGGTCCCTCAATGTGGACTGGAACCACAGGGCAAGAAGTGGGGATTTAATCCTTTCCTTCCTAACCAAGACCGCTGCCCTCCCATGCTGCCTTTAGCAATTGCATGGTTAAAAAAGAGATTCTCAAATGTAGGTGTGGGTTGAAGGCTGGTCCTGGCTTTGGGAAGGTTGAAGCCTAAATGGTTGATAACGTCCTAGGAAGCTGCTTGCTATCCCCCCCCCCAACTAACTAATCTCAAAGAGAAAATCCAGATTTTAAAACAGGAAAAAAATCGATTTGTAAAAAGAAAAAAGGAGCTTCAGCGTCATAGCCACAAAATGATAGAGCTTGTGGTGGCAGAACCTTCTCAAGGATTTAAAAAATAAAATAAAATAATAATCCAGAGGTTTTCAACCTTTTTGAGTCCATATCTCCCTTGACCAACTCCATTCTTTCTGAGGCACCCCTGTGGGGCTCAGGAGCCCAGTGATGTCACCCCTTGCCTGCAGAGCTGGCTTGTTCTTGTTTAGTCGTGTCCGACTCTTCGTGACCCCCATGGACCAGAGCACGCCAGGCACTCCTGTCTTCCACTGCCTCCCGCAGTTTGGTCAAACTCATGCTGGTAGCCTCGAGAACACTGTCCAGCCATCTCGTCCTCTGTCGTCCCCTTCTCCTTGTGCCCCCAATCTTTCCCAACATCAGGGTCTTTTCCAGGGAGTCTTCTCTTCTCATGAGGTGGCCAGAGTATTGGAGCCTCTGCTTCAGGATCTGTCCTTCCAGTGAGCACTCAGGGCTGATTTCCTTAAGAATGGATAGGTTTGATCATCTTGCAGTCCATGGGACTCTCAAAAGTCTCCTCCAGCGCCATAATTCAAAAACATCAATTCTTTGGCAATCAGTCTTCTTTATGGTCCAGCTCTCACTTCCATACATCAGCCCCTCATTTTTTTTCGAACACCCTCCCTGGCGGAGTGTTCCCTCAGCCTCCTCTCCTCTTCCCTCTCCTTGAGAGTCCTTCGGGCTGCTGTCCTTGGTCTCTGAGCTGCCACTCCTTGCCCCAAAGAGGGGTGCCTTCCAGAGGCTCCATTCATTCACCTGCGGCGCTTATAGCTGGGTCTGCTGCAATAAACAGCTGCACAAGTCTTTGGGAGGCAGAAATGCAAGAGGGCATCAGAAGAGAGAAGGAAGGAAAGAAGGACAGAGGCCAGTGTTGCCCGCGGCACCCCTGACCATCATTCAAGGCACCCCAGGGTGCCATGGCACCCTGGTTGAAAACCACTGCCTTAATTCAAAGCTCCCATTAGAGCAATGGCCATTCTAGGGACATTCTGAGAGAGACAGTGAAACATAGTGGCCACTTATGTGAGTCAGTGTTGCCCTTCTGAACCAATTTCACTCTTCCGGATGGGGGGGTCCACTTCCTTTTACCCCTGGCTCCCCTCTCGCAAATTGCAAGGCACACTTTCCCATTTGGAAGCTTTAATCGCAGCTCTGTGTTTTGTTTTGTTTTTGCTAGTTTTCCATTACAACTTTTCCTGACCATTTGCGTATGCCCTTAGGTTTTGCATTGCTGTAAAAATTTCAAGTTGCAGGCTTTACAGTGGTACCTCAGGTTAAGTACTTAATTCGTTCCGGAGGTCTGTTCTTAACCTGAAACTGTTCTTAACCTGAAGCACCACTTTAGCTAATGGGGCCTCCCGCTGCTGCTGCGCCGCCGGAGCACGTTTTCTGTTCTCATCCTGAAGCAAAGTTCTTAACCTGAAGCACTATTGCTGGGTTAATAGAGTCTGTAACCTGAAGTGTATGTAACCTGAAGCGTATGTAACCCGAGGTACCACTGTATTTTATTTTATTTTATTTATTTAATTTATGATTTTCAATTTTATACATTTCAATAATTTTATAATCATTTTAACATTTCAAAACCTGACTTCCTTCCTCCTCTTTCTGCAATTCTTTAAATTTATTTTTAAATATTTTCTGCATATCCAAATTAACTTAATTTGCTCATTTATTCATCTGCTTTAAACATATATTCTTACAAAACTTCAGGTTATTACAATAATCCTGCCAATTTGTAAATATTCCACAAACCATTTCCATTCTTTCATTAAAAAATTGTTATCTGGATTTCTTGCTTTTCCGGTAAGTTTGGCCATTTCTGCATATTCTGTAAGTTTTTGTATCCATTCTTCTTTTGCTGAGACTTCTTCTTCTTTCCATTTTTGGGCAAGTAACATTCCTGCTGCTGTAGTGGCATACATCAATAAAATTCTATACAGTTTGGGGAGTTCTGTCCCCATAATACCCCAAAGTTGCAGGCTTTAGTGTCACACAGGTATAAGCAGGGAAAACAGCACCCCAAGTCTACATCTCCGTCTAATTTGGGCTCTGTGTTTGCTGTGATTACACCAGACACCTGCCTTTTAAGGCTACAATTTAAGCACCACAGGTGGATCTTTGACTCCAGTTTCTGTGGCAACAGACACTCCTCACCATCTCAGGTTTATTACTGGAAGCCTCAGAATGGGAAATAATAGCTTACCCTGAGCTTCTTGCATCCCAGAATAGCAGCAGCTGGAGCTTAAACAGCTGTTGAAGAGAGACATAAGCCTGTTCTTGATTTTGCAGCGAAAAACACTAAAATAGCACCTCACATATTCTTATATATTGCTTGCGGGCAGAGTGGGATGGGGGGTGGGAATCCATATTTAGGCAGACACCCGTTATAAAATGGAAGAGAGATTTACCGTATTTTTTGCTCTATAAGACTCACTTTTTCCCTCCTAAAAAGTAAGGGGAAATGTGTGTACGTCTTATGGAGCGAATGCAGGCTGCGTAGCTATCCCAGAAGCCAGAAAAACAAGAGGGATTGCTGCTTTCACTGCACAGCGATCCCTCTTGCTGTTCTGGCTTCTGAGATTCAGAATATTTTTTTTCTTGTTTTCCTCCTCCAAAAACTAGGTGCGTCTTGTGGTCTGGTGCATCTTATAGACCGAAAAATACGGTATTTACTTTATTTAATAAATCTGTATCCTGTACCTTCACAGGGTGGCAACCAATTAATAACTGCCAGTATACATAACGGTGGCAGTTTCTTATGTAAACGCTTCAGTTTCTTATGTATTGCACTGTGTTGCATTACAATTTAAACTCGATGGAAATCAAAATAAAATAGAATAGATAGGAAAGGAAAGCTGCCATCAAAATGGCAATTAAAAAACATATCTTATCTAGCAGCGTGTATTACGATTTGTACAACCGGCAGAAGATCATTGTCTGTCAAGACCCTCAGCAATTTTCAAGGGATCTATGGAGGGGGGAGTTTAGGAGACACTGGTTTAGGGTCTGCTATGGAACATGATTTATTGCCTGTGCTGTGGCTTATAGAACGGAGCCTTTATTGCAGCCGAAATCAAGAGGAATCAAACCATCTTTCCCAGGTATTCCTGTTTGACTTGTTTGCTACGCAGTGTCTCTTTCAGTACCCTGCCAATACAGTGGTACCTCGGGTTATAGACACTTCAGGTTACAGATTCCGCTAACCCAGAAATAGTACCTCGGTTAAGAACTTTGCTTCAGGATGAGAACAGAAATTGCATGGCGGTGGCAGCAGGAGGCCCCATTAGCTAAAGTGGTATCTCAGGTTAAGAACAGTTTCAGCTTAAAAACGGACCTCCAGAACGAATTAAGTTCTTAACCCGAGGTACCACTGTATGTTGATTGCCCAGGCAGAGGGAAAGTATTTTCATTTCGGCCCCAAAACCATCCCAGTGTTTTAGGGCTGCCTGTTTACAAGGCTGTTCAAGGAGCAGAGACATGACATCAGGCCCTTTTTTATGAGAGAAACGGTTTTAAAATGCAACCACAAGGGGGCAATTACGGACCCAGTCTAACGATCTTGAGTTTTGCTGAGCTTCTGACAATGCAGGGATTATAAAACTGAAAGGCAAAATAGATGTTCACTAAATCTGTAGCCCTCATCATTTCTCTCCCCACACCCTTTGCTGGTTAAAAGGGGGAGATAGTAGTCAGCCAAATAAATATTTTTATCTGAGTGCCATACTGGACATTTCCATAGTAATGAGTTATTTGGAAGCAAACGTTTTGAAAACAAAAGAGAGTAAATATTCAGCCGATAACCTCAGCCTCGCCTTTTAAAGCCACAAAATATTTTATTATTAAAAGTGTGAATACCAGAAATTCCTATTTTGCCTTCAAAGAATACCAGGCGTTCCAGAATCACAGAGACGTTTCCCATGTGTGAAATTAGAGCAATCCCATATTCTTTCCTTCTCGTACCACTTTTCTCCGTATCTCCCATGTTCTTAGATTGTAAATTATTTGGAGTAGGTTTGCTTTCTGTGAAGCAGAGTTGGAGGAATTGATCTGGGTTCCCCAACACCATGCCCACCACGCCTGATATCAGGTGACAATTCCCCCAACCCCCTTGGTAGCATGGCAAGCTCCACTAACAAGAGAAAGTTCAATCTAAGTTAGGTTTGAAGTTACCATCTATCAGTTGTTAGGAGGTGAGCCTAGGCCTGTTTCCTAAAGGAATGGCTGGGCAACCAATCCAGTGTTTTTCAAAGCTGTGGCATGCGACAGCTGTTAAATACTCTTCATATAATTTTTCCATGCTATTAAAAAAAGAAATGAAACAAAGATCATTAAAAACAACAACTACCTTTTAAACTAAGGTACCTTTTTAACTAAGGTAGTTTAAAAAACTAAGGGATGCAGGTGGCGCTGTGGTCTAAACCACTGATCCTAGGGCTTGCTGATTGGAAGGTTGGCGGTTCGAATCCCTGCGACAGGATGAGTTCCGGTTGCTTGGTCCCTGCTCCTGCCAACCTAGCAGTTCGAAAGCATGTCCAAGTGCAAGTAGATAAATAGGTACTGCTGCGGTGGGAAGGTAAATGGCATTTCCGTGCACTGCTCTGGTTTTGCCAGAAGCGGCTTAGTCATGCTGCCCACATGACCTGGAAAAACTGTCTGCGGACAAACATCGGCTCCCTCGGCTAGTAAAGCGAGATGAGCGCTGCAACCCCAGAGTCATTCGCAAGTGGACTTAACTGTCAGGGATCCTTTACCTTTTTAAAAACAAAAAGAGGAAGATTGTTGTGGTGTCAATGATGCCAACCACCTTAGTCATGGTGCCCCCTACTGGTGTCTCCCACCCCACCAGCTGAAGACCAGACTTTTAACACAAGCTGCTGCTTTAGCGTGAAACTGTGAGTCAAATGGATGAGAATAGAAAGGGAAATGACTCAGATATACCCATGAAAATGTGAAACAAAGAATCCAACTTTAACATGAATCAGTGGAGACAAATCTTTGACAAATCGTGTCTTTCTTTCTTTTTAATAACAGTTCTTTTCTTTTGTTTCCCCCTTCTCTCCTAAAGATCTTGACTGCTAGTGGAGATGGCACCTGCGCTCTCTGGGACGTTGAAAGCGGGCAGCTTCTCCAGAGTTTTCACGGCCACGGAGCAGATGTCTTGTGCCTGGATCTTGCTCCTTCAGAGACAGGGAACACGTTTGTGTCGGGGGTAAAAGCAGATTAATCTTTATGCAGGGTGGAGGGAGGGAATTGCAGGGGGAGACACGAAGCAAATGAAAATCTCTCCAAGTGGAAGAGAGTATTTTGTAATATTTTGCTAAGTGCCTTTTCTCCCGATTAAAGCAGGCATTGCTGTTGTCTCCCCAGCTTCACTAATGCAGAATGAGATTCAGGAGAATATAGCCCTTCTCATGGCTTACTGAAAGCAGGGCTGTGTTGGCGGTTAATCCTAGGAGCTGTGTCTGCTGCTTCTCGCAATCAAATGTTACTTCTTTTCTAGAAACTTTTATCTACCACTTTTCAGCCCCCATAAAGGCACACAAGGAAAACACAATCCTGATACAATACAAATTTAAGAACAGTAAAGCCACTCTTAACAACACACAGAATTAGAACCACAAAACTGACACTGTCAGCAACGTCAACATATTGCAAAAACCCAGGAAAAGGCTGGTGAAATGGAGAAGCTTTTGACTGCCCACCAAAAACCCGTCAATGGAAGGAGCCAGTCAACCCCCAAATTTCAACCACTGGGGTGTGTCATGTGACCCCCCAGCTGCAGCTTCCAAGGATGGCTGTGATTTGAGGGGTGTTTCTTCAAACGTCCTAGTCCCAAGCTATTGAGGACTCTTCAAGACCCAATTTGTCTTGAATTGGGCCCCAAAACAAATGGGAAGCTAGTGCAGAAGGGGCAGGCTTGTCATAATATGATCCAAAAAGAAGATAGCCCAAAGCGTTATAACTGCTGCATTTTGTACCAGCTTCCGTTTCGGAATGTTCTCCAATAGCAGCCCCCCACAGAATGCATTGCAGTAGACTAATCTGCAGCTGAACAGGGTCCATATAACTTGTGACTAGTTCCACCTTCTTCAGGATGGCACATCTCGAGCCCCAGACAAAGCTGGGCAAATGCAGGAATTCAGAGCAGGTTATATGTCCTCCCTGAATAGGTTTGTAAGGATTAAGCCTTTGGTTAGCACATACCCAGTCCATCTCTGTACCCAGATAATCTCTGCACCTCCTTTGTAGTAACTGAAAAGGAAAGATGCCAGCATATTAATGGCACTCAATTAAAAAACTGAGGTTAGTGGATTGGGCGGGGGCAGAGGCAGTGATGGTGGTGGCATCTTGTCCCAGCTTCTTCCAGAAGAAAATTACCCCCTGCGTGATTCTTGTAGAGGGAACCTCCAGTGTTTCTTCTCTTGCCAAAGATCAACGGCAAGTGTGTATACTTATGTACCCAAAACAGTACCGCCCAGGCACAACATGGAAATATCATCAGGCTTGAATGAAACCTGAGGTTTGCAGAAGTACAAACAGTTCTCAGTGGGGTAAGCAGGGGAGGGAATAAAACTTCAAGAACTGCCCAGTGTGTTCTGAGCATGCTCCATTGCTGTGGAATGCTTGCTGATTGTTGGCAAGTCAAACTCTGAGGCCCGTGGGACGGGTTTTCCACCAGTGATTTAGAAAAATAGCAGAGATCACCTGGGGTGGTGAAAAAGGCCTATGGTTAATCTCACCCCTCTTGGTGAGGGGTGTCGCACAGCAGTTCTTCTTGATGAAATAATTTGATATTTGGCATAAAACAGGTCTGAAAGCAGCTCAGCACTTTCTGGAATGCCCTTGGAATGTGGAAGGAAGCCAGCGCCATATTGATCTTCATATTCTAGTGGCAAAAATTGCAGAAGTAGGAAAACTCTTCACGGAACCATCCCCACTGTTTAAAAATATATTTATTGATTTGGTGCTTAAAAAAAAAATGCAAGCATAACAAAATGAGAGAAAACAAAGAATAAAAAATGCAAATCATAAAGGGACAAAGGACAAAAGGACAAAGATACAGTGCAGCTTCAAAGGGACAATAAAGTATTAACTCATACAAAGTTTCCTTTTACAAATAATAAAGATACATGAAAATAAAAGTATTCTCCACCTGTGAGTTCAGTCATTTATTTATTTTAATTAAATCCCTGTGCAGAGAACCATTGATATTTCCGCAGTTTGCCTTAGGCTCGGTATATGAGGGGGGTATTTCATTTTTCACCTTTCTGTGATGAAATTGAGACTGAAGACAACTTGCAAATAAAACTATAAATCGCAGCAGACCTTCAAAATAAACCTGATGATTAAACAGTAAACAGCATCATAAAAACCACCATTGGTTCCATAAGCCACTTGATCTGCGTTGATTCTTATTGAGGATATAACCGAATCTTTATTGACTTTTGTTTTTTAGGGGTGTGATAAAAAAGCCATGGTTTGGGACATGAGGACTGGCCAATGCATTCAGTCATTTGAAACCCATGAATCGGATATCAATAGCGTCAGGTCAGTAGGTCCTGTTACCACACATTCATGTGATTGCAACGAAAAATGGTTCATTAGTGCTGACTAGCAAAATACCTGTAAGGATAATGTACAAGGGGGAAGGTGGGAGGGTCAGCTTTCCTCTCCGCCTATCAAAGCTACCAGTGTCTCTAGCCAATGAAGGGACAGCACTGGCCCTGCGGAACAAACCTTTGCTTGCCCAATAGCAGGGGTAGCCTGGTGGGCGGAAGGCCCCCACTACAGTGACCTTGTGGGCAGAGCCGTTCCTATCCCTTTGTCACAATCCTGCACGACCAAGAGAAAATTCGAAGAGAACTGGCTTTTGAGTAAAGGATTGTTGCATTTTGCAGGCTTTGGCAATTAATTAATTACATGGCAGATTAAAACTCTTTCTCAGCATTCCCTAGTTTGCACCTCTGTGCTTTTGAAGTCATAGGCTTTGCTTTAAATGTACTTGTTTTCCAGTCCAGCTGTCTCCTCAAAATGTTTTCTTACGAGCCACACAGAGTTGTTTTATTTATGTAAAGAGGTAAAGGTAAAGGGACCCCTGACCATTAGGTCCAGTCGTGACAGACTCTGGGGTTCATCTCCCTTTATTGGCCGAGGGAGCCGGTGTACAGCTTCCGGGTCATGTGGCCAGCATGACTAAGCCGCTTTTGGTGAACCAGAGCAGCGCACGGAAACGCCGTTTACCTTCCCGCCAGAGCAGTCCCTATTTATCTACTTGCACTTTGATGTGCTTTTGAACTGCTAGGTTGGCAGGAGCAGGGACCGAGCAACAGGAGCTCACCCTGTCGCGGGGATTCGAACCGCCGACCTTCTGATCGGCAAGTCCTAGGCTCTGTGGTTTAACCCACAGTGCCACCCGTGTCCCTTTTTATTTATGCAGCAGGAATTAATGTAAAGTGGAACATGGGAAGCTGCCTTACACAGAGTCAGCACCAGACAGGCAGTCGCTCTCCAGGGGTTCAGGCAGGAAATACAGAATTAGTGCATCATCACATTGCATCATGACATTGACTATATTTTAATAGCAAGCTTGTCATAATTATGGTTTATAGCAGTACTAATCACTTATAAAATTATCATGGCTTACCAGATCCACTATCATATGAGCAGAGGATTTTCTCTAAAGAAAACCCTATCTTAGTATTAGCAATTTCCCTTTATATAGCCTTTTGTAAAAATAAGGTACAGTGCATTTTTCTATTGCCTTTCTTTTTATTTTCTATTGCCTCTCTTTTTCATTTACAGGCTTGATTACAATTAATGCAATGATTTGCAATCGTTTTGATTGAATTTGCACTGTATCATCCAAGTGAAATAATTTTGCAACAGATAATGTAAATAGATAAATACTAACAATTGCTATTTTTAAAAAAAACCTGGAGAGGTATTACATAGACATGTTATCAATACTAAATTACTAATTAATGTATGCTTTCTGGTATGTGTCTTTGGGGGAGAAAATGAGGTGTTACATTTTTCTTTGCTTGAAAAGACTGTGGGTTGTGGTTCAAAAATTCTGGTTTTGCTTATATGAAGAGCCAGAGCTTGCTGTCAACATTGGCTGTTTCTCTTTACCAAAATTAGAAGCAACAGTTTGAAACTTTATTCATTATGCAGAAATGAAAGCTGTTGGCATTGGGGTGGGTGGGTGTTACAGGTGTCTGAACTGACCTGCCACCTGCTTTGAGACCCTCTACAATTGCATGTGCCAGGTGGGCAGTGAAATCTGTCAGAGCTGCATTTCATAAATTTTGGGGCCATGATCCACTTTTACCTGTAAGAGAACCGCAGAAAGTGATAATTCAGTGTTCTAATTCTCAAGTCTTGATCATTTTAACTGTGGCAATTCCACTGCAACCCCAACCTATCCAGGTGAACTCTAGGGGAGGAGGTGGGTGGACAAATTTTGGTGTTATTCTTTTCTGCTTTTAGATGTTGAATTACCACTGCTACCTCATTTACCTCTATGTGTTCCTTGTTTTACTTACCTGCTACTGGATACCTGTAACGTTCCTGTATGCAGCATATAGAAAACAAATAAAAGTTGGGAAAATATCTTTAATTCCTATATTTCTAACGCAACACACTTTCTGTTCTCTGCATAGGTACTACCCAAGTGGAGATGCCTTTGCCTCTGGCTCAGATGACGCCACAGTACGTTGCCCTATTTCATCTTCGAAAGCCTGGCCGTTTCCCAAATGAGGGCTGCGGGCATGATCCTCAAATCACCCTGGCCATTAAGTGTTTTATTATGGCTTGTTGATTTTGTACATTCTTTACTCACCTAATACTTGGTGGTCTCCAGAGGAGTTGCAGCCCTTTAAAAATGTACAAATGCGCTCTTTGTACCCTGCGAAGAGGATGTGGTGTCTAGGAAGCGTATGATGGAACAATAGGGTGCCCATCTGTAGGTGTGGCAACCTGAACTAGCTGCAGGGGGCAAGGCTGATACATAATTGAGCCCATTGGCTTTTCCCCTTAGGGATAAGTGACCATTGTGATTGCAGGCATAAAGAGGTTAAAACTGGGTCACCTGAAGATATATTGTTAGACACCAAGGGCCTCTTCCACAGTGAACTATTTTAACGGCACTTAGAATATTTTGGTTTGGCAAGGTTCAAAGCAACCTCAAAACCTTTAACCTGGAGGCTTTCCCCAGAGTGTTTATTGTGTCATATGGATGCACAGCTAATCACAGGTCTACATAATAGGTATAATGCAGGTCTATGCAAGACAGGTTTCTTATGCCACGTGAAGGTATGAGTTCATGTTCTATAGCATAGCTGTATGTCGTATAGTATAGCACAGCATGGCTCATCAGAGGCATAATGCATTCGCTCAGCAGCCTGGCAAGTGTGAAAGGGTCTGCACTGTGGCAGAAAAGCAGTTCTTAATGCTCAGAAGAGCGCATGGGAGGGTTAGAAGAATGGAGGGGGGTGGCGGGGGGGGGAACTTGGCATTGCTTTGCAGCCGATTTAGATTTCTGCCAAGGCCTATTCTAAAGGCTCAGTAGGGGACTACAAATACATCCGCATCTCATTTGAACCTCACTGCAGCCCTGGGATGTAGCTGAGCAGAGAGAAATCTGCCCAAGACCACCCAGTGCGTTTTCTGGCTGAGCAGAGAGCTAAACTTTTGTCTTCCCCAGCATTCCAAAGCAACAGTGACTTGTCTTGACATCATGGCTGGCCAGATATTGTGTCTTCCCCCAATGCCCACAGGCTTAAACAGGTTGGACATCTGCTGTATGATGTCAGGTGATTGACAGGTGGGCTGGACCAGCTACTGGTCCAAGTTTGCCTTTGTGGGTGGGACAGGAGAGAGAGTTTTGTTCTGTTGGTATCTATCAATCTTATCAAAAATTAGCTTGTGTGTATTAGCCTTTGCCTGAGCACAGATCCTGTTTCTCCTTTCTTTCCAGTGTCGTTTATATGACCTGCGGGCAGACAGAGAAGTGGCCATTTATTCCAAAGAGAGCATCATCTTCGGGGCATCCAGTGTCGACTTTTCCCTTAGTGGTGAGACATGAATTCTGACACACTTTTCTTTGGGGGGCTGGCGGGAAGAGCTGTGCTATAATCTCTTTTCAATGTGGCTTCGATTGTTGTCACAGCTACAGAACCGAGGGCACTTGCAGACTGTGGCTCCTCTGCGGATGGGATTAATTCACATACTGGCAAATTCAGGTTGCTCAGTTATAGTTAGTTGGGAGCTCTTGCGCAGCAAACCCACTTCCCCAAAAGATCAAATTTATTGCAATAAGGAAAGTAGAAAGTCTGACATAACACTTGCTTTGATGCATCTGCAGACAAATCAGGATGGGTGCTCATTGAATAGCCAGCGTTATCTAATCTCCCTGCAAATATATCAGGAAGGATGCTCAATGAACAGGTTGTCTGGAAGTCCCCTTAGCTGATGAAAGAAACTTGTAAAACTGCTGAATCGTTCCTGTCCTTCAATCTTCAAGTGGCTGCTTCTTGAGCTTTGGTTTTGAGGCTAAGGCTGGTAGCTCATCTTTCATGAAAACAGTTCTTTGACTCCACTGCATTCGTTTGGGAAGGTGTTGCTTTAGCTGCTGTATCCCTCTTGGCTGAGGAAAATTGGTTATAGCTTGAGCCGCAACATTTCACTGATTTGAATCAGTTGGAGTGGTTGATTTAGAAAGGTTCGATCTAAAAACAGTAGCAACACATTGGGTGTCTCCAATTAGTTGGGTATCATTTTATTAAAATATATTGTTGCGATGAGGACACTTTATGGAATTAGCGTGGCTTTTCTAAATATGTCAACATTAGCTCAAACCTTGAGGAACTATGTATAGTATTGTGCAGCAGGCAACTTGTTACTTGTTTTCTAACAGCACGACAAGTGTAGTTGCGCAACATGCACTTTGAGTGATGAAGGGCAATTGCACATGCCAGCAAATTTTCACACCATCTGCTGCTGGTGGCTGTATGAGCAAGGCATACTCTTTTTCCACAGAACATCCTGGGAGCCCATTGCTATTTGCGTTCTACTTCCTTGTTCTGTTATGCAAAAGCTCATTCCCTTTCTTGGAAGAGGCAGAAATGTTTTGCATGCTTGTCGTGTGGACAACATCTTGGGTCTTGCTAGTGAAGAAGGAGACTCCCATCTGCTGTGCAGCAGGTCCCAGCCCAGGGTGTAAACCCAAGGCAGAACAGAACAAGTTTCAGGGTGGATGGGTGCAAGGCAAAGCAGGGTTCAGGCTAGGTTTGAAGTTGCTGCGGCAAGGAACAAGCTGAAATGGAGCCCTCAGAGTAGCAGAAGTGCAGCCTAATAGTAATAATAACAATAACAATAACAATAACAACAACAATAATAATAACAAAACAACTATAACAATAACAACAATTTATTATTTATTATTTATTACCATATTTTTTCTGTGTATAAGACTAGGTTTCTCCCCTAAAAAATAATGTCAAAAATTAGGGGGCCTCTTATACTCTGGGCCATCTCCCCCCATTTTCTTAAATCTGAGTCCCCAGAAATAAGGGGCGTCTTATACATGGGGGTGACTTATAGACTGAAAAATAGGGTACAGCGGTACCTCGGGTTAAGAACTTAATTCGTTCCGGAGGTCCGTTCTTAACCTGAAACTGTTCTTAACCTGAGGTACCACTTTAGCTAATGGGGCCTCCCGCTGCTGCTGCTGCTGCCGCCGCCAGAGCACAATTTCTGTTCTCATCCTGAAGCAAAGTTCTTAACTCGAGGTACTATTTCTGGGTTAGCGGAGTCTGTAACCTAAAGCGTCTGTAACCTGAGGTACCACTGTATTTATACCCCTCCCATCTGGCTGGGTTTCCCCAGCCACTCTGGGCGGCTCCCAACGGAACACTAAAAACACAATAAAACATCAAACATTAAAAAATTCCCTAAACAGGGCTGCCTTCAGATGTCTTCTAAAAGTCAGACAACTATCTGACTTTTAGAAGACATCTGAAGGGACATCTGATAGGAGGGCGTTCCACAGGGCGGGCACCACTACCGAGAAGACCCTCTGCCTGGTTCCCTGTAACCTCACTTCTCACAGGGAGGGAACCGCCAGAAGGCCCTTGGAGCTGGACCTCAGTGTCTGGGCTGAATGATGGGGGCAGAGACGCTCCTTCAGGTATACTGGGCCAAGGCCGTTTAGGGCTTTGAAGGTCAGCACCATCTGTGCCACAAGATGCTGCTCTGCTTTAAAGTGCCAGTAGTCATCTTCTGCAGTGGAGCAGAGGAGCCTCAGGTCTTCCTAAGTCATCTGCAGCCGAGTTCTCCCAGGTCAGAGGATGGCAGTGCTGCCTTCTCAAAGTCAGGTCCTGCCATCCTTCCCTTCTGCTTCACAGCCCTTGCTCTCATCATGAGGAGTCTGGCTGCAGAGTTGTGAGACTCTCATTTCCTTGATGTTCCTTTGCCTAGTCCCCATCAGTGATTGTTTGAAAGGAAGGCTGATGCGTCGGAGGCCAGCGGCTGAGCCCTTTCCTTCCTCAGAAATGGGTGGGGAAGGAAGACTCCATAACCCTTGAAATCATGACTTGGCAACTCTTTTCAATTCTTAATTTTAGTTACTGCTTTTTTTAAAACACACACAAAATGTTATTACAATTTATAATACAAAGCTCAGCAGCCTGAATTCATCAATCAATATACAAATGCTATATAAATTTTTAAAAACAACAACTACAAAAGCTTCCCACGTTATTCAGTGTAAACTCACCTGATGGGTACTCTTATTTTATAAAAATTACCACAGTTAAAAAAAAGGGGGGGTCACTAAAACCAAGTCTATTTCACATACAACTGGACCTCAAATATTTCTAAATCTACACCCCTCCTCATCCAGTATGATACCCATTTTAGCCCCTGCTTTATGTGAGAACAGTAGTTTCTGTCACCAGTGGGTTGCATATGGAAGTCTGGTTTTGTTTTGCCTCTTTTTCTTTTTAAAAATATTTTTTATATATATAGCAAGTTATCAACAACAGAAAGAAAAAAATGGGGGAGAGGAAAAAGAAAAAGGAAACAGCAGCTCACATTAATAGTACATTAACCATCAAACATCCATCTCATTTTAAATATCTAAGTTGATACACCATTCAGATGTCCTGAACAGATATCTTGATGAAGCTTGCATTTTTAAGAAATACCTTCATTTGTAGCAGGGACAGTTAAAAGTCCTCAGACCATTACATAGTAGATGGTCAGTGTGTTTGTAGCTGCCTTTGAATCTGTTTTTAATTGTGTTATTGTTATAATTTTTTTAACCACCTGTATCCTTGCTTGCACACCACATTAAGCCATAAACTAGGTTCACTAGCCATAATCACAAGTGATTTGTGCCCGCTTTGTTCCTCCCCAGAAAACAAACCATGATACATGGTTTTGCGTTGTATCTAAACCAGGGTTTGTAGTTCATTTTGTTCCAACAAACCGCTTTCTGTAGCCACGTTTTGATCTGGGCTTGTCGATTGCTGGAGCAAAACGAAACCATGATCCCGGTTCAGCTGGGGGTCATGGTTTGTTTCCCAGCAGTGAGATCTAAGAGGAGTAGAACATCATTCAGCTGTTCTGCAGGATGTCTGTGGATCTGTGGATGGAGGCAGAAGATGGCGCATCCTTTACGTTAAATGTTCATATTGGCTTTCAGTTGTATGCTAATTGCTTATTTTTTCTGCATAGGCTGTATTTTATTGTATGATTTGAATTCTATGGCTTGCAATAAAATACAATATATAAGAAACAAAAGAAGCCATAAGGCAGAGCTATTCCACCTGGCTTTCAGTTTGAACTTAACCTGATCTTTTATTCTCCTTCCTTCCCTCCCCTCCCCTTTTTATAACGATTACCCACTCTGGGATCCCACAGCTAATTCTCCCCTGGTCTCCTCGCTGGCCCAAATAGGACTAATTTAGCCAGCTAGCCCTGGTGATCATCTAATGTTTATTGGATGGAATTTCCCCCAAATTGATTTTTGAATTCTGAATTTATTGTTATTCATGTTTTATATTGTATTTTATCCTGTTTTTTGTTGCATCAATTAAGTGTTCTAAATTTGTTGTTAGCCGCCCTGAGCCTGGTTTTCTGAACTGGGAAGGGCAGGGTATAAAAAATAATTGTTGTTGTTGTTGTTATTAAAAAAAATACATGCAGGTGCACAGTGAATTTCAGTTGCTGCGCAACAAGCAGAAAAATCATTAAGTGGTCCAGAAAAGAAAGAAAAAGTTGGGGAACCACTGGCTGACCAAGATGTGAAGATTCGGCCATTGTCTGTGCCCTTCCTTTGAAACATTATTTGCTAAAAATCAGGGAACAGTGGTGCCTTGGTTTTCTAACATAATCCATTCTGGAAGTCCGTTCGAGTTCTGAAATGTTCGAAAACTGAAAGTGGAAGCCTCAAAATGGAAGCCTCAGTTCAGAAAACTCAAAATGGAAGCTGCGTTTCCTTTTTGACTTCTGAGATGCATTCAGAAACTGAGGCTTTTACTTCCAGGTTTTTGGCTTTCGAGTTCTGAAACGTTTGACTATGGAGGTGTTTGAAAACCAAGGTACCATTGTATAAGCCCTGGAAATGTTGTTGTTCATGTAATGCCATCATTCTTTATGAATTCCTCCTGCAGGCCGCTTACTGTTTGCTGGCTACAATGACTACACCATAAACGTGTGGGATGTTCTGAAAGGGGCTCGTGTCTCTATCCTGTTTGGCCATGAGAATCGAGTTAGCACTTTGAGGGTTTCGCCTGACGGGACGGCCTTCTGCTCAGGATCCTGGGATCACACTCTAAGAGTAAGGGCTCTTCGTTCTTCCGCTTCCTTCCTCTTTTCCCAAAATCAGCATCTCTTATGATTAATGCAGAAATAGTATGATTAAATAAAATGCATTTATAGCCAGCTTCGTAGTGTAAAGTCGTTGAATCAGAGAACAAGAGAAATACAGGTTTTGAAAATCCATTAAAAAAAATTATTCAGTTATATAATTGTTGCATAAATGACTTGGTCACATCTCTGGGAAATCCTTCTTAAACAAAAATGTCTTTGGTAAGCACCTAAACACTGTAACATTAGTCACCTGCCTCAATTGTTGATGGTAATCAGTTGCAGAGAGCTGGAGCTTGCAACGCTAGACACCCAGTTTCTGCTTATATATCCAGACACTGCAGAAAGTTTTATAATAGATCCTGAAATACACTATTTAAATTAATAATAATAAAAACCAGACTCCCACAAGAGGTGGTGGACTCTCCTCTGTTGGAAGCTGCTGTGAACCTTTGGCCTGCGGGTGATGCTAAACTACAACTCCCATCATCGCTGGTCGTTGGCCATGCTTGCTGGGACTGATGGGAATTATATTTCAGCCATATCTGGAAGGCCAAAGTTTTCCCAACAACAGCATCCTTAAGTGGATATATGAGTTAACCTAACAGAAGTGTCCCTGTTCCCATTGTAACATAAGCAGGTTGTTTTAGAAAACCGCAAGTAACCTTTTTTTGATGCTCATCATCATTTGACTTTTCTCTCTCTCTCTGTCTAGATCTGGGCTTAACCCCGGTGCTGTTGGCAGATACGTGTTAAAATTGTAATGGGATGGGTAAAAAATGAACACCTCAGATCGGAAAAAGAAAAAGCTACAATAACGAAAGAAAATGCAACAGGGTGATAATTGAAAGATTGAATGCGACGTTGTCAGTGTTTTATCACGTTGTTGGCCAGAAACACTCACTATTGGTTAGAAAAGGTAATATACTTTTATCATACAGTGGGGGTGGGGTGGGGAAATCTATGTGTGGTATACTAATAATAATAAGCTGTTTTTACTTCTGTTTTTGAAACTACCTTTTTTTTTTTAAGAAATGGTTTAATAATTATCCGAGCCAGACCTCTGTCAAAATAACTGTTGGAACAGAATTTAGTATTTCATTGCACATTATGTATCTAGCACCTGCGTGTAATTGCATTTCTTCCTGAAGTCAGCTTGGAAAGAAAACCAGAGTATCTGAGGGTTCATTCTCTTGTTCCATAGAAGCCACTAAGGGGAAAATATGAAGGATTGGCCCTTCCTCTCCCTGTCCTTCTGGGTTTTCCATAATAAGAAGATCTCACACCAGGGTGTATGTCAAACTAGGCCCAAATCCCACCCCCCTTAGCCAGGAATCTCTGGGTGAGCTGTGGCCATACATTATCTTTCAATCTACCATACCTGACAGAGTTGTTGTGAAAATAAAATGGGAGAGTGTTATTGTGATGTGAGAAGAGTGCGTGGGCAGGTCATGATATGACACAACCTGCCCTCTTTCATATAAGACTTCACACCAGGTATGAGGAACCTGTGGCCCACCAGGTGTGGCTAGACAACAACCCCCATCATCCTGATCATTGCCTATGCTGGCTGGGGCTGATGGGATTTGGAATCCAGCAGTGTCTAGAGCAGGGTTTCCCAAAGTTGGGTCTCCAGTTGTTTTCGGACTACAGTTCCCATCATCCCTGACCACTGGTCCTGCTGACTAGGGATGATGGGACTTGTTGTCCAACAGCACTGGAGACTCAAGTTTGGGAAACACCAGTCTAGAGTCTCACAGAAGACCCATCCCTGCTCCAAACAATTGTGAAGAAGAAGCACATTTTGTCACCCTTCTAGACTGTCAGTTTATATGGAGCAACTAAATGAGCCCTGACTCTTGAAACATTCCTTGGTTGCGTATTGATTGTGAAGCTTTTTAAAAAAGAAAAACAATATTGCAATTCAGACTAATTTAAAAATCAATGGGTTTTCTTAGGCCGTTTGTTTCTGTTGGGTGTGGATTGCACTCAGTATCACAGCTGTCAACGTTTCCCTTTTTTAAAGGGAAATTCCCTTATTCTGAATAGGATTCCTCGCAAGAAAAGGGAAAAGTTGACAGCTATGCTCAGTATCAGCTGGTTGTTACTAAAAGGGTACGAAAATTGGGGCAGATCCTTCAGAAACTTACACCAAATGCAGACGTGCCATTTCCCCAATCTCTTTCACCATGGTTGAGAAATTCGAAAGCGATACTTTGGCACTACACTTTACTGCTTTGCTCAACTCAGTCACTTTAAAAAATAAAGTAAGTTTGCATTTAAGTTAGCTATTTCCAGGATCCGATCCTACCAAGCCACAAAATTTCCTGTTGAAGATAATGGGTGTTATATAAAAGTGTATTTTTTTGTAAGAAGAATCCTTTCAGTCTCTTTTTTAACTGTTTATAGATGCAGCAATATAATCTTTGTGTTCTGAACTGCAACAACTTTTAAGCGTGCAGCAAAATTGAAATGAAAAGTACCGTAGTTTTCATGTATATGCTTGTGAAATGCTAGTCATGTGTTTCCTTGGAAAGTTTGCATTCTGTAATTGGAGGGATTTTATGTTCATTATAAAGATGCTAAATGCTAGGTACTCACTAAACCCATTTATGAGTCGACGGCACTAGAGTCATTGGCAAATAGTTATTGGAGAAATGTAAGCTTTTACACAACACGTGGATATGAATGATTGATTGGCAAACAAAATTCCCTAAAGGGTAAGCACACCAACCTAGTTAGAATTTGAGCACCCTACCTGGTCATTAGAGTGGCTGTATTTGGACATTGTGGCCTTCCAGGAGTTGGACTACAACTCCTAACATCCCTGACTGGGCTTGATGGGAGCTGCAGCCCAAAAACATTTTTGAGGGCCACAACCTTCCCATCCCTACACACCATGAACAAGTCTGATTTCTTGAGTTCTGTTACACCTCCTTTCCTTCTTCTCTTGCAGAACTTTGATGAACACTTAACTATAGTTAATTTTAGCATGTGTGCTTCAGAAACTATGGTTTGACATTGAGCTTATCTGAAACTAGGTATGAAGTTTAGTATGAACCACATTTTGCTGCTCAAAAAAACATACAAATCACAATTAGCTACAGCTAACTTGATACAACTAACTAGATGCAGCTAACTAGGACACAGGTGGTGCTGTGGGTTAAACCACAGAGCCTAGGACTTGCTGATCAGAAGGTTGGCGGTTCGAATCCCCGCAACGGAGTGAGCTCCCGTTGCTCGGTCCCTGCTCCTGCCAACCTAGCAGCTCGAAAGCATGCCAAAGTGCAAGTAGATAAATAGGTACCGCTCCGGTGGGAAGGTAAAGGGCATTTCCGTGCGCTGCTCTGGTTCGCCAGAAGCGGCTTAGTCATGCTGGCCACATGACCCAGAAGCTGTACGCCGGCTCCCTCAGCCAATAAAGCGAGATGAGCGCCGCAACCCCAGAGTCGGGCACGACTGGACCTAATGGTCAGTGATCCGTTTAACTTTACCTTAACTAGATACAAAAGCTCCCAAACTCCCATCTTCTAGCCATGCACACAGGCTCCTAAGGAGGCTAGACTTATCCACATCATGCTAAACTACAGTTCATTGTGAATGTGGCCTTTTGTAAAATAAGGTTCCTATCTTATTTATGAACAGAAGCTTTGTTCATAAGACACAGAGAATGAGGCACAGATTATTTGCAAAGTACAGGCTTTCTATGCAGAGTAGCATCTCCAAGAAAGATTGGGAAAGATGGCTGTCTAAAATCCTGGAAAGCCAGACAGTTTACGCCCCTCTAAGCTAGGTAGAGGGATGGGGGTGGCGCTGTGGGTTAAACCACAGAGCCTAGGACTTGCCAATCAGAAGGTTGGTGGTTTGAATCCCCGTGACGGGGTGAGCTCCTGTTGCTCGGTCCCTGCTCCTGCCAACCTAGCAGTTTGAAAGCACATCAAAGTGCAAGTAGATAAATAGGTACCGCTCCGGCGGGAAGGTAAACGGCGTTTCCGTGCACTGCTCTGGCTTGCCAGAAGCGGCTTAGTCATGCTGGCCACATGACCCGGAAGCTGTATGCCGGCTCCCTCGGCCAATAAAGCGAGACGAGCGCCGCAACCCCAGAGTTGGCCACGACTGTACCTAATGGTCAGGGGTCCCTTTACCTTTAAGCCAGGTGGACCAATGCTCAGACTCAGTCCTAGATGGGGAAAATCAACAAATGAGTATTTCTCAGTCCTGCATCTTTCCATGCTGAAAAAGCAACATCAGTTGTGAGCAGGGAAAAGCAGGTTGCATGCCGTTACTTTCCTGCTGGAGGCAGGGAGAAAGAAGAAGACTCCCACTCCTTCCAGCTCAGCTGATAAAGCAGCATGGGAACCTGGTGCCTCTCATGAGCTGAAAATACAAGCAGAGAAGTACACCAGTCAAATGCCTCTGCAGTTAGTAATGTCACAGATGCTAGCCAATTGGTGCCTTCCACAACTGGCTTTTTCCTAGTTCAAGATTAACCAGGCTGCAGATTTTCAAAAAAACTGATTTTATTTTTTTCAGAAATTACCCTGGAAGTGAAAAAAAGTTATGTTTGCAGTGATGCAGTGAGGGCAGTTCTAAGACGACACCAAAGTTCTCCAAATGCTAGCTGTTTGTAAAGGATAAACTGTCTAATAATATAGAAAGTGTAAATTATATTGCTTCAATCCAGATTTAAATTATTGAGCTTTTGGTAGCTGGTAGTTCAGCCCACAATCTGAAATTCACTAATAGGGCATAGTTGTTGTTGTTTTTTTAAAAAATATTTAAATAAGAAAAAAAGGAGATGTAAATATACTGATACTAGATATGGAGGTTTCTAGCTGCATAAGCAAATATGTAGTGTAGCTGGTATTTTGTTGTTACATGGGAACATATTGAGTCTTCTGCAGACCTTGACAAATCACTTCCCACGGTTTTGGTTTGGAAAATGGATTTCTGTGCTTATGCCTGTAACAAATCAAAATGCACTATAAAAAAACCTGTAAACGTTAAGAGTTCATTGTGCAATAACTAAGTCGACACACTGCACCCTCTGATTAGGCAGTATTTATTGATGATATATTTTGAGTTTTGAATGGAATATATTGTGTTGATAGTTACAAATGGCCTCAGTATAATAAATTGTATTTTACATATTGAGAATCTTTGGCTCTTTGATTGTTTCTGAATGCTTTTTGATGATGCAACGTTTTGTTTATTTTGCCATGTGTTCTCAATATGAAGACGGGATTTTTTGGATCTTGTGCAACACAAGCCTATGCACGCCTTACAGAAGGAAGTCCAAGTTCAGCAGGGCTTACTGCCGGATACCTTCGTATAGGACTGCAGCATTGCCTTAGTCTAGACTAAGACTGTGTACATCCTATATTTTTAAAGCACGTCCCCCCTCCAAATAATTCTGGGCACTGTAGTTCATTAAGGGTTTCTGGGAATTCTGTGAGGGCTAAACTACAATGCCCAGAATTCTTTGAGGGAAAGAAAGCATTTCAAGTGTGTTTTGAAGATACACAGAGAAAGTGAAATGCAACGTTTTTAGGCTACAGTTGTATATACACTTACATGGGAGTAAATGTCATTGACCTCATTGAAACTTTGCTCTGAGGAATGCACTCTCAGCCAGTTAAACAGTTTGATTAAAAGTTTGTTCCTAATGAATCAGTCACCGTATAATTCATCTTCAAATCATGCTCATACAAGTATAATATATGCTCATATAACTATAAAAGCTGCAGACAGCAAGCACCGTGTTCAACGAGTCATTCCTTGCTTTGTGAAACAGTTGCTTGATGTGACTTGTACACGTATTATCTGCGAAAAAAGAGTTTTTGCCACTACAGTCGTGTCTTGATTCTCAAACGGCTTGTTGAGAACAAATCAGCTCCAAAATGCCAAAAACCCGGAAGTAAGTGTTCTGTTTTCAAACGTTTTTCGGAAGCTGAACGTCCGATGCGACTTCCACTTGAGTTCAGGAAGCTCCTGCAGCCAACTGGAAGCCGTGCATTGGTTTTCAAACGGTTTCGGGAGTTGAACAGATTTCCGGAACGGATTAAGTTCGAGAACCAAGGTACCACTGTACTGGATTGGATCCACATGAACCTAGTGCACATAAGTGTCCCTGAAATCAAAGGCCTAGGGTTCAGTCCCCAGGAACTCCAGGCCCTTGGGAGTCCTTGTTCTTCAGCTAGGCATTGTTGGAAGCACAACAGGGGCCATTCAGTTAGTAACGATGGGTTAATTGGCATGATCCTTGCTGAGGTAACACAAGTTCTTATTGTCTGGGTAGTTCTGAGGAGCTTTTCCACTGCATGTTAGTCGTATGTGTCTCTGCTATGGACTAGGCCTGAACTACTAAGAAAGACAAAACTTCCCTGTTTATTTCTCATATTACGTACTGGTTTTGGTCAGTAAAACATTGGTTTCTTTTCTTTCTGGACACTGTTTAAATCAGGCTTCCTCAACCTCGGCCCTCCAGATGTTTTGAGACTACAATTCCCATCATCCCTGACCACTGGTCCTGCTAGCTAGGGATCATGGGAGTTGTAGGCCAAAAACATATGGAGGGCCAAGGTTGAGGAAGCCTGGTTTAAATGATTCTGCTTACAGGCACTCCTGGCATCTAGCAGCTGGGTGAGCCTGCACTTGTAGGACTTGGTGGCTGCTTGGTATCCATCTCCAATTTCAGTCTATTGTCTTGATGGAGAGGTTGGGTTGCCAGGACTCCATGTCTGCCTCACAGTCCCTTGACACAGACTTCTCCTCAGGGATGTTTGCCCTGGGGAGCTCCTCGTTTTCCACTAAAGATGGACCCAGTCCTAGATTTACAGAAGCCATCCTGGGTTCTGATTTGATTCCAGAATGTCCCGCTTTTCGTTAGGATGTTCCTAATCTGAGAAATATTGGAGGGTGTGGTAGGATGCCCCTATTTTCATTGGATAAATGTTGGAGGGTATGGAGTTATGTGACTCAAGCCAAGGAGATAAGTACAAGGAGATACAACCTTTAGACGACATCCCTGTATAGGGATGTTTTTAAATGTTTAATGTTCTATTATGGTTTTATAAATGTTGGAAGCCACCCAGAGTAGCTGGAGCAACCTAGTCAGACGGGTGGGGAATAAAAATAAAAATAGGACATCCTTGTTTTCACTGGATAAATGTTGGAAGGTATGCTAAAGAGCAGGCATAGGCAAACTCGGCCCTCCAGATGTTTTGGGACCACAACTCCCATCACCCCTAGCTAACAGGACCAGTGGTCAGGGATGATGGGAATTGTAGTCCCAAAACATCTGGAGGGCCAAGTTTTCCTATGTCTGCTAAAGAGGATTCTTCCATGGCAGAAAAGGGTTGAACAACAATAAATCTTCTGTTGATCACAAAGAGGTCTACAACTTAGGTCATGAATAACTTTCTCAAGAATAGAGGAAAGAGTGATGAAGAAACACAACCATTTCAGCTGATATCAAAGTTAAGTAATTTCTTGGGAAACTGAAACTAACTCTCTGTTGATTGAAAACCTGGAAACTCCCAATCCTGAAGTGAAGGCAGTGTTTCTTTTCATTTCAGTGCCAAGGCCTGTCGGCAACAACACTAAACAAGGGGAAGTCCATCCACACGGAGGTGGAACCAGCTGTGAGCACTGGCAAGATGCCCCTGATGGAGTGGGAAAGCGTTAGACCTCTGGATGTCGCTGAACTGCAACTCCCATCAGCCATTGCAAGCATGTCCAAAGGCCAGGGATGACGGGAGTTGCAGTTCAGCAACATCCAGAGGACCATATTCACTTCTTGGCAACCTTCAAGGGGCAGGGGGCACATGCAAGTGGGTTGCAGGGTCAGAGGAAAAATTGGGTGGAGCAATTAATGCAAATTATACATTTGTACAGTGTCAGAAGCTAAGACTCAGGCATAAGTCAGCAATAAAACAATAAAGCACCCAACTCTTTATTCAAAGGAACAAAACAGCTCAGTCCTTGTTGTGAACCACCCTATAGATCAGGCATAAGCAATCTTCGGCCCTCCAGAAGTTTTGGACTACAAATCCCATCATCCCTGACCATTGGTCCTGTTAGCTAGGGATCATGGGAGTTGTAGGCCAAAGCATCAGGAGGGCTGAAGGTTGTCTGTGCCTGCTATAGATGCATAAATCAGAACATGGTGTAATAGGTTGTGTGTTGTCATTCATCTGAGGTTGTACTTACCTAATTTTGAGACCTTTTAAAAACAGATGATTGTCATTATGTCCTCATATGCAAAACCACAGAATTCAAAGAGGGTGTATTATTATTATTATTATTATTATTATTATTATTATTTTACTTATACCCCACTCTTGTGGCCGGGTCTTCCCAGCCACTCTGGGCGGCTCCCCAACATAATATTAAAAACATGATAAAACATCAAACATTAAAAACTTCCCTAAACAGGGCTGCCTTCAGATGTCTTCTAAAAGTCAGATGGTTGCTTATTTCCTTGACATCTGATGGGAGGGCGTTCCACAGGGCGGGTGCCACCACCAAGAAGGCCCTCTGCCTGGTTCCCTGTAGCTTTGCTTCTTGCAGTGAGGGAACTGCCAGAAGGCCCTCAGTGCTGGACCTCAGTGTCTGGGCAGAACGATGGGGGTGGAGACGCTCCTTCAGGTATACTGGGCCAAGGCCATTGAGGGTTTTAAAGGTCAGCACCCACACTTTGAATTGTGCTCGGAAAGGTACTGGGAGCCAATGTAGGTCTTTCAGGTCAGGCCTGGTGTTATATGGTCTCGGCCGCCACTCCCAGTCACTTTCTTTTTCCCATGACTGTATGTGTAAACAAACCATATACCATAAAGACACCACACCTCCACTGTACCTCTTTCCCAAAGGAAACACAAACCTTGGGTAAGTACCTGGAACCCCCTGGAATGAATATATATATATGTTTTTTTAGTGTTCATTTTTATTTGCTTTTTAACATAAAATAGAACTCGAATACAATATAACAGAGTGTCAGAAACTTATATACAATGTAGAGGTCCAATATAATGCAAAAGAATATCAAAACCATGTACAAAATAAAGTCAAAATATTAAACAAAATATCAAAACAATATATAAAATAAAAATACAGTATAAAGCAATCTCAAAATTTAACAAAATTTAACAAAGTTAAATACAACACGAAAGAAAACAATATGCCTAGCAGAACTCAAAAGTACAAAATATTAATGTTACTATTATATTAGCAACATTTAAAAATTGTAACCAATCACTTTATGAAACCATGATTATCTTGTTCTTATGTTACATTTACATGCTGCAGCTGGAGCAGTTCAGACAAAGGAGAGTAACGAGTTAAGAAGGCAGGTTATTTAGGTCAAGACCATATATTGATGGCCATCACCTGATTACAGCACTCTTAAAACCCATCTGCACTGTAAATTTAAAGCAGTCTTATACCACTTTAAACAGTCACAGCTCTTGCTAAAGAATCTTGGGGAACGTAATTTGTTTAGGTTGCTGAGAATTGTCAGGAGACCCCCCACCCCGGTTTCCTCCTGCCCACAACTACCTTTCCCAAAGTGGTTTAACCACCCATCCCTCTTCCCAGGGAACTCTGGAAATTGTAGGTCCGTGGAGGGAATAAGGATCTCCCAGCAACTCTCAACAACTACAGTCCCCAATATTCTTTGGGGGGAAAGCTTCAAATGCATAGTGCGGGTGAGGCCTTTAATCTACTCATTGTAGGCACTGCAGTAATTTAATGTATTAGTTTAGAATATGCATACATTCCCTGTTATGAGAAAAATGACAGCCCTAAAGAGGAGGAAAGAAAATGCTTTTTGTTTTCAGACGTGGCCCAAATGTCACTGGAAATACAATATACTAAGAGAGACTGTCCACTCCCTTCTCTCACTGGTGGTGCCACCTGCAGCTTCGACAAAACATCTGTAAAAGTCGTTTATTTAAAAAATGCCAGTGAATTGATTAACTGGGAACATCTTTTTACAGGATCAAAGCTTTCTTAAGTGACTGATCTACCTTCCCTAATCACTGCGTGACCTTGGGCCAGCCACCATCTCTTAGCCTAACCACGCACGCCACTTTAAACTCCTTGGAAGATGAAAGTGGTCTATAAATTTAATAAATGCAAGAAATAAGAGCCAGTACGGCGTAATGGTTTGAGCGTTGGGCTGGGACCTGGGAGACCAGGGTTCGAATCCCCACTCAGCCATGAAGCTCACTGGGTGACCTTCTGCCATTCACCGCCTCTTAGCCTGACCTACCTCACAGGGTTGCTGTGAAGATGAAATGGGCAGGAGAACCATGGACACCTCCTTGAGATCATGAGAAGCTAAAGGTGGCATATAATTTAGCTTATGAACAACCCCCCCACCCCCAGTAGTCAAGGTGCCAAATATCAGACGCACCCATCCTGGCCCTGAGGCATGGGCGGAGCCAAAGCGGGGGGGGGCAATTGCCCCCCCCATCAAGAAAAACAATAGAAATACTTAACAGACCAATCACGTCGGTTCTGAGCCCCCTAACCAAGTCCTGCCCCCCAACAAAAATCCAGTCTACGCCCATGCCCTGAGGATGTGGCGTTTGAAGGACGGCTCCTCGGCATCCCTTGTTCTTGGCGGAATCGGGTCCCAACGCACTGCAAGCAAGGCCGGCAGGTCTACTCAAAAGTAACCCCCCCCCAGCTGAAGAGAATTAGGCACACTCCCCGGTACTTGCGCGCCCCTCCCCAAGACCCCCAGCTGACTGGATGGGGCTTGGAAGCGCCCCCTCGCCCGGTCCAGGCGCCGCGGAGGGGACCCTTGCAGGCGTTTTCCGGCTGCTGCCGCCCCCTCCTCCTCCTCCTCGCCTGCTGTTCTCCGCCTCGCCGCGGAGCCGAGAGGGAGGCGCTCCGCCCCTCGCGCCAGCCCTGCTGGGGAAACGAGAGACGGGGCGGAGCCGGCGCGCCGTGAAGCCGGCCGGGGACGCGTGGGCGGCTTCTTAGTCCGCCGAGGCGCCGGCACTGGGCCCCGTCGTCGCTCTTGCGCGCTCGCCTCACCCGCCGCCGCCTCAGCCGCGCCAGCCGAGGGGGCCGCCATGCCGGGCGCGCTGCGCGAGGAGACGGTGCAGCTGATGGCCGACTACTTGCAGCACCGGCTCGGCGGCGGCGGGGCGGGGGCGCCGCGGCGCTGCCGCCCAGCCGCACGGCCGAGACGCTGCGGCGGGTGGCCGACGAGCTGGAGAGCCGCGAGCGGCCCTTCTTCCGCAGCGCCTGCACGGCGGCCGCCTTGCCGCAGGAGCCGGGCGAGGCGGCCGCGCTGCTGGGCCGGGTGGCGGCGCAGATGGAAGCCGAGGGCGGCCTCAACTGGGGCCGGGTGGTGGCGCTGGTCGTGTTCGCCGGCAACTTGGCGGCGGCGCTGGCCGAGCGCGGCGCTCGCGACCAGACGGCCGCTCTGGCGGAGGCGCTGGCCGCCTACTTGGCCGGGGAGAAGCGAGAGTGGCTGGAGGCGCACGGCGGCTGGGTAAGCGCACGGACAAGGGGGCGGCCAGCCGGGCGGGCGGGAGGGCAGGCAGGCGCGACCCCCTTCCCTTCCCTTCCCCACCCCGCCCCCTCCCGCTCCTCCTGCGACATCCATGGCGCCCCCTCCCCATCATCACCATTCTTTTAGGCAACCTCCCGCTTTCGCCGCCGGCTGCCGAACGGACCGAGCCTTTTCTCGGCTCGCGCAGCAATGGCTGCGCTTCCGTCCCCGATCTGGCCTTGGCCGCTTTCCCTTTGCCCACCCTCCCTCCTCCTCCTCCTCGCTCCCAATGCCTGCAGCGCTGTGGGGTGGGAGGGTGAGGAAGATGAATCGGGTTCCCTCCCCCCCCCATTGTTGCACGCTACCGAGCGCAAAGGAGCGCGCAACCGTAGGAAGCCGTAGCGTTCCTTTGGGTACCCCTTTCTCTTCCGGAGGTTTGGGGGGGCGGCTGTGCACGCCTTATGGTGCTTTTGCAATCTCACCCGCTGCGCCCCGCTTCCTGTAGCAGAGCCGGCCCGATGCCCACCTCCCATTCTGCAGGGCCCACCGCCCGCCCGCCCCTTCCCAGTCCTGGACGCGGACTCCTCGCTGGGAATGACCTTGGCACGCGCGCTTCGCCAGCTGACTTCTCGCTCCGGCGCTTTAATACGCACATTACCTTCCCTCCTCCCGCCCCACCATCCTCTCCAAAAAATCTAAGGCTTTTCTTTCATATGGGGTGGCGAGCAGCGCCTCCTTTTGCTTCCCTCTCCCCATAACCCCAGTACAGACCACAAGGGGAGCAGCGACGTACAGGAGAAGGGGGGGGGGGCGAGAGAAAGAGGAATGACTGCTAGGGAGGCCTGGATAATTTTTTTCCCATATAAGGGAAGCAGAAGGCTGTGACAAACCGTGAGAAAGAGCTTTGATCGGGCGTCTGTTCTCATTTCTCTCTTCCCCGTCCCCCTTTCCCATTCCATATTGTGGTCTTTGTCCCTCTTAAATTAGGCTGCTTTGGTGTATCTTGGTCTTGCAGCAACCAAATGGGTGCCCTTGCTCAGAAACGATGCTCCATTTTGAGTTTTCGCTTCTGGGGCAACTGCAGGGCATATGCCCAGCTGGCTAGCAATTTGCTGGGCGCTGACACAGAGAGAGCTCAGGTTCTTCCCTTGAAATCAGTTGTACAACCAAATGTATCTGTTTGACCTTAACACTTGGTTGGGCGTCTTCAGAACTTGGGATACTTTCAGAAGGACCTGGGTGGCAGGAAGACTTGAACTGAGGGGGAAGGTGTGAAATCGAGGTGCCCTGCAAAAGCTTGGCCTGTGTCGCCTCTTTCATTTTTGCTTTGCTTTGCTTTACGTTCTGCAAACCATGAGCATTTGAAACTTGCTTTAAAAAACAACAACACAACAGTGCAAAGCTTTTTTCCAAAGAAGCAAGCAGAATCTGCATAGATGCATGGGATTCAGGCAGCTCCATAGATAGAAGGTATTGGGAGTCTAGGCTGCTTGGCTACTAGCAATCTAATGATGGAAGGCAGTAAAAACTTTGCTCTGAGGGTCTTCCACTGGCACAGTTTCTGCGCTGTGTTTGTACTCTGATCTGTCAATCTGAAAACAGCAGTGCAAAGCCCCATGCTCTGTTCTCCTCTATCTGGACATGGTCTGGAGCAACAAGGTAGCTGTGTCCTTCAGCAGAGGCTGCTCCTGCAAATGTGCGTTGGTGCACCAGACATGGTGATCTCACCTGTCTGCACTGCAGATAGGGCCCCTGGGGTGGATTTACTGGCTTCTACATACATGTGGGGCATCCACCATTCTGCATATCCTCTTGCTGGGTGTCCTCAAGAGGTGGACGCCTAGTCTTAAAAAACAACAGCATCCACCCAGTGGTAACTTCAAAGGTGGCTCTAGATGAGAGCTATGGCTTGCCTACAGGTTTTTTAGCTCAGCAGCAGGTGCAGTGCAGCTGGCTTGCATTAATTTTCTTCCCGCTGTTAATTTAGCCATGTTGTTCAAAGCAAGAGCCATGCCCCACAGGAAGTGTGGATGCCCCGGGGTCAAATGGTGGGTGGATCTTAGCCCTTCTTCCTTAGCAAAGGAGCGTTATTGTTATCTCTTGCTCAGTGCATTCAATTATACAATCATTACGACCAGCTGCAAGGAAGCTCCCCTTGGCTGGCCGAAGTGGTTTTCCAAGAGAAGGCAGTATAAGAACATGGGGAGCTGCTGTATTCTGAGTCAGGCCATTGGTCCATCTACCTCAATATTGTCTACACTGACAGGCAACAGCTCTCTGGGGATTTGGGCAGGAGTCCCATTTCCCTTCCCAACCTGGGGGTTGAACTTGAACCCTTCTCCATGCAAAGCCAATGCTCTACCACTGAGGTATAGTCCTTCACCAAATAAAGGTGTAGCTTGATTTCTTAGCATGGATAGGTGTGTTCTCCTATAACAGAGTGGGGAACCTCAGGCCTGGGAGATCAGACGTGACCCTCCAGGCCTCTCTGTTTGGTCCTTGGGACTTTCCTCCAGGCCACATCACTCACAAGCCCTGCTTCAAACCTTCCTTGATTGTGTTTGCCTGCCTTGTCCTTGAATGCCGAGCATGTTGCTTATGTGTCTGGAAGGTCAGATAAGAGAGCTGTTATGTCTTGAAACTAGCCTGTTGTGCAAAGGAATTTGCCTCCATTGCTCTGCCCACTTTTGACACTGACCTGCAGCCCCAGGAAGGTTGCAGAGAAGAGTGCATATATGATCCTCGGGCTGAAAAGGCTTCTCCATCCCTGCCCTGCAGGCTTTGGGGATGTATCTTTGCAAAGGAAGACTGGGAAAAGTCTGAGCCACCTCTTCTTCATCCCATCACAGCTTGAATGAAGACTGCCCCTTTGAAGAGTGGGCTAGAAAGAGTGTGGCTGGTACCCTGTTTGTTGGATTTATTTCATAAAATGTATACACCGCTTGAATGTAAAAAGAACAACAACCTTCAAAGCAGTTTACAAAAGATAAAACAACCCTGTTTTAAAACATACAAAAGTTAAAATACTAAAACAGATTAAAATTGCTCAACTTTCTAAGCATCTGGGTAGGCTTATCTAAACAGAAATGTTTTTAGCAGGTGCTGAAAACAGTACACTGAAAGCACCACCATGATCTCTAGGCAGGGAGTTCCAAAGTTGTAGGCACTGCTAAACGATTTGGGTTATTACAAATGTGAAACGGGTATTTCATGGCACCTGTACACCAGGGAATATCTTGCATGTTGCCATTGTACTTGAGATCATAGAAAACTGAACTGGCATCTGAGTTCTACAAAATGGGTTCTTGTAATACTGATAGGAGCTATCACAGTTTTGCCTAAACCTTGATTGCAGTGTTAGAAACTCAGATATATAAGCTAGGCGCCAAATGGCTCCTTAAACCAGGGTTACAGTTGCCAAAATGGACTGTCTGGTTGCTGATTTGAGGCCAGGTGGCTTGATAGTTGTATTTTTCAAGACAACTTTTTGGTTCCTGAAATTCATTCTGATTGTTCAAATAAAATATAACGGACAGAATTCTACAGGATGTGTTGCTAGTGTGTGAAAGCAGTCAAGATCCAAGGATCCCCAGGCATGCACCTCCAGATGGTGGAGACGTCAGACGCCATCCTGGCACCCAGGCATCTTCACTTGGTCACAGGCAGCTGATAGCCAGCTGCAAAATGCGCCTGGCAAATTTCAAATGCTGGTTGACTGATGAAAGTTCTATGTAGCTGATATCGTGTACATACATATAAGATGCTAAGATACTCAGGAGTCTGGCCATTTGGGATTTAAAATATGAGTACGTTGGAAGCTTTATCTGGAACAAAGTGTGTCACCCGTGGCTAACATCTTGCAATCAACTTGGCTTCCTCTTGCTGCTGTTGCGCTTCAACAACTCCCATCAGCCCCAGCCATCTTGGCCAGTGGTAAGGGATGACTGGAGCCTAGTAGCAACAGCTGGAGGGCACCATGTTGGCTGTCCTGGTGCACAGAATAGGTGTTACAAGCTCAACAACCGGTCGTGTATGAACTGTATTCTGGACCAGCTGAAATGGCAGTGATGCGCTCAAGGGCCAAACCAATGGCAAGTCACCTACGTGCGGCTTGCAAGAGCCTAACAGTTGCACAGTTGGTCAAGGAAGCTTTGTTTTGTGCAAAGTGCTTTGTTGTTGTTGCCAAGTACAGAATGCTTTGTATAAATACACTAGCCGGCAACAACCAACTAGGGCTGGGCGATAACAGCTTTTCAGAATCACGGTTTATCGCCAGCTAAACATCATGGTTTGACGTTATACCGCGATGCTGAAAAAACAAAGGTGCGTTGGCCTCTGCCCACGAGACACTGGGTGAAACTACTCCAGCTCTCAACTCAAGAGCTGAGGCGGTTTCACCCAGGCACTCGTGGGCTGGGCATGCACCACTCAGCTGGGGGGAGGGAAGGTTCCCCCTCCCCAGCTGAGACAGCCCCGGTGCTCTCGCCACTTGCAAGCGGAGCATCAGGGCTCCTTTAACTGCTTGCTGTAGGGAGTCCCCACTCTGCCACCGGCTTGTGGGAGCCAGCACTGTGCTGGGGGATCCTTTAACTACTGGACTGAGGCAAGGGTAGCTGCACAGTCCTAAGTTGAGCAATTTAAAGATGAAGAGGGAGGAACAAGCTGTATCGGCACCTCACAGCTTGTTTCTCTCTCTGCGCCATATGAGGGCAGAGTGGGGTGGCGGTTTCACTCGATATATCACAGGTGAAACCACTGCTACTCCTAAGTCCCTTGCTCTTGGCGCCTGCTGGAGGAAGGAATTCTTGACCCCCTTCAGTGGACACTGCTAGCAGAGGGACCCGGGAGCTGTGGCAGTTTCACCAGCAATGTACTGCTGAGTGAAGCCGACATTGCAGTCTGCTCCTTATACCGGTCCTAGGTGGATATATCGCCCAGGCTTACAACTGACTTAGCATGACTACTGGGTCTAGTCTCTGTGGAGCTACGAGTGTTGGGCATGGAGGGGGAATGGATCTGTGGCCAATATTAGAAACTCAGATATGTAAGCTAGTCACCAAATGGCACCTTAAACCCATGTTGCAGTCGCCACAACAGTATGTCTAGGCACCATTCCCTCTCCACCCCCAGTGGGGTTCATTATTATTAATTTCACTTCTATACTGCTTTATATTTTAAAGAAAAAACCTCAAAGTGGTTTATAACACATTAAAACAATCCAGAATAAAACAAATTTAAGATTCAAGGGAAATACTGCAGACCCGTCTCTAAGTGACATTTCCCTTTCCCCATATTTACACACCTACTTAATTTATAGAGCTGCCCCACAGCAGAAGAACTCTAGGAAGGCAGTGTGGTGTAGTGGTTAGAGTGTTGGACTAGGAGCTGGGAGATAGGGGTTCAAATCCCCAGTCAGTCATGAAGCTAAGGGGGTGACCTTGAACCAGACACAGCCTCTTAACCTACCTCACAGGGTTGTTATAGGGATTAACTGAGGAGGAGTGGTGAGCCATGTACTGCTTGTAGGAAAAGGGTGGGATATAAATGCAGTAAATAAGTTTATCTGCTTAGCTGTTTAAGAAAGCTGGAGATGCCAGCCAGAGGGAGATCTCCTGAGATCACATGGTCACAGTTGGCACCTGGCACCTGGCTAATTTCTAACGGTGCCTGTGGCCCTGGGCTTATGAGATGTAAGCAAGTGTCTAACTCTCCAAGGACAACCTTCCAACTTGTGCCCTTCGGCAGCTTGGGGTTCTGGAGGTCCTGCGTGCTGTGCAATTCCTGGTCTTGATCCCACAAGGAAAGGGTGAAGCTTGGTGGCAGAGCATCATTCTTGCACCCATCATCCACAGTCAGCAGGGACAGCAGTCGGGGATGATGGGAGTGGTAGTCGAGCAACATCTGGGAACCCGAGGTTGAGAGGGGCTGGTGTAGGCAATACTGATCAAGGGGATGACTCCGTATAAGGCATGTTTCTGTGAGTTAAGGGGGCACCTGCATGGAACAGGGTTGAGGGTTGGGACTTCAGGGTGGAATTCCATTCTGTCTGAGAGTGCTAGGTGGGCCAGCATGGTGGGGAGCAGTGAGATCATGGAGCCGCTGCTGTCCTTGGGGGTTGTGTTGGTGTGTCGGTTCTCCCATGCTGACTCCTGCCTGCTTTATTGAGGCAGGGGAGTCTTGCGCTTCGAGCGAACGTCTTAACATCTGGCGCTGGAGCTCCCAAAGTAGGCCTGTGGTGATGTGGCCTTGCTCCCTGTCTTGCTGCCTAGCCCTGTAGTTTTCCTGCTGACACGTACGAAAGCCGCGAAACAGAAAGACCACAATTGGAATACATTATTCCAAGTAAGCTGATGAAGGCAGAAGCAGCTGGCAATTCTTTTTGGAAGTTCCCTAGCTGAAGAAGCGCAGATTTATTTTTCTTCTTCATCATCATCTTCTGGGGCTCGTGTGGGAGAGAGGTGCAGCAGGACCGGCTGGTCGTGCTGCCCCAGCTCTCATAAAAACCACGGGCCAAGCCTGCGGCTGTTAAACTGGCTTATGGGAAGCTGTTTTGGATGCGAGTTTCTGTTGAGGCAGAGGAATGGCATTCCCCTGGGGCCCTGTTGAAAAGTTGTGTTTGTGCATCAGACCAGCGCATAAGCAGGGTTGCTCCGTGTGGCCGCGCCCCTGGGGTTGCGTGCGCCAGCCAGCTTTCCCCTGCAGCATGAATGTCTGCAGGAACACAGGAAGCCTTCGTGTTCCATGACACGCCCTTGGTCCATGTAGCTCAGTATTGGCTACACTGACTGGCAGCAGCTCTCCAGGATTTCAGGTAGGATTCTCTCAGCCCTGTCTGGAGGATCTATGGGTTGAAGCTTCTGTGTGCAGGGCAAATGCTCTATCACTTAGCTATGGGTCCTTCCACATAGGAGGAGGCCTTCGAGCATCCCTGGCAGAGAGCCAGTGTGGCGTAGTGGTTAAGAGCGGTAGTCTCGTAATCTGGGGAACCGGGTTCGCGTCTCCGCTCCTCCACATGCAGCTGCTGGGCGACCTTGGGCCAGTCACACTTCTTGAAGTCTCTCAGCCCCACTCACCTCACAGAGTGTTTGTTGTGGGGGAGGAAGGGAAAGGAGAATGTTAGCCGCTTTGAGTCTCCTGAAGGGGAGTGAAAGGCGGGATATCAAATCCAAACTCTTCTTCTTCTTCTTCTGGGCGTGCAGGATGTGTGGCCGCCAGGGGATGGCACTGTTTGGCACATGGCACTCAGTGCCGCCTGCTCGCATGTTGTCCTTGCTTGTGTGTATACAGGCTCAAAGGGACCTGAGTATTGGGCGATGTAGGTTAAAGTGGGTCATGGTGCAACAGCCAGCACAAGTATTAGCTTCTCCCAGTGGCCAACTCCATGCCTAGTGGAAACCCCTGAGTGCAACTCTCCCCAGTTGTGATTCCCATGTCTCCAGCGGTGCAGGTCAGACAAAGCCAACACAGTTGTCTGTCACAGGCCTCTAGCAGCTTTGCTCTCCCTCCTTTCCCAGGGATCTACCTGAAACGGGAGAGAACACTGCCAACAAAAGCCTTTGTTTGGTCTTGGATATAATCGGAATGAGAGGGAGAGGGAGAATATTTTAGATTCTTAAGTGCTTGGCGTCCTTCCAAGCCTTGTTATAACTAAAGAACTCCAGCTTCCCACCGCCCCTTGACAGAGAGGCTTGTTGTGAGCATGTTCAGGAATTCCTGAGTTAACATAACTTTTTATATAGCCTTGAGCAAAACTCCTCTCTCTTGAATGTAACCGAGGTCATCATGAATGGGTACAAAAATAAAGGAAGGAGAAACATCCCTTGCTAATCTGATGGGTCAGCAATTATAAAGGAATGACTTTCCTTATTGTTTTTTCCCCTGCCCCAAGCAGAAATGCCTCTTTCCTTATGTTAACTGTAAGGGGTTTCGGTTCTTTCTCCCGCCCCCACTCCTTTCAGTGTAGAGTTTCTTGCCTCTCCCGAAGAATCTGGTGCTAACCATTGTTGAGTGGGTGAGGGTTTAAACCTCTGCCAGGAATGTTGAATAATCAACTTCAAAGCAACTATTTCCCACAGTACTGCGGGTAAAGAATACAGAGAAACCTGCATTCAGTTCTCGGTTTTCAAGCAGGCCAAGTAAAAAGTCCATTCAAAGCAGCTTCTTTGGCTGGATGAGGAATCTGCCCCACTTCACTCCCCACCAAAGCACCTTTGTAATCCTATTCTGCAGAGGACCAGTGCCCCAAAGCACCTACTTCACAAAGGAAGGCATAAAAGAATGTCGTGGACAAAAGCTTCTTTTTCTGTCCCCTGTGAAAGGTGTAACCAGATCCCATTTCCTGGCTATGTGCAAGGATCTGCTTTGAAGCTTGCAGATCCAGTCTGTGGCAGATGAGCTATGGGAGGGACATGTGTCACATGGTCAGACCACATGACTGTCTCACATGCGTTTGGAAACCACTGTGTCCAGCACTTTCCAGCACACACACGCACACGGCTGTGGTGCTCATGTGGATTTTGCACATGGTGCTCTCTCATCTCTGTGCTATACCTATAAAGGAAATAGTATTCAGAGTCTTATGTGCCCTGCCCTATTTTGTGTTCCGCTGATGCCATTTACTGCGTCAGTTCTGTAGCTTTGATTCCCAACAACGCTGGCCTTGTTCCAGAAGATGGCAGGTGGGATGGGGTTGCCATTGATTGTGGCAGAAAGGCAAGGCTTTGTGTGGTTCCTCTTTGTGCGCTGGGCTTCCAGCAGCAGCCCAGTGTGCTTGCTTGGTTGTGACTCTTACACAGAAGCAAGGATTTGAGGTCAGTGCTCTTCACCCTCAGAGGCTGAGGGGGAAAGTTGAAGAAAAAAGTACCTACTAACTGCTGGGTCCTGCTCCTAGAAATTAATGCTAAAGGTTAGAAATCATAGAATTGTAGGGTTGGAAGAGACCCTGAGGATTATCTTGTCCAATGCAGGAATATGCAGTTGTCCCCATACAGGGATCGAACCTGCAACCTTGGCATTATCAGCACTATGCTCTAAGCAACTGAGCTAGAGAGGAGAACAAATACAGAAGCCCAGACTAGACACTGCTCTCATGTGGTTTTCAAATAAAATTGTTGGCTGTTGATCTCTTCTTGCCCTTAATGTCTTTTGGAACTTGCAGTTTCTCTTTTTAATCATAAAGCTCTTTAAAAAAACAGCAAAACAGCAACACCCAAGGTTCAACTAATTGCCCTGCTGGTGATTCTTAAGCAGTTTGTGGCTGATTGTTATGGCAATAAAATGTGGAAGGGGGATCTTGTTTCCAAAGCTCCTGCCTTAAGGATCTGGATTTTGATTCTGCTTTGGAAAACCCATTGTACGTCCAAGCAAGTAGCTGCAAAAGGTGACTGGCTTAATTGTGCCCTCTCCATAGAGGAGCTGAGGGCTTGACTCCCCTTCTGTAGGCAGCCCACCTGAATGCTAATGACCCCACAGCAGCTGCTGGCCAGGAGTGTAAACTGACATTCAGTGGAAAATGCCCCCATTGTTTGCACAAATTAAAGTGTAAAGAACAAAGTTCCGGAAGAAATTAAGAGCATAACTTGTTTACATAGACATCTGCCAAATAGGAGTTCAAACATGACCATCTGGAGTCGTATTACTGCTGTTCTTGATTATTCAGAAGAAAGATCTGGCCGTGCAGCTGCCAGTTCCTTTCTGTCATAGGGCAGCACTGAACTGAGTGGCTCATGGGCCTAAGCGGGACTGGATTAACTATTTCGGCTGTCAGAGCGGAAGGGTCTTAGCTCAGTGGTAGATCATCTGTCTTGCATACAGAAGGCCCCAGGGAGGGCTGGGAGAGACCTCCCCCTCTGAAATCCTGAGAGCCACTACTGGTTAGAGTTGATGATACTAAGGTAGAAGGACCAATGGTTTTGATTCGGTGTAAGGCAGGTTCCTGTGTTCCTTAGAAATTTTCATGCCCTCAGTTTGCCAGCTGAGAGACAGGAGAAGAAGAAAAGCACTTGAAGGAAATGAATGCAGATTATCTCTGTACACTTGGTAACTTTCAGATAAGTTGTTCTTGTTGCTGTATTTAGCCTCCAATTAGCCTCATGATCTTAATCTAGGCCTGAGTCCAGGGCACATGAAATGGTGGTGTTTGAGAGCAGTGTTTGAAGTTCCCCAGGCACATCTTGCACCTGACCATCAACCACTTGTGACCAAATGGAGATTTCCGGGTACCAGGATGGCACCTGACTTCCCCACCATCTGGAGGTGCATGCCTAGGGGATAACTGAAACATTGACTGATTTCAAACATAGCAGCACATCCTGTAGAATTCTGCCCTTTACATTTTATCTGCACAATCAGAATGAATTTTGGGAACCAGAATGCATTTTCTGTGCAGCCTGAGCAGGAGCAGTCAAGAAACGTTACTGTAAATTGTTGTGGCTTGTCTTTGCTTACCCCACTGCCCTGCTCACAGCTGTGATGAAGATTCTTACGTTATGAATGGTCTGTGTAACCATTAAGCAAAAGAGGTAGGGATAGGCCAATATATATGTGGACTGTCCCTGGTTAAAGTGATTTTTCTTCTGTAAGTTCTCAACCCCTCAAGGTTATCATCTGAACTAGCCACATATTTAACTGAAAATCACAGTCAGGCCATCATTTGAAAAATAATGCTTTAGAGCCATCTTCCCCCAAAATGGCAAATAGACATTCCATTTTGGTGAATGTAACCTTGGTTTAAGGAGCACTTTGGCACCTAGCTTCTGTATTTTGAGTTTCTAGCACTGGTTTAGAAACTGTTGATTGGCTCGTTGCTTGTGCGTTTGCCACCCTGGAAGCCTTTTGGAAGAAGAGGGGGCTATAAAGTTAATAAATAAATAAGACTTTGTTCTCTTCTTTCCTAGGATGGCTTCTATCACTTCTTCAACAAACATGGCTCGGATGCAGCTGACCAGAACAGTACCATAAGCAATGCTATAATGGCGGCAGCTGGCTTTGGCTTGGCTGGGCTGGCCTTCCTCCTGGCGGTGCGATAAAAGACTACATCAGTGGACTTGACTTACAGGAAGGAGGGCGAGGTGGAGAAAACTCTCTTCTAACACTGCCAACATGCTGGTGAAGAGTCCATTCTATATTTCTATAATGGTTGGAAGACAGAAGCATATATATATATATTTTTAACTATAAAGTCGGAGCAGAACATTGACAAGCACATAACATTCTAGCAGTACAAGTGAGAAACGAATGCCGCTTAGATTTTTGAGTCCTGAGGTTGGGCATCTTCTTGGATCTTGGTGCGTGTGAGAGCTGCGGTTGCCCCAGTTCATCCCGGCAACTGCTAAGCGCTGGATGTTATGCTAAATGTTAATGGTGGGCTTGCAATGGAACCCAAGTGAAGATGTGTTTGGATTTCTTCTTTGTGTGTTTGCGTGTATGTTGTGGGGTGCGGGGCGGGACGGGTTGGGGAGATGTTGCCTTGTGAAATGTGAGCCAGTATTAACAAGAATGAGGAGCTTAACTCCACCTGTGCTGCAATGCAAACATTCTGAGGCCACTCATCAATATATAGCTGCCAGATCCGTATTGCACAGAGCATTATAGCTTACGTGTTTTTGTTATAATGACGTTAGTATAAGTTACACTACAAGTAGGCGACAAGAATGTTGATACCAAAACAGTAAAGTCTGCAGAACCAGTTCTTAACTATTGGAATGCTTGTTTGTTTGTTTTTAATTGGTCTATTTGGAAGTCCATGTGAAGGCTGGGATTTCTGTGGATTTCCTGTCAAATCCATAAACTCCATATAACTTAATATATTTTTTGAAATATTTATCATTGTATAATACTGGTAGCTGATTAACATCTATTTTTGTTAAATGCCTTTTTTTTTTTAAGAAAACAAACAAAACGGAACAAGCTCTCCAAATTGCTTTCTTGGCTGTCCCTGTCGTCTACCTTGTTTAACAGTTCTAGTTTGGATATCTGTTATATTGCATATTGTAAAGAAATAGTCTTCGGAAGTGTTCGATGTCCTTTTCCTTTAGCTTGTACAGTTTTAATATGTGAATAAATATAACTGAATATTTTTATTTTAAATGAGCACCTGTTCTTGGCTTGACCTGACATTTCCATACATTGTACTTGTTTACATGGGCACAAAGCACTTGTAAAACGATGCCTAGGAACCTGTCCTATATCGAATCGGACCAGTTGGTCTACCTAGCCTATTATTGCCTACACTGATTGGCAGCGGCTCTTTGGGGTTTCAGGCCAGGAGTTTTTCCCCAGCCATACTGGGAGATGGCAGGGATTGAACCTGGGAACTTTTGTGTGCAAAGCAGTGCCTTTGTGGGGGAAAGAAAAACGGTTCCTTGAGAAGTGAAAAGAAAAAAGGAAATGATTTTTTTTTTATGGTTTTTGCTACAGATGGAGATAAAAATGGTGGCAACTCACTAGTCACATTTTCTGCAAGCTGGGGTAAGGTTTGACAACTACCCTTCTGGATGCATGGCAGATTCTTTGCAGCTAACTTGTCTGCTTATGGAACGCCGGTTGCTGCCCTAGTACATCTTTGTCCAGAGAGGACTCTAGCTCTGGGGGTACATTTATTTATTAGCTTTCTGCCCCTCCAAGGAGCTCTGGGTGGCAGCACATGGTTTTTACTCCTCCCTTAAACCACAGAGCCTAGGACTTGCCGATCAGAAGGTCGCGGGGTGAGCTCCCGTTGCTCGGTCCCTGCTCCTGCCAACCTAGCAGTTTGAAAGCACATCAAAGTGCAAGTAGATAAATTGGTACCGCTCCGGCGGGAAGGTGAACAGCGTTTCCATGTGCTGCTCTGGTTCACCAGAAGCGGCTTAGTCATGTTGGCCACATGACCTGGAAGCTGTACGCCGGCTCCCTCGGCCAATAAAGGGAGATGAGCGCCGCAACCCCAGAGTCGGTCACGACTGAACCAAATGGTCAGGGGTCCCTTTACCTTTACATAACAACAACCCAGTGAAGTAGTTTAGGCTAAGACAGGCTTCTTCAACCTCGGCTCTCCAGATGTTTTTCGCCTACAACTCCCATGATCCCTAGCTAGAAGGACCATTGGTCAGGGATGCTGGGAATTGTAGTCTCAAAACATCTGGAGGGCCAAGGTTGAGGAAGCCTGGGCTAAGAGATGGTGACTGGCCCATGGTCACCCAGAGGAACTTCATGACCGAGTGGAGATGTTGAACCCTGGCCTCCCAGGTCCTAGTCCAGTGTTTCCCAAACTTGGGTCTCCAGCTGGTTTTGGATCACTGTTTCCATAATTCCTGACCACTGATCCTGCTAGTTAGGGATGCTGGGAATTGTAGTCTGAAACACTCTTAACGGCTGCAGCACATGGCATCATACACCTTCTTTATTTTCTTTGTGAAGAGCCACATTGGTAGATCAGGTACAGATTGAGGTACATTAGCTTTGCCATCCTACAAGAGCAAGGTATGCACAGCAGGGTACAGTTGCCAAGTTGTGTAACCTAGAGCAGTGGTAGCCAATGGAACACCTTCTAGAGATCATGCTGTGCTCTGGTTCCCAACAGCACCAACCAGCATGGTGAATAATCGGGGATGGTGGGAGCTGGAGTCCAGCAGCATCTGGAAGTCAACACATTGCTTACCCCAACATGGAGTTGGGATGCTCCTTTTCTCTGTTTGCTGTGTACCAGTTAGAAAGGGAGGCCAGGTCAATGGTACTAGGAAAAGCTGACTTGCTTCTGCAAACATGGCGTGACCTATGGGTTGTGAAAATTCAGACTGTGCATTGAGGGAGGAATTCAATGGTAGCCAAGGGATATGTTGTTGTTGTTGTTTAGTCGTTTAGTCATGTCCGACTCTTCGTGGCCCCATGGACCAGAGCACGCCAGGCACTCCTGTCTTCCACTGCCTCCTGCAGCTTGGTCAAACTCATGCTGGTAGCTTCGAGAACACTGTCCAACCATCTCATCCTCTGTCGTCCCCTTCTCCTTGTGCCCTCCATCTTTCCCAACATCAGGGTCTTTTCCAGGGAGTCTTCTCTTTTCATGAGGTGGCCAAAGTACTGGAGTCTCAGCTTCAGGATCTGTCCTTCCAGTGAGCACTCAGGGCTGATTTCCTTAAGAATGGAGAGGTTTGATCTTCTTGCAGTCCATGGGACTCTCAAGAGTCTCCTCCAGCACCATAATTCAAAAGCATCAATTCTTCGGCGATCAGCCTTCTTCATGGTCCAGCTCTCACTTCCATACATCACTACTGGGAAAACCATAGCTTTAACTATACGGACCTTTGTCGGCAAGGTGAGCCAAGGGATATACCTGGAGATTATTGCAGCTGCCCAATGGCCACACAGATCTCCAGCCACATTTATACAGTTCTTCTGAATGTTCAAAGCACTTTGCCTACATTATGTTGGTGCAATCCTTCCCAACAACCCTGTAAGATCGATCGGTATCCCACATGGTGCAATTCTAAGCCACTGTGTCTCACTTGGAGTCTTAAGGTTACCTACTACATTCATGGTAGAGGTGAAATTTGAACCAAGGACTTGTGGAGTTGTAGCTTTCCCTCTACACCAACTGTTTTCACTGCACCTGTCGCCTTCTATGAGTTTGTGTGCGCACCATTGGAGAGCTTGCAGCTTAGGAGCATCCTGTGTCTGAGTAAAGTTCAGAATTTAGACCGCTGGACTTTCAGCAGTTGTGTAAAGTGAAACTGCCTAGGCTACTTTGGTTCAAATTGCACAGCTTGAAAGAAGAATGCATTTTCTGAAAGAAGGTTTGAAACAGGCGCATGCATCAATTTGCCACTGCTGATGTATTAAAAAGTCCTTAACTAGGGCGTTGTGACGCTTCTGTTTATCCAACACCTGTGCTAAACTTTAAATGCAAAACAAGCTCGATGGGGACAGAAGTCCAGGTTAGCCATATACCGGCCCATTAGTTGTGTATAGTTGTGACAATACCGGGAAAGAACTGCAAATGGCAAGATCCCTGCAGTAGTAATGTTTAAGAGGCTGGGCAAAGAATAATGCAGAAGCTAAGGCACATGCAACCTCGGGTTTATTTTAATTAGCCAAGGTGCATGAAACGGAACAAGGAAGTGATTAAAAAGTCCACGAGAGTACTTCAGTCACTTTTATTTTCTGGTTTTGAATCATTGCGTAGCCTTCACACTTTTTAATTTTCGCTTTCTGGTTTGTTAACAAGAAACTAGGAAGTCATAGCAAGTTCCTATAGTTCCAGGTACTCTGGTTTTGCCTGGAAGAGCAGGGGAAGGTGTTTTTTTTAATTGCAACCTCTCACATTACTACTAAGAAAAAGTGTCTTGTTTTGTAATGGATATTGACATAACAACATTTCTGCTGCTGGTGAGCCCTGTTGAGATTAATGGAGTCTGTGCAGCAGCAGCAGCAGCAGCGATGATGGGTTGGATCCAGTCGCTTGCTGTGTGCAAATCCACAACACATGATACAGTGGTGCCTCGCAAGACGAAATTAATTCGTTCCGTGAGTTTTTTCGTCTAGTGAATTTTTCGTCTTGCGAAGCACGGTGTCGGAAAAGTTTTGGAAAAACTTCAAAAATCACCAAAAACCTCAAAAAAGGCTACCACACCGCGTTCTATGAGTTGCTCCTCGAAGTCAAGTCGCAACTTATTAATGGTGTTAAGAAAAAGGAAACAAACTTGCAAGACGTTTTCGTCTTGCGAAGCAAGCCCATAGGGAAATTCGTCTTGCGAAGCAGCTCAAAAACCGCAAAACCCTTTCGTCTAGCGAGTTTTTCGTCTTGCGAGGCATTCGTCTTGCGGGGCACCACTGTACTTTAAAAAGTAGAGCCCTAGATAAGAACCCCCCAGTAAGTGCTTCAGAATGTTTCCATTCTGCTCTGGATCTCGTCTTCTAGATCATTTAGACTCATCGCATCAACTCACACACTCAGGGCAGTTCCTGTGTTTAATTTAGCACGTCCTTGTATTTATTTCTGAACAGAAGAGCCTCCTCCCATTGTAAACCTAGATTTGCAAGGAATAATGAAAGG